TGGAAATTTATTGGACCGGAAAAAAAGGGAAATCTCCAATTCGATCTTATAGAATAGATGATTTTGTTTGTAGAAGGCAACGATATAGGGTGTTTTATAATAAGAATTGATTGAGTAAAACACAAAATTAAGTTATAAACACCTGTATCGACTATTTAAGTAAACATCTTCGTTTCTAACTCGCGAGGCGTTTCGTTCCCGGCTCGAAAAACAGTTCTAGCGAAAAACCGGGTTCATTATTTCTCTGCAAACAATTTCCGCTGAATTAATACCGGTTTAGACCGGTTAAAACGGTTAAACGAGATTTTCCAGATAGACGCCGAATCTGGATTATCAATTCATTCGGTTGCAACTGGAAACTTAAATGGCGACCGTTTTGTTTGTCAATCCTGATTGGATTGTATTGCAGCGATACGGGCCTATTGTCTCGTGGAATATTCCGTGATGAGATCAAGCGACCTAAATTCATGGTCAGTAAATTAATTGCACAATTTGTTGGGTATACATAGTATTGTAATTACGAATAGATGGAGATGCTAAACGGTGTACAGGGTGTAACAAAAAAGATCATAAATTATAACAAATATTCTGGGATAAAAATTAAGTATATTTTTTTCGATTTTTTTCGTGGTATAATTCATGACCCAATTTTTTGATACACCCTGTATAAATAGTACGACAACAGTGGCTTTTGGTAGGATATAGACTCTGTTAATAATCGATTTTTATAGCCGCTGATATATGAAAATTATCGGATTCCATCCGTTGCGTTTTTGGAAAAATCCCGTTTATATCGCAACAATAGCTGTTACATAAAACCTCTGCCTAAATAATTCAAATCGCGCGTACAATTCACCAAGAGACACGGCTCGATATCCAAACCGGTCTCGACAGTCGAGATTATTCGGCCGAAAATGTTGCGAATTTTTGCGCGATTTTCAATTGTGTGTGTTCGTGCTATTGTTAAGGCTACATCACTGCAAAATAATGCCGGTGAAAAAGTTTTTAAATGTTCGAATTTGTATAAAGCCTTTATAAAGTACTTTTGTTTATACATATTTTATTTGAATTGAGCCAATATGTGTCCTCATTTTTATTCAAATTTAAGGATAGAGTTCAGTACTCACAATTTTTTTTTCGGGAATAGGCAACAAACGTTGCAAAACCTGTCACTTTATTTCAGTAAATTTTCAGGTACAAAGCTCACAGCGGGGATGTCGTAAAAATGAGAGAAAAAAGTATAATTCCTTACTTTTAATTACAATTCAAAATATTTTAAACACAGCCCAGCGAAACAACAACATTTTCTCTCTAGTTTCATGAACAATATTTTCTCTCTACTTTTCTGCACAAAATTTTCTCGCTACCTTCACTGACAACATTTTCCGTCTACTTTCATCAACATTTTCACTCTACTTTTATGAAAAAAAAATTCTCTCCACTTTTATGCACAAAATTTTCACTCTACTTTTATGAAAAAAAATTCTCTACTCTTCGGCACAAAATTTTCTCTCTACTTTTTTGCACAAGATACTCTACTTTTAGGCACCCAATTTTCTCTCTACTCTGTTATGCACAAAAGTCTACTTTATGAATTTTTTCTGTTCATTTTCACTTTTGAATGTTAAATTAGAATTTTAGAATATCGTAGGAATGTCAATATTATAAGAAAATATATTTTTGAATATTTAGAAAAGGCGGGTGTCTATAAAAACTTTGTTATTTTAAATGAAGCACCTCGTATATTTTAATATTTTTAGAATCATCAAGACGAGCTGATTTCAACATTTTTACATACATTTTCATTATAGTAGATACTGAAATCTATAGCCTTTATAACATTAAAGCGTTTTTTGTTAAAGAATTTTTTGTTGGAATTTGGGAATATATTCCTTTTTTAACAAATATGCTCAAAATTTCATCATAGGCAAATATCAAACATTTTCAGTAAAAACACATGAAATGAATCTCTGGTTAGGCCATTTGAGGCTTGCTTATTAATTGTTGCATATAGGCACACGTTTATTAATTTCGTATTTGCAAATATCCCTTATTTTTCTGTTTTACTAAACATGTTTGAACGCCAATAAAAGCTGACCGAGCGGTAAATGAAAAATCGTTTTTCCGAGTGCCAGAACAATTTTCACCAAATATCGCATAAAAAGTTTAAATAAAAATTCTCTATACCTACACCAACAGTACACCAATTTTCGTAAAATAATAGTAACATTCAAATCAAAAATTCTTCCTACTGAACTTATTTAAGTTATAATAAGCTATCTCAAGTTTACTGCTCGAATTGTTAAATAAAATAGAATTTCCCGGTGAAAATGTGACGCGAGTACGGCATCATCCGGAGCGCGCGAGTTGATAGAGTAGAAACTACGTGAAGACGCCTTAACTAGGTATCCGAGATTTAACCGATACACTTATTACTCCCATTTCAGGAAGCCGTTTCGCTATATTAAACCCGGCGCTCGACGCCGACGCCGTCCTTTTTTTCCAGACAAGAGGGCTCTAAATGCAAGCGCCGGGAAGGGTCGAAGGCGCCGAGGGCGCGAGCCTGAAAAATTCAGCAGTTAAGTTTCTGCGTTACACTTTATCCGGATTGTCTTTAGGCCTTTTACCGATCGTTTCTCCACTCATTTTATCGCGATAAAAATTTACTAGCTTGTTTATTAAACATGCTTTCACAACGCGTACGCTACAGGCATAGCGAATTTCTAAGGGTATAACTCATACCGTCTTTGGCTGTTATCTGTATTCATATCGATTGCTGAATCGAATAACATCGAAAGAAAATACGCTCGGGAAAGTGAATTGATAAGACAGAAAAGCTCGGAAAGCTCGGCCACAAAAAGGTTTTATATTAAATTTATATATGCATGCACAGAACTTCGAATCGATAAACCTTCGTTCGGGCTTTTCGATGACGTTAATTTAAAAGAGCATTTCGATATGAAATGATATACTTGTGTTTTATTTATACATATTATTCCTTCAACACGACTATAGAGATTATCGACGTCCGGTGACCTTTTAATTAATATCTTTCAATTTGATTTGGAATTAAATTTTATTTATGGTTTTAGTTGTTTTAAATATAAGTTTAATTCGTCAACTTGGTGGACGCACCAGGTGGTAGATATCAATATTCCGTTTAAAATACTTTATTAGCCCAACTCGTGCATGAGCACCCTTAATCCTCTTAATAATACATGTAAAATAATTTAAACTGATTATTTATTTATTTACTTCAATATACCATTATAAAGTAAATTACACCCTTGTGGAATTCACACGGCACAACTTTGCAATTAATATTATCGCCTCATCCACTTTAAGCTAGCGTTCATAACAAAGATTAATCCTTAAACTTTGTATTAAATTCACTAACCGCGTCAAAACATCGTTCTATTAAAAATTAATAAAATCTCAAGTGCTGCTAAAGCTCAACGATATCCGCAATAGATTGTGTTATCTTGTATGTAGTGTCTTTCAAAAATCGTTGGAAATGTACGTGAAATCGAACATTAATGTATCTATCTCTCTGTTAAAAAATCGATTATGGTTTTATTTGATCGAGGTATCAATTCGATTTATTGTGAGCAGCTTTCGGCTATAAAATATCGTTAATAAAAATATGTGAAATCAATGTATCGTATAGGAATTGGCGATTCTCTAGCGTAGCAACTTTACTTGTTTTTAAATAATCCTGCAGGATTCAATTTTAATGTATGGTAAAGGAACCTTTGGGCTTAACCGGGTATATTTTGTGTTTTGAGTGGTTATTTTTTAGTTTAAATTGTTTACATTGAGAGCAGTTAACGAGCTCGATGACGCATGATTTTTATCACAGGGTCATTATTCAATTTGAACTTACTACACGGTTGATAATGTTTTTTAGCGCGGTAATTTCATTTCTAATGTGTCATTTTTTAGCTCCTTTCGGTAAGAACAAAACGAGAAATTACTTCCTTTCGTTAATTTTTTAAACTCAACTTCTAATTACGTGGAAAACGTTAAATTTTAATAAAAGAAATTCCTTGATGACATTCACCCAAATGACCATATGTAAATATTTTTTTTCTTCGACAAATTAGAAAAATATATTTTCTCGGTCACGCAAGAAAATCCCTGGTTGCTCTAATACCTATTTGCATACTCGCGACTATGACTATTCCAATACAACTGTTTACCTATAAGACATTTTTTTATGTAATTCTAATAGATGTAGATATACCTAATACATAATACACACACACAACTTTCAAAAACCTAGAGAAAAGTAGATTTAATTTAAAGTTACGTAAAGGCATTAGCAAAATTGAAATTAAATTGCTTTTTTCTTCTCCGCATTTTAAAATTAATGTTGCGTTCGTAAATGCGCTTATAAATTATTTGCAATGAAGTCAGTAACAAATGAACTCGGTATGTTCGTTAATTAAATATTTGATAACAAGTTGAAACGGGCGCACACGCTGGTAATTTTCCAAAGACTATAGCAGGTTACATCTTGTAGTTAGACAATAGTATAGCCAACACCGTATAGGATAGAACCGGCTACAATAGCTACATCATCAGAGTCAACTTTACAACAAGCTCCTGCAATGTAATATGGAAAGATGTTTCGAACGAGAATAGTTTGTGTAATAATTAATATAACTAGTATCTACTAAGGGTCGTTAATAATTCCTTGATAACTTAGCTACAACGTGCACAACGTGTACAATGTGAAAATAATTAACGTTTGGCAACGCTGTTAAAGCTAATGCTAGTTTGAGTTATCGAGGAGGCGTAACCCATAAAGAATAAAAGGAGTTTTAAGTTGTAATTTAGATAACTGTGAATTTTATCCACCGGTCTTTATTACACCAATTTACACATGATCTAAAGCAGTTAATATTGATTAATTTAATCTTCCATCATTAGGTATTACTCCTTTCTCTATTAAACATCATCCAAGTCTTCGTGAATTGTATTAACTTCAATTAACTTACCTTCATCTCTATTACTTCCTAATAATATTTCCATATCCTCGTAATCCCCTTCAGCTAGCATATCCATAGGGTGTTTAGGCATCAATACCCCGTCTATAGTAGGCATCGAAGGAAACCCTAATATGCCGGAATAAGAATTCCACTGTTGCAACGAAATGGTTTTAGCGTCGACGGCGCGCATGCAATCCATCACCTCGTGCGGATTGCTCTCGAGCAAAGAGCTGTTGCAACCGCAATCCTGGATGAGCACCTTGCCGATCTCCTCGGCCCGCTCGCCGCTCATGTAACTCCACGGGGCGTTCATGGTGCCCGACTGGAGGATGCCGCGCCGCGCCAGGCCCTTGGTCACCGGGCTGATGAGGTGCAGGCTGACCGAACCGCCGCCGGCGGATTCGCCGAACAGCGTGATCAGCTCGGGATCGCCGCCGAACGCCGCCGCGTTGTCTTTGATCCATCGTATCGCGAGTATTTGGTCCCACAGGCCCATGTTGCCGGGCGTTTCCTCGCTACCTCTGGGGAAGAACTTGTTGAGGTAGAGGAACCCGAAGGAGCCGACGCGGTACTGCATGGAGGCGACGATCACGTCGCAGGTCGACGCTATGAAATCGCCGTCGTAGATGTCTAACGTGGCGGTACCGCTCATGTAACCGCCGCCGTATATCCACACCAGGATCGGTACTTTCGGTCGCTCGACGGTTTTTTCCGCGTGGTGTCGGATTCTCAAGCGTTGCGGCACCCATATGTTTAAATACAAGCAATCTTCTGATATGTTAGTGTTCGGGTTCCACATTTCCTCGCCCTCGAATCCGGGGAAATACTCGTAGCGCTCCTGGAAGCAGGAGTTGGGGCGCTTGTTGGCGTCCAGTATCCCGTGCCAGGGATCGATGGGTACCGGCCGTTTGAACCTGAGCTGTTCTATGGGAGGTTTGGCGAAGGGGATGCCGGTGAAGCCGTGCACCTCGCGACCGAGAACCGTCTTGGAGAAACCGCGCACCAAACCGCTGGTGGTTTCGACCACCAAAGGATCCGAATGGAAATCCTTGTATTGCGAACCGCGAGTGGTCGTCTCCTCGTTGGGCCAGGAGTACCCGTACACGCACGCCAGCGTCGCGACGACTTGCAACACGACTAATCGCACCATTATTATTATTTTTTTTGGTCTCGTTTCGTTCGGTCGATGCGAAAGAAAACTGGCTAACTTGTTGATCACTCGGTCATACCGCGGCGCGTTTTCGGCGTTGCTGCGATGCGCGTTTTTCGCATCGAGGAAATTTCTAGAGAGGCTGAGCGTTGACTGTGGACGCGCTGAACGTGGACGCGTAGCGGCTTCGGGGCGGCCCGTTCGGGCGACGGGGCTTGCGCTCCCCGGCGCGCTCGTACACCGCGAGGACGACGCCAAGGGTCTCGGGAAGGACGAAACTTTTCACGGTTAGTCTTCCGGCGGAGTTTAGTCGGCCAGCGTGATCGATAGGAATGAAGTTTTAATGAACCTCGAACATATTTTTTTGAAACTTATTGTTTCGTAGATGAACGAGTATTTATCCACAGTATGAGTGAAAAAAATATATCTAGATTCTTCCTCTCTTACTGTATTTTATTGATTATTTTGTTGCATTTTAAAGCTGCGTTTCATTACTTTTTAAATTTATCCTCTAAGGGATGATCATCGACTTTCAAATCGTCTCAACTTCTGAACCCCTCCAGTTAGAATATCAAAACTTGTTGTAATAGTTAGACCGTTATGCACACTAATTTATACCACACTTTTTCAACCCTTAAACTCCTAGCATTAACTGTATAAATAAATTATTTTTTGTCGATTTCTCTAAATAATATGTAATCTAATATAAAGTGCACTTGTATCGAACGTCCCCCATAGTTTATGCCGAATACTTTTGTTCCGGGAATCGAAGTACGTACGATGTAATTTCCGTTTTCGTTCGATATACTTCGAAATTTCCAATCAAATTTGAAATGATAAGCGCTCACGCGAATTTCTCGATGAACGGCGGCGATCGATCGTAATAATTTTTTCATGTGCCAACGAAAGTACATATAGACTTTTCTATCCGGAGCTTGGAGCTTTTTTTATATTTTTCAGTGGACATGTTTTTGTAGTTACTGGTTAATTAGCTCAAACCTTTATGGTAGATTTTAATAAATTATCGGGATGGCTGGATTGGAAGGGTAATGAAATATTCCTGATTGTTGTAGAAGGTTCAGTTTGGATGCAATTTAAGTGATATTTTAATTGCGTTTCATTTTACTAGCTCTCCTCCGCCTATGGTAGCATTCAGGTGGGGATTTAATAGATAATTGTGTATGTGCGCTCGACAGGAAAAACCAATTGGACACATCAACTCTATTAGTAGCCATTAAACTGGCTAAACATCGGATTTTTCATGCATATAAATCTACGATGATTGGTAAAAAAATATATATTTTTTTAGAGTATATGTAGCTAATTTAAAGGATTTTTATTTACTGTAAATATTTAATACCGAATTGATTTGTCGTCCAATTTCTAAATAAAACATTTATTAACGCTAATCATCAGATATAATCTATCTACAATTCGAATTATTATAATCAGTCGAACCTTTATTTAAATGTAGCATCTAAATTACATTTTAAATTAGCTTTCTTTCATTCCTTTTTTAAATACGACCTTATCGACAAGGAGATTTATCGAACTGACATGCAACACGGCAATTTCCCAAATAAAATCAAACTCTCCTTCGAAGCCTAATTTATTAATAGGAATATAATCACCGCCCGTCTTTCGATTGACGAATTAAAACGTACAAAAGCTCGATTCGAACCTGCCTATTTTCGCTGCAATCGAATGCAAGGTCCTTATGCAACACGTAACCCCGTTCTGTAAAGTTACATTTTATTTAAATGTTTCCACGGCGTTTGCCCAAATCCGCGCTTTCCCTTCGGCGGGGCCGCGCGATAATCCGCTAGCTCTTTTTAATAATTCACGGCGACGAAATTACCTTGCGAGCGCACCGGCACACGAACCGTAAAAATGCATATAATTCACGAACGGGGGAAAAAACTATTTTTCACCCGGCTATGGATCCAATTTCCACGGAGTTATCTCCCGTTAACGATTAAGCGTCTTTAATAATAACTACGTAGCTCTTTTTTATGTTAATAAAAACATTATAATTTAGAAAATCTGTGGGAGAATGGAGCTGTGTGGGAAGTGTGAAAACTTGTTTGCAGTGCGCGTAGGTATTAACATTGGGAGAGCCAAGATTATCCGAACTACTCCGGATGGTTTGTAAAGTAAATGAGATGCAAATAAGAACATCCATATCTTCGGTAGATCTAAAACGGTGAGGTTGAAAACGGATTTCCGAACCTTATTTTAAATAATGCATGGTGCATCGAAGTCGCGTGAAATACGAGAAACGAGAAAACTTTATTACTTTTGCATTTTCATTTGCTTGTAGATGAACTTATTCTTGCATTACGACGGAACTCTGTTTTTTGTTTTAATTAGATAATTCTTCGTAAGCTCCTGCATACAAGATATAACTAGAAAAGTATAATTTGAACGTATTTACCGGAGTTAAATTTGCGGCGAATTCGACGTGCATTCTCGTGTATAATTTAAACATTCGTGACCTAACGAAACCCTAATATTAGGCGATGTATTTTCCCGTACCCCGGTTAACCGATTTTGATGTAATTAAATTCCGTTATTTCGGTATGTAGACCGAGGAAAAAGTTAAGGTCAAACGTCATTGTTGCAAAGCTAATTGAGATCGCTAAAAACGATTGCACATACACCTAAAACGAATGTAATTCTCCAATTGTAGCTACAATAATTTTTATAACTCGGCTACAATACGACACGAATAACTGTAGACTTGAGCCGTCACGTCTAAAGCTATTCCTATCGGTCTGTACTCAAGTAAAAAGCTAATTGCATACTGATATTCATAGAGGAAGTGAGTATATAGTATTAGAAAAATAGTTTTTTTTTTTCATTAACCGCTCAAACTATACGCCGGGGAGCTATTTTAATTAAACCCGTTATGAAAGTAGATAGAAATTTATCATCGGATTAAAAAGCACCTAAGAATCCGGCGTACGACACTCCAGTAATCCCGCTCATAGCTATACTACCGTAAATCAAGGACGGTTCCCCGCGCACCTGGGCGGCTAGGAAGAGCCGTGTGAGGCAGGACGGCGACGCTAAAGCGACCATCCCGGGATCATTTTATTACATCTCGCGCCGAACGATCATTCTCCACTATTTCCCATTACCGCCAGAGTCGCCACATAAAATGCGACACCCTCCGCGTTCGGACACTTTCCATTTTTTTTTGCACCGCACTTTATGCACCGGCAAGTAAAACACTGCGAATTACCGCTATAAGAACTCTTACGTTACCCGACAACAGCCAAGAATGGTTAATCCAGGTAAATTCTGTACGTCCCTGTGATTATACCGCGCGGTCTCCACATCCCAAGACTAGTTAAGTCGGTTTATCAGGACCGTCCCGACGCGTCACAATGCCGTTAATAATATCAAACCCTTCGGACTTAGTTATGCATTTTAGAGTCGGGGGTTAATCTAAGACGCGGCGTCCCTCGGGCGCCGGCGACCCGGGTGTGCGTATGCATAAGTATTGGGCACTTACGGAGGGATTAATTAAGAGATTTAAGCGCTATATCCAGGTGGAAATTAGCCTAAGAATATTCCTAATATCCTATGAGTAATGCACCTGTTAATATACTGGATTATTCCGGGAGGATATTTTTCTCTTTAGCGGAGAATTTGGTGGAGCGAATCGATGTCGCTAAATTGTACTTAATTTTTCACTTAGCGAGTATATGTGCGGTAAAACGCTGTAATTTATTTGACACGCTAACACCAATTTGTCGCCCGTTCCATTGTTCCTTTCTTCTGCATCTTTTTTATTTTTCGGAGGGTTGTTTTCGTTTCGTTTTTCCACCGCGAGGCGGCGCGCGCGGCCCTTCCAGCGCGCCAGGGCGAGAGCGGGAACGGGAAAATTGAGTCATTATAACGAGATTACAATCTATATTCGAGGTAGCTCCAGCATGGTGGTAAATTGATTTACGGTAGTTTGATTGTTGTGTTTTGGAATATTACCTTGTTGGAGGTTTGCGATTCCGATCGAGTGGTAAATGTCATTTCGGCCCGTTCGAATTGTAAACAACCGATGAATAATTAATTTTTTCGTCTATCTACTAATTAATAAATCGATTATTTACTGATTTGTTGATTAATACGAAGCAATTCTATACTTAATAAGTGTGCATATAGTGTAAAGTGATGCGTAGGTTTTACCTACATCTCTATAGCTATTCCAATCGGTTTATACCTACAATTAAATCGAATTTTATTGAATTTAATTTGTAGCCTTTAGAGCCCGTTTTGACCGAGTTAATTTGCGAGTATTGGAGGTTACAAAACGATACGCCTACAGCCGTAGGAGTCGAAACAGGAACGCATTAATGGTAGGTACACATGCCGGGGATGAATTCAACGACTGTAATGAGTGGTCCAGGATGCATTCTAAAATTAGTCATCCGATCAATGAGCGTATATGAACATCAACGGGCGGGTTGCTAACCAACAGCACCGAGGCGGACCGCACGGATTCGATTCTCTATTTGCATTTCGAAATTAGATTAATCCCCAGGAAGCCGCGGGAAAAAGCGAGGAAAAAATATTCCCCGAAACTTATTACGCGCCCCGAGAATAAATTTTCAATAGAAATAAAACGCGATAATTGAATTTATATTCGCCAAATCGCACTCTTCTATATCTTACAAATTTCTCACAGTTTCTTCTATTCTTCCTTTTCCCGTCAAACATATTCGTATTTCGACCATTTCCCTCGCACGACAGCGCGTGTGCCTAGTTACAATAACTAAATTTTTCGACGGGAAATAGCTCAAATTCATACGGCGAGATGAATTTTCGTCGCGCTATCAGGAGAATTGAGCCAGACAAGGAATATTCAGAAACTGAATAGACTGCGTGACAATAAAGCCCGACGTCGGGGGAGCCGGGGGGCGGCTCGCGAGGCGGCTGCAAGGGGATCTCGGGGACCGAGACTAGGACTCGCGACCTGGAAATAGGCTGGCAATTGACATGCAAAGTTGAAGAACGAACGGAGATGTCATCGGGATAAAGCACGAAGCTAAACGACAATCGAAATTGTTCATTTGCGATGCGAAAGTAAGACTTTTTGTTTCATTTAATTTACAACCAAATCGGCGCTAAAATGATTGATAAAAAATCAAAACTTAAACCAACATAACTGCGTGTTTTCACATTTTAGGCTAGAGACTTTTTAAGTGACCTATCTATCTATCTATTAATACAAATTCAATAGCGATTCATTCTAATAGTGACTGATTGATTTTACTGAATGACTGTTGATTGGATTAATTTAATTTTCGATATTTCCTGTGGGTACTTTACAATGACAATCAGCCTCATCCTTGTCAATAAATATATTAATAAAATATTAATGAGCAAATTGATGGATATGGGGTTTTAATCATGTATAAACTAGTAAATGATACGTGTATATAAAAATTATGAATTGTTGACAATTTAATTCGCGTGTATTGTACGCATTATTCTTTTTTAATCTATATATTTCATCTGGCATGTGTAACGAATAATACATGTTAGATGAACGTTAAGCGAACTGATATAACCAATATGCTAAGTATTTTCCCATGTAATTATTATCCGGTTCGAGTTCTGAAGATTCTAAAAAACTTCCTTTCCTCCTGTCGGCAAGTATAATGATATCTTGTTAATATTCGTTTTTATGGTAAAATCTTATTCACCGTAGATTTATTAGTATTCCCGAATTGAATGCCGGCCCCAACAAGTTTAATCTCGCAACAAAAACGGCCCATAAAGAGATTTATCGCCCGAATTATAAATAAAGTCACGTAGCCCGTAAGCAAACTTTTTAATCGTTACATTCAATTCAGTCGCCACCGGTTGCCGTCGACGGGAAACTTTTATTTAACAAATGTCCTTTTCGGGTCGAACTAAGGGCCCGCCGTAAAGTACTTTATTATATGCGTTTGCCTATATTAACGCCTTATAAATCATGTACGACTTTCAAATTCCCAACGATGAATCTTCTCAGATATTCCACGATTTTATAATACATTTCATCAGAAGATTAGAAATGGACAAAAAATGATTTTTTATGGATTTATTGAATTGTATTGCAATATAGTAGGATTAATACGAAGCTATTACGTTCTTCGATTTATTTTTATCTGCTCTCAAACTTCGTTGTTAAAAGTTTCGTAATATGTGTGCATTACCTCGGATTTATCGAGGAGAAAATGCAATTATATTTTCAAACTAAAGCGATTTATTCCCCACATTATAAGCTCAATTTCCCGTTAAAAAAAGCATCGAAATACTAGTAGAAACTCCACCTGATATTTAAAATTCGACATCCATTGATTATCCGCTATAAAAAAAGGCCATCTCGTTGGAAATGTCAGGCGGGCGTAATGGAAGTTCGGAAGGTGTGCGTTCCCAGTGTGTCCGGAGAAAAAAAAGTCGTATATCAGATAAAAGGCGGAAAGTTTTCCGATATCCTTTATAGTTTTAGGAAATAACATTAATTCGGCCGGTCGGTAAGCATGTAACGGGCCCCTCGGTATAGCCACACGGGGAATAATCCCTTTTAAGAACGGCCCTACAGGGATAATGGATTATTTCCGACTGCGATTTACTGGATAGGTACGGGAACTTATTGCATTTCCGCGTCGAAGATAAATCAACAAGTATTCGAATAATAAGCGAATTTACGGGAAATTTTAATCTAAATTTCTTAGCCATATTCGTTGGTTTGAAGCGGAACTTTTTCTTTAGTTTTTCTTTTTGTTTTCTATCAACAATCGCGCTGCTGGAGAAATTTTTATAAAATTGAAATAATAGTAAAATTCTATTGGAAATGCAAGTAGTCTTGATTACTCTGACACAAGATTCTAATATATTTAGGGAATTCCCAGGATTATACAAAATCCTCATGCAATATTAACAAACCTAAATATCCTAAAATATATTTTTATCAATAATATATCGAACGCTATATAATTTAATAAGAACGTGCCAATGCCGGCCGTTATATCGATTCGAGCGAATTTGTCATTCCGGTTTGATTTCGATTAGTTTCCAGTTGCTCCCTTTACCTTAGGCGAGCCTGGGCCCATCCATACAACTCACCTGGCCTTTATCGACCGCAATTACCCGAGAGATCGGCGTCTTCAGGTCTCCTTCGTCGCCGTCTCGGCTCGTACGCGGCCCCACTGATATATACTGAGCCCCTCGTAATTATTTTCCACGGGCTCTGTTTTATTTCTCAGCGATTTTTTTCATCACAATTTAATGTCTGCAGACAGTACACTGATCTTTATTATTATGATCTCTATTAGTATTTCAGAATTGTGTCCAAATTTTTTATCGGCAGTGTTGCCAGTTTTAATAAAATTTCCGTAGATTTTGTGATTTTTGGGATGCAAATCGGTGTGTATGTAAATGGGAAATTAAGCGGGCGTAAATGCGTTAATTCCATTCGACTTTTCGTGAATTCAGTTCGGGGTTGACGTCGAGTCGGATAAATAAACGGCGAAAAAACGGCGTCGAGAATGGCGTTAAATTATTTTAATTTTATTCGCTTGGAAAGTACAGAACGATGCTCTCCTAAAACGATGTAATTTTCGAGTATTTTTTCCATAGCTATGAATACTGATAGGCGGTATTATCATACTTTCCTCCGGGGTGGAAAAAATGATATTTTCGCGCTTTTATTTTATCAGAAACGCAAGAGCGTTTTTATTCCGTTAGCCCGAGAAGAAAATGAATATTTAATATGCATGGTATTGACGAAAAATAGATTTAATACAGATTAATTTTTATCTTTCATGATGTAAGTAGGTACTTAATAATTCCCATTTTTCGCAAACTTTTCTCGATATAAGTATCAAAGAATTCGGCGATAAAAAGAACAAAAAAATAAAATTTCTTATTTCTTACACATTTTATTTGATCAGTGAGGACCTTCTGATCCGCATCATCGCAACTGTCGGATCGAGTGTAATGTTTTGCCGCTTATTCCCGAGCCGAAGGTCCTACTTTTCATTTATTGATTTGATCAGGGTCACAACGGCTACTCTAAAATATTTAAATTCGTTTCAGGAACTTCTCAATGCCCCTTTCTCTTTTCCTCTAATTCTATTTGGACAATTTCGCATCCCCAATTTGCATATCAACGAAAAATGTAATATATTATAGTATTAAAAAATTTTATAAAAGATCAACAGTTGTTGTAAATACGATGAAAGCATAAGATCTAAAAACTTCAAGTTTTCCATTAATAATACTTCTATTCATTTCAGAGGTAATAAATAAATTAATCCATAGAGGACAAAAAACAGGGAACTTCTCTTAAAGGAAACGCGCTTTCGCGAAAAATCTGGAAACGTGCAGATAATTTTTCAATTTCACCTTTCGCATTCAGTCCTTACATACAGCCATCCTCCCGAGTTCGTCCCGCCTAGTTCGGAAGTTTCTTCTCCGGCAAAAAACGAAATTACTTCGCAACCTCGACGATTAGCCGCACAAAAAGCCCGAATTCCGCGGAATCACGAAAGATTGATAAATGAACGATGGGAAATGCGCCGTTCGCGCGGCCCTTTTTCTTCTTCGTTTTTGACACCTTGTTTACAAGGCAACCCAACGGGTGGAAAGCATTAGGGATTTTCAATTTGCGCTCCACGCCAATTGAATGTATTTCGGTTTAAGTAAGTGCCGCGGCGGTTATTCTGCTGGCGGCCTTATTGTCGGGGATTCTTCCCATTCGTTTCGGATTTTAGATGAAAAAGTTTTGAAGCAACTCCAGGGACTGCATTGTGTGTGAAATAAATTAACATTTAGTCCTCGAATATCCAAGAAAACAGGTAAATAACATAGGCAAATTGCAAATTAATCAATCGTTTCCCCAATCACTTTTAAAGTTGGTCATAACTCATTCGTTCTATTTCGTAATTAGGTAGGTATTAGTGAGTTTTTCCAATCATCTGTTGGCTTTTTTTTCGAAACTTGACCTTCTGGTCTAATAATGCTTTGATCACTTCGTGATATATTCGGCTTCGGTAGACTCATTAATGGGAAATCGATAAAATGTTGCTAATTACCTTATCCTCGGGGTATAATGGGAAAATGTTACTGTGTCGGCCATCAGTAAATAAATTCGTGTATTTTTATTCGCGATTTAATTAATAAAACTGTTGTAAATATTTAATGCAATAAATTTATTTCTATGGATTTTATGTGGGCAGATTGAAATTGGTTGTTAATTATTTATGTTGAAAATGTTTTAATTTATACTGCTGACATCTATGTATTGTGAAAGGTTCTTTGTTATACAAGTATCCTTTATAATTTGTTAGTTATTGATTATTGTATGGTAGGTAGTAAAGAAGCAATCTGCACTGTTACAGGTTACATTTATTGATTAGAAAATATAGCAGTGCTGGAAAACTGGGGAAAACTCTTGTTGAAGTTTACTTTTCATCTCCCAGATGTCGCTTATCTTACATTCGGAAAATTTAATTTTATGAATAAAAACATTTTTCTTTGAATTATGAAACATTCGATTTAATCAATCAGAATAATAGCTTGAACAAATCAAACACTTTTAAAGGTTACATCGTTTATTTGAATATTTTATACACATACAAGATACCTACTTTTTATTAATGTAAGTGGTTTCTTTTAATCTACAATACAACACAGTCTGGAAAGAAATCAAAAGTTAACGTGAAACGTAGTTAGTCTTTGATAATATTCTGCCTCACCAGGGAAATCATATATCTTCAAGTGTATACTTGTAGACTGCGGAAACGAATCCACTATTTCCTAAAAATAATTATTATTTATATTACATTTTACTTTTTTTAAATATGGTGAATGTATCTAACAATATTCGGGCGCTTCCGCCATTATTTTCAAAATATTAGAGCCCTTTTAGGCTCTAGTAACTTACTCTAACAAATCATCTCCATAACAAATGACGCTCAAATGGCCATCAATGTCGTTTTCCGTCATCGGCCTCATGTGAACAGTCACAGAATTATCATAAGCTCCTGAAGATACTAATCGTACTGTCGTAGTATCACAAGCTACAGTTTCAGCGTATCTTTCTAGAATAAATAATATAATTATTATCAAAATTTAAAGATATTTCGTACATTTTTGTAGAGGTACAGTGTAATAGAAGAGAATGTTTTTCGTTGTTCTATAAATAAAGAAAACAATCCCCAATTGAATACCTACACAAATTAGAAATTCCTGTTCTTGTGCAAATAAAATAAAAGCTCGCGCGAATCTCTGTTTGCATTCGGCGAACTGGCATTGTTTGCGATAATTTGTTTTCATTTCATTAGGCGCAAAGACAATTTGTTTACGATAAACAAAGGAAACGCGAAAAAGAAACCTCATTAAGGGGCCAGAAGGTCTTCATTAAAGATGCCCGTTCAGATGTACCTATACCTATTTATTTATTCGCGTTTCGCAGTCAAAGCGAATCGACCGGCAGCCAATGGAGCTTCAAACAATTTTTCGATAATTACCCTTACCCGGCTTCGAATTCATCCCGCAAAAGGAATCGGCGACCTGCATGAACATGTTGTCCAATCCCAGCGAGCCGCCCACCTCCACGTAATCGTCCAGCCCGCGCTTCTTGCACTGAAAGAAAAAAAAATTCTTCAGACTTCAGCACAAAATTCGCGCGGTATCTCGCCCACGAGCCGCCGGATTATTCCACACTCTTTTCCACTGCGACCTTTAATTTTTCTTTGATGGATTTTCAATTCAGCTTCGAGCACAGGAATCATTAAAAATCTAGCTACCCAATTTATCCAATGAGAATTTACGCACATCATCTTGCGCAATTTAAAAAAAATTGCCAATTTTTTTCATATTGTGCTTTTTCGGGTTAAGTTTTAATTTAAATGTTAATTATAAATGGAAAGTGTGGGTGGGGAATAAAGTTCGGGTCCGTTGATATTCCGGCTGTAAGTGGTGGGTTTGAGAAAAAAATAGAAGCGAAAAAGTTTAATTGCCTCGTAAGTACAACGCTAAAAACTCGTACTTGCTGCGAAATTAGTACCCGTTTAACGGCGGCTCCCTCTTAATGGGATTTTCTTTCGCTCGTAGAGAAAGAAATTCTTGTTTTAATTAGGTGCTCGAAATGTTTTTAAACCGCTTGTCCGGAATACGGGCGCAAATTCGAGATCAAAGGGGTTGAATTCGCAATGAGTATATACAACAATTGACGAATTGTAACACTGAATTTGTTTGTATAGCCATCATAATTGGTATTGCTATCGTATGCTGTTACGGTTTAACGCACACTGCATCAGCAAACATTACCCTGCTAAAGTTTATTGCAAACTGCGAAATTTCGTCTTAGTTTCTCACAAATTAATTTGTACCTTATGACTTGTGTCCTTGTATACACTTATGAGCTGAGTAACAAAGTTATTAAAGGCCAGTTTTATACCATAAAGGTGCATCAATTTAACGAATAACTAAATCATGCAAAATACCTGTGACCGAACCTTGTGTATCGTGCCGGTTTCTAGCTGTAATCCTCTTTCTGAGCTGGGTGTTACTCCCACGTCCAAGGATTGTATGTGAACCGAAGCTGGAAAAAGAGTGCTAAGACTGCAGTTGACCCGTTTCCCGTAGTTGTGCATCGTATAAACCGGCTCAAAGACGTCGGATTGGAAGAAAACGTTGCAAGCTAAATAAAAAAATAGTTTCGCGTTAATTATTATAACTAATCCGAAAACTGTAAATTGGCGAGCACAAAGGTGAAACTTTGTATACTTATAATACCTTTTATCAAGTTTCTATTAGCAAAGCAAACTTCGCCGTCAATAGGGAAGCTCATTAAGGAAATATTGAAAAACTTCCGAATGCGAATAAGAAAAGTTTTTCTATTGAATATTGCGGGTAACTTCCTTTAGAAATAAAAACGGATTTGCATTGATGGAAACTTACGTGTCGGATTCTTGATGAATCTGATGTTGAAGCTGAAATTCGTTCCTCTAGCCGGCATCCTGTACTGTATCAAGGCGACGTTCTGCGAGCTCGTGAACACCTTTTTGATCTTCCTTTGGCCGCAGAACTCCTCGAATCGCGCCCTCAACGGCTTCGCGTGATCCCTGGCGCTGGGGAAGAACTCCCCTTTCAGTTCCCAACCGTCCACTACCTAGAAAAATCCCTTAATCCAGCGCTTATCGATACTTATTTTGGGAGTTTTGAGCCTCCCCATCTCGGTAATATTTGAGGTTTTTCGATTCGAGTTTATAACTTTAAACGGGAATATTATAGAAATGTAATACGTGGTATTTTAATTAGTGGAGGAATTAATTTTCGGTGAATTATGAAACTGAAGTTCAGGTAGCATTTCGAAGTACGAATTTTAATTCGCGAACTTTAATTTAGGATGCATTGCGGTTGCAAATTTCAGCGCGTAAGTTATCATCTGGTGCTTCTAAATTAAAGGAGAAACTTCGAACGTACCATTTAATTACAGAACTATAACGAAATCATAACGGTTTCTCCGAAAAGTTCATTAAATTTCACTCCATCAAAGGTAGTAAATATATTTTTTCGTTATAATTAATCATTGGTTTTCGTCGAAAAACCGAATTAAAAGTAGATTAATCAACTTGACCGTAGGAAAAAAAAGTGCTGAGTTTGGGAAAAAAAATCTTACCGAAACTAGGCCTCCGTTTTCACAGGGCACGTCCAAAAAATTGAAACGGATTTCGATGTTTTGATCGGGCTCGGCGAAAATATAAACCCCGCAAGCTTGACCGTCGGCGATTTGAGCTTTGTAATAGAAATCCCCTTCCTCCGATGTCATATGAATGCAATCTACAAAAGAATTACGAAATTTACCGGAATCGAACTTTCCATTAACATCGGGAGTTTGGATGTTATTTTAAAGCCGCAATATAAGCACTCAGGAATACTCTCAGAAATAACTCCACAATCATTTTAACTTAATAAACCGAATTGGAAATTTAATTGCGTTACATAAAGTGTTCGTGACTTTCTCGAAGCTAAAATTTTGTTTATACAAAGTTTTTTATTCATCTGTAATACTTATATCAATATACAAAAAAAAATAGTAGAAAAACACTCGGTAGATATCTCAAGAATTAAATCTACTACGTAGCACCTTATTTTATAATAATGTACTTATATCGAGTTTCTAACGAGTAAAAACCTTGTAGCTTCACATCCTTAATCTTCACTCTAATAAATATTAACAACTCAAACATGAATAACCCCTCTAATAAGTTCTTTGATGCTCAAATTTGAACTTAATTACATGCTCACGACGACGTGAGAGACGTTATTTCCATGGTGCGAACAAAAAAGACGGTTTTGGGGTAATATTTAATTTTAAATTAAAACGTGTAAATGCTTTTTTGCTTTCTAATTTGCATTCACATTTCGATAAGGTAAAATTCTCTCCGCTAAAGCGGTGCAATCGATTTCTCGTTAAAAAAAGGACCTTCACTCTATCGAAATCAAGTTAAATATTCCATCGAAGTTCGAAGGATCTAATTTTCTCGTTGGTCCTAGATTCTTAAATGGATTACAAATAAACAAACTTTAAAGCGTTTCATTGTCTTCGAGGTTGCACCACAAGAGAATATTAAATAGAACTAACGAGATTAGTAAATTTTTAATTAAACGGTATTATAGTGGTAATAATGGTTTTCACATCTTTACTAAAACCGAAATGAATTCGATAAAACCATTTACCGCAAGGCTGAGCAAAGGCGAAGGTCCTTAACGAGGAATATCCTAGATTTACGATTTCTCTTTTTTTTTTAAGAAAATATAAGGAGGTCGTAATGGCGGAAAATTAACGACTAATAGGGAGTTATGTTCATTCGTTTATTAACTGATATTTTTTCGTTATTCCAACAAAAAATAACCATCATTTAACCGCCCTCACGTTTAATAACTTGAACGTATAAGAAACGGCTCGTAATTACCAGGTAATACGGCATTTAAACTTCCAAAAGACGAAGCAATCTTCACCTTAACCCGACAGGAGATTAAAATTGAACGGTAAATCTCGAATTTCGCGTGTAAATATTCCAACATCGACATCAATTGCATTCACAGCGTGCACCTCACCTGAAATATGATGTTCTGAAGTCCTCTTCACCCTTTCGGGCTTCGACAAATGCTTTTGCAGAATTAAACTACGTAAACTCGGAAGACCTTGGGCGGGCTGAGAGAATGCGATCTAGAACAAAAGCGCTTTGAATATGTAGAGTTTAATACGACAGCTCGGGTAATAGAGAGAAGATTGTTATGTTTATTTTTAAATCTTCGAATGCGGGATTTGTAAGTACCTAATTTTCTCTACATTCTTTCTATTATACTTGAAAGAAACAACACTGTATTACTCTTGACTCAACTTGTATATTAAACCCAATATTGCACCTATAAATCCACGCGTAAAGCCCATAAAAGTTGGAGTGCGTGTATATTTGTTTTGGTTTCTGGTTCATAAAGGAACCGGGGTCAAGAGCCCTCGTCCATTCTCTTTTAGTTCGTCCAGCTTTTCCTAATGGAAACTCAACAGGTCACAGTGACACGCGATAAATCTTGTTTTTCTCGTTCATAACGCCCGCGAAAGAGGCTCTTTCTCTCCTGCAAACGGTACAAGTTCTCGGGTAATGGCGTGGGTAAACGAAAATTATCCGGGCGATTTAATCGTAACTGTAAATGTCTTGTTGTTTTAACCGACAAACTGATGGCGAATGATTGTCAATTAACGTTGATTGCACGTAGATAAAATTAGTCTAATTGTAAATATTGGTTCTAAAAGGTGCGCTGCACTTCATGTAGATAATTGAATAAAATAACATAATATGCATTTATTCACTAAAAATAGCTCGCATTATGAAAGATAGAAAGCTAACACAAAAGTCAATTAGGGTTATTAAAAAATATTTTTGGTCATTTTAAGAGACTATTGACATAAAGGACTTTTATTTTAAAAACAATAATTTCATTGTTCCCGAGAAATTAACCTAAATTACAGCTATTTGATTGCACTTACGCAGCGGTCCCTCTACAAGGGACCTAAGTGTTAAATCTAATTTTCTTCGACTGCGATTGAAATAAATATTACACGACAGGGAGCGCTTCGGTCGAAGACCTGCGGAGTGCCCAGTTCATTTTTTTGCCTTATCGATTTCATTAAGACACAAAATTCTCCACACACGCCTACACATAATACTTTCACCCCAACTTCAAACCTGATGAAGGTTTAGTCGAAGCCGAAACGTTTCTTTATTAATTTCCAGTCTAAAGAGTTTCTGGTAGATTTTGGGTAGATATAGGGTAGGGCGGGGCTAGTTGAGCATACGGGTAAGTTGTGCAATTGAAATATCTCGCAAACTATTCACCGTACGCATAAACATCTTATGGCGGAAAGAAGGGGTCGGGGGAGACCTAATCACAGAGCTATTGCAAGTGGCGCCTCGACAAGCGAGTAAAGCCCCCGTGCGTTTTGTTTTTTTTGTGACCAAAAAGTAAAAACGTCGTCTATCGCAAGTTTTCGTCTGTATTAGTCAAATATTATCCGTTTTCAATGGGGTAAGGGTTAATATTCCAGAAAATTATTGTACTTTTGATATGTAGAGATGTTCTGGTTATAATTCTTACGATTTCTTTATGACCTCACTTTTATTTTAAAATTGCGGGTTGGGGTTAGTTGAGCAACTACTGCGAAATTTACCAGGAGAAAGTTGGATTCACTGCCAAGCTTGCAGGGAATGGGCACAAATAAATTGTCTTCCAGGTGCTATGGTCTTACTTTCATTTGTATTAATTGCAACAGTAACAACGACCAAAACTTGCTAATATATTATTAATATTTTTTTAAGCTATTTAATTCTGATTTTAAACAGAAAGCTCGTAAATTACTTTAAGTTTTGTTGTTTTGTCACTAAATCACAATAAATAAAGAGATGATTATAAAAATAAACATATCCTATATGTAAACATACCGTTGCTCAACTTACCTCACCTATGGGGTACATTGAGCATACTTGACTTTCTGCATTTAAACAGCTGTAGCTCTTAAATTCAACTAGTTACAAAAAAGTTACTATGGGCACTTTTGTTAAGGGATAAATTACTAATCCATCAAGCCACATAACAAGTCATTCACACATATCATTGATGAGCTATATCCGCTAAAGTGAAAAGTTGCTCAACTAGCCCCGCCCTACCCTACTAAAGAGTTTTTATTTATAGGTACTATCACCAGTAGTGATAATATTTTTTTAATAATTTATCTAATCCAGAATTCTGCCTACTTTTGTTGAGTCAATTATAAATTTCCCCGTCACATCCATATTCCTAGAATAATTCCTTACCTAAATTACGACTAGCCGACCGCACAACGCGTATATGGAAAATTCAATTTCGTTATCCGCATCTAATTTTCACACACAAATTCCCTAATCTACGACGACACTTCGCACGAAAATTATTCGTTAAGTTAAATTTAGATTAGGGAGCTTTAATGAATAAATACACTCACGTATTCCCCAAAAAAATGGAATTTCATCGGGTAATCCGCGATTTTTAATTAAAACCGGCCAGTCGATTAAATCAATGATATATTGAAAATGTATGAAGATCGCGCGTATGATTGCCGATTTATTGTGCTTTAGGTGATAATAAAATTAGTAATTTTTGAAATACATAGAGATTTTGATGAAAAATCTGTATAATGATCCCATAGTAATTCTTTGGTTTGAGGAGTGTTAGTAGGTACTACTAACAATATAGTATATTTTTTGGATCATCCTGTATTCAAATATTTAATTAAATTATTAGGTAACATTTCACCAAAATCATCGATTAATATAATGAAAAAAAAAGTAACTAAATTGTAAAAACATCACAAAGAAGCAGAAGGTACTGACCTTTCCGGGGGAGCCTCCGAGAGAGGCCAAGGCTAGGGCGCCGGTGGCCGGTCCGGCGTCGGGACGGGCGCGGATGGCGGCCACCAGGCCGAGGAGCAGGAGCCATCCGAGCGGGCGATGCATGCTGCGAGCGGGACGCCGCGAAGGACGAAGGACGATGGACCTGGTGCGTTCTGCGAGAGCGATGCCGGAGGGACACAACGAAGTGGCCGCGCTATGTGGAACAATTCGCGCGTCGGCGGCGGTTTTATAGCGCCGCGACGGGACGGTGGTTCTTGCGTACACGCTACACTGATGTATGCAATACTGTACCGTGGATGTTTGTCGGGGAGGATTCGCTGTTGTTGGTATACACAACTCACGGAGACATTGTTTAATCTAAAGGAGTATTAAGCGTTGTTCGCGAATAGATCATTTACGGCCGCTTGAAGTGCTATACTGCTGGGTGACCGGAACTCGTTGAAACCGAAGAATTTTTTTATTTCCGCCTTCACCAATACTATCATCATCATTTTAGTGTCTACGATAATCCGATTCGCTCTAAATTGCCCCAAATGCGCAACGTGCTATGTTGTTCTGCAACAAAAGGAACTTATTTGAACCCGTTAAACAAACAATCCGGCATTAATTTTACAATTAATACCTCTCGCGTATTTTACTGATTATTATTAAACCCTGTGAGTACACGTTCGTTTATTTTATTGTTAACGACGGTTTTGTTAGCACACCGTTTACGAAATACATACAGAAATGTTTAACTTCCTAATTAATTCAAGTATTTTTGAACACCTAATTTAGTATCATAAGTTAACAAAATTGAGAAATACAAATATATAAAATATACAAGTATTTTCATAATTTGTACAAATAAATCAAATAAATAGTAGAATTAATCTCTTTAACATCGAATAATTACCAGTATAATTTTTTCTTAGATATTAGTTTTCTCAACTAAATTTATTTTTCTCGTTCTGTAAAGTAATGATTCGTATTAGAACAGTCTGCTTACATTTCCGAATGGATGCTCCTTTTGCAATGGATTTTATAGCGGGGAAAATAAAATTTTACTGGCGCTAAAACCTACATCATTGGACAGTAACAAGGTTCGACTCGTCGAGGAAAAGGGTACGCGCTCATCTCCTGAAACGTTCATTGTATCTTTCGCGATAGAAAGCGGCAAAGCGATTTTTTCCCGTCGAGCGAAAGATTTAGAAATAATTAAGAAAGAAATTTTGCGAGTACTCAATATCGGCTTATAAAAAACTGAAACGATTTCTTTTGTTGATTGTTAGAAAGTTTCTGATTGAGCTCTCTCAGCAACTGATTTTATAGCGACAGCATAAAATTTTTATGAGCTTTTAAGACCTATTTTATTAGACAATGCTGGATGAACAAGGGTGTACTCCTTCAATAAGGATGTTTATTAATCTTTAATTAACCTTAATTAACTCTATAATCTTAATTAGGTGAAAAGAAAATTGTTATTTTTTTTAGATTTGTATAAAATTTAGTTAATTAACTTTCGTGATACAAATGGCGATACAATGAATATTGTGAAATAAAGACGTTTAAATTGAAATATTTTCTAATTAAATTAAAGCTTGTTCAATAGAAGTTTGGAAAATTCGATCGAGTTAGGAAGCTTTTAGAACTTCAGGAAACTTGGTATCCAAAATCTACCAGTTAATTTCATATAGATACCTAAACTAAATATAATGGTTCTAATAAAAAAACTGTATTTCATTGAAACTGTAAAATTTACGAGTAGTTTGAAAACTGTCTGAAATATATGAACTTTTCTCTAGAAACAAAAACTATAATAAATTTCCTATCGGTTAGGAATTATTAGAAAATATGTAAAATATGTTCCAAACAATTTTTCCTAAGGGTTTAACTTTAAGTTTAGAGAAAATTGAAAAATGTCGACTGTATTTGAATTGGTATGAAGAGTAAACAAGTACTCGCGGGGACAAAATGTAAAATTTCTACAACTAAGCTCGAAGCAAATAAAATTGATTTGTATAAACTAACATTTCCGATTTGTTTTCATGTACATTTCTACAATATTAATATGAATAAAGTTTGTACTCACTCAAATCTGCGAATTAGACAATAGAAACTCCAACATAACACTTCTTTAAATCGAATCCTCTAGAGTTTAACGACACCTTATCTCTCAACGTGAACTCTTAAAAAAATACTCGGCAATCCATGAAAAGTACAAATTCAATTCGCCGTACTTACAGCTTTTATACCGGCTGAAAACTCCCAATACGCCCACGTTAAGTTAATATTCCGCTATCTCGTCGACGATTTCGATACAAAAAGATACAACGCAATTTCGCATTAATACTAGAACCTTTTCTCTTCGCGTGTATTTTTTTTAATATTATCCTCTTATCTGTTTGCCCAACTCGACGTCAGGATTTTTATTTTGAAGACAAACAGTTTTACTCGAAAAAAAAACTGTACATGTGAGGTGAATCTTATTTGCTCGAGAAAGATCAACGATTTGTCTGTTCTTTCACGGGGTGGTCCTGTTTTTCACAAAGAGCCTCAAATATTTACTTTATATAAATATAACATCATTAGATAATTCCACTAAAATTACCTACATGACTCTATTTAAGTTTTTTTTTATTTATTTGCTGATAAGGCAGCATTGTATTAACTCATTTAATTTAAGAACTTATGACTGGCGTTGAGATTAAATCGGTACATGCAGCTGGTTATGAACGGCGGGATAATTAAAAATTTCGAAAGGAACAAGTTTAGTGTGATTAGAACGTCAATTATTTGCGCAATTTAAGCGATAGAAAATCGAATTGAGCTAACTATGTAGACTAATTTTCTATCTAACAAGAATATACGCGTTAAGTAAAATAGTAATTTTCTCGTAACCTTCTTCTTAGAGTTTCGTGTAAACAAAATATCGATACAGGAAGATGTCTCAACGAGTATTTATCGTATCAAATTTCTACACCAGAGAGTACATAATGGACGTTCTGTTAATGGATCTTCAAATTATTTACGTGTACATATTTTCGTATTCTGAACAGCTTCGATTAAGTTTTTAACTTCTCGTTGAAATAAAATAGGAATTTTATTGCTGAAAGAAAACTTTAACGTACTCGATGTTTTAAAAGTTTCTATACATACAAAAAGATTGTTTTGGGCTTTATTCGAAAGAATACTTCTCTTTTGCGAAACACAAAAAACCACTTAAACATTCACCTAAAATAAATGAATATAGGTAAACACGCTTCAAGGGAGATATTTCTATAAAATGTAATAAAAAAACTTCTATTTTTAATATCCCCTCTGCGCTGAACAATTTTGTTATTAGGTACATGAGTGGATATAAAACTAAAACGAGTTTGTAGCAATTCAGATTTACGAACTTCCTTTCAGGAAAACCTACACAATGAAGTTAAATCCGCAGCCATATCCTACTTGTAAAGAAAATGAAATTTAAAAGCGCACTTTTCTGCTTTCCTTTAACAATTTTTATCTAACGAACGCTCGCTCTAAACCCCCATTTTAATACTTTATTAATTTATGAGAATGTAGGGGGGCCAACTTATTTTAATCAATTTGCGTACATATTAAAATATTAATTAAATAAGTTGATGGAATTTTAAAATAACCTCTGTTTAGAAGATTAGAGAAGCCTGAGAACAGTAAACTTTTTATTAATTGTAGGTAATCTGATTGCTTCTTAGATATTTTATTAAATAACTCAACAACAGGAATGATAATAGTTTATTTAATAAATTAAGTTACAACTAGATTAATTTGAGTATTTAGTGAAACTAAAATATCTAAAAATTATTCAACAAGAAAGTATAATAAATAAACATATTCAACTTAAATAAATAAATAAGTAAATAAGTGAAATTATGAATAATGAAGAGCATCCTCAAGATGATATATTTTCTTTAATGATATCGATCCTAGGATGCAAATAATCGTAGCCTTCGTAGCTGGCGTAATTCGGCGCTCGTTGTCCTTCGATGCCATCGTAAGGCCACTGTCTGTCGTATTGCCCTGAAAATTTCATTTTCCCTTTACCTCTAACCAGAAATCAATTTCCACAATTTCCAACGATTCGAAGTCCTTCATCGTTCGAATCTAATACGCTCTCTAATACGCAAGGTTATTTGTTTTACTACCACATTTAATAATTATAGACCTACCTAAACAAAAGACTTTCCCATCAAAATATCCATAACCACCACCTCTTAAACTCTCTACATCAAAAGAAAAAAATACGTCAAGCAGATCGGGATAATCTAACGTCTTACATGGTTGTCCGTAGGTCGAATACAGGCCGTAATTGAAGTTGCTGGTGGCGATCTTCTTCAGGCCTTGGATGGAGGTGAGCAGCAGCGCCATCTTGGCCAGCAGCAGCGCCTTGCCGCCCAAGATGGCGAGGAACTGGAAGCCCATCGGTATGACGATGAAAGCGGCCGCTATCAGCCCGAACATCAGCAATTGGGAGAACATGTTCTGCCTTCGGCGCCCTCTACCTGCGAATACATGTAAGATGTTTGATTAATTAACCGGGTACGTGACGTCAGAGTAGATGTGGTTGCCTAAATTCTGTTTGCAATTTGGGTTTGAGTTAATTAGAAGTAATTATAGAAGGGAATGTTATGCCTTTGTCAAACACTTTGTTTTCTTATAATATAAGCTCGTTAATAGAGGGCGAAAATAACTGAAATTTCCATAAGCACCAGCCGGTATGCTTGTTGTGGCTTTCATGCCGAAATCTGTTCTATAATCCTATTAAGATTGAGGCAGGGGCGCTACAAGTAGGCCCTACTCGCGAATTAATTTTCGCTTCGAATAAATAACGAATAATTAGAACGTTAATTAACAGTCAATAGGAAGGCGTTCGTCGTGTAACAAAGGCATGAAGAATTAATGGTGTAATTAGGAATTTGAATACATTTTTTATGGGCCTTTTTTAACGATCCGCCCGCGGTTTCGATTCCACTAAAATCGCGCGGCGGGCAAAACGGACGCAGAGAAAGTCGAAAACAATTAGAACGATTCAATTAAACGCCTATATTCAGTTGTTATTAAATTTTCCTCGTACGCCGGAGTGTAATTATCCGACAAACAAAGTTTGATTAAAAAGAATTAGTATGTGATCGATTTTTTTTAACTGCATTACCTTCGGCGCTCGGCTGGGCGTCGAGGCTTTTCAGCCGAATTTTCAATACGTGAGTGTTGAATAAATGGGCGAGTGCATCGGCGAATTGCCGTTTCCAGTCCGCGTCGTTCTCTTCCAGGCTCCTCGAGATTATGATGTTCCTGTAAAAAGAAAAGATTACGACCGTAAATCACGTTTTTTAATATCCGAAATAGAAAGAAACAAGTGGAAGCGTGTGGTGGGAATGGCGGTTTGTCTCCTGTTGCTTATATTGACTGAAAAAAGGCAATTTTTTTCTTGGTGTTTCCATCATTGCGGAATTCCAGACGATAAATGTGGCATGTCGAGAGGGGGCGTTAATTGCTTAACTTTGTATTAATGTTTTACGACCGGCTATCGTAAATTTTATGATAGTTTTATTAATTTATTAGCAGCGACAAAGGCTAAATGAATTAAAAAGAAATTCCATTAGTGAAACTTTTTCCACATAGGTATAATTAATTTATCAACTAGTTAATTTTATTTCATATTTCATACCTTTGGTGAATAATAAAATTACCCCTGTCGCCCCTGTATGTACGGAATTTTCATCATTCAATGCCGCTACAAAATATTCTCCCGTCCCTTCGAATTCCTGAATTTCGTACTTAATATTTCACAAATGAAATTTCAGGTTTGTGGCACTCGAGAATATTTTTCCTTCTTACCTTCACTTAATAAGATTTCACTAGTCTTTCAACTTTTTTCTAATAAAGAGATGTAATAAAGATAAGAAATTTTTTTCTCTCGCATCCCCTTTTCCAAGAGAAACGTCCTTTTTTATTGTTTACCTTATTTACCTATCCATTTTACCACCTTCTGCAAACTGATAAGAACATCTTTACCTGTTTGGTACTAAAAGTACTCGCAAACCGTTCAAATCTCTTATTACCTATCGAATGTTGAGTGAGGGTGTACGAAAATTACCAAAGGTAAGTCACTCTTCATATTTTTCAAATTACTATAAATGCTCACATTATTTTTTTACTCAACTAAATTAGCATCTACAATGAAGCATCTCCTGCTCTTCGCTCTCTTTCAATCCATTCTATCGATAAAAGCTGCTGCTGTATACGAAGAAATAAAACCGGTACCCCAAAATTCGAACATTTCACCATTGAGAAGTCCGATTTTCCCGCATCAACCACCCCAAGAACCGCCCAGCAATGAGGTATCCCCTAAAACCGATACCGAAATAGAGCCTAGCTCTAAAACAAGTATGTATACGATCGCGTCGATTTTAACGGCTGCCTTAGCAGTTTTCATTCCCTTTAAAGCCTGCTATTCATCCGGCGATTGCCAGCAGTTCTTCGCGGACTTGCTCAGCATGAACGACAGGAAGAAAAGGGAATTGGAGTATCTGGAAACCGTGGCGACGGCGTTGTTGGATAATTTCCTGGAGAACGACGCCGTGGAGGATAATAAGGGGCACATACAGGAGATCGCTCGAGCTTCTTACAGCGAACCGTTGTTAGTGACATTGGCGAGATATTTCGATAAATACGCCGATAAATCGATCAAGAAACACACCAAAGCGCTGATATTCTTTCTAGTTCACGTTTTGGGTAAAGTATTCGGCATGTTTAAATATTTGCTGAGGGTTATTTCACAATACGGCATTTTGTAATAGTGTTGTTCAAATAAGTGTTATGTAAAATTAAAAGTATTCAGTAAATGTATTGTTATCTGGAGTATTTAAATATTATACTAGAATAATAAATTGTGTATAATATGTAAATGTTTTTGTCTTATTTTTGCGCTGGTTTTAGGAAATACTCGCACTCTTTCATATGCATTATCTAGAATATTCCTGGATAATACTTGGAAAAAGGGTTTATATTTTGTTTCAATCCTTGTGTGAGCAAAAATGGAAGCAAAGTCCTTCCGAATCCGCAGTGATAAATTCATCATTGAGAATATTCAGCATACACTAGTACCACATAAAAGCAATTTTCTTAGTTTTATCCGCTGTTATATCCAGTAAATCTCTACAGTGAAAGAGTAGTTAACCAGTGACGTATCTATAAGGATGTATATCCAAATGAATTTTTATTTATTACAATTTTAATTTATCCGTTTTTTAACACACATCTACAGTGCGACTGTAATAGCTGAAGACGTGACCAGTGCAACTTGGAAATCTCAACCCCTTACTAAACATTTATTCAGATTTAAATATTTTTTTCTTGCTTGTTACGCTTCTGCCCGGACAATCTTTCACGACGCATTAAACAAAAATCTATCTAGATGAAACGGTTATGCCTCCAAATTGTATTTGAGCCTCCTTCGGCCGAAACGAGCGGATTATTTATCCGTCGTCAACTTCTGTTTTCGTCCTTGGGACGGCCTGACCCGTTCCATTAAACACTTCTTGACTCGACTTTCGCAACATATTTTCGTTGGGGATCCTTTACATTAATACACCAAGAAAAAAACGCCGTATAAAAGGAAACTTCGCCCAAACACATGCTCCCCATTAGGAAGAAAAAATAGTACACAAGGTGTTTTGTTGGAGGCAATTATAAGTTTACTTACCGTTGTAATTCGGTGATATTGCTCAATTTATATTTAACCAGCTCAATGCCTTCTGTAACTTCAACGACATCTGCTTCAGCGGCTTTGTAAAGGGCCGCGAGGCCTCTTCTACGCAGACAGCCCACCAGAATGGCGGGAAGTTGGCGTGGATTCGAGGATATTTTGACCTCTTGGTTTCGGTAGCATTTACTCAATATTAACCCGGCTGTTCTGCCCGCCTGACGCCAGGCTTCCGAGGTTTCGGTCCATGCTGGAAGCACCAGCAGCACTAGGAAGGCGCACGTATGCATCTGGTGCAGCACGATAAATAAATTAATAAGTTAAAATCCTCGGTGTGTTATGGTTAATGTTGTTGCTTCTAATGGGGCTTTTAAAAAGTTTTTATTATCGCGCATTATTATCACTTTTATTGCCGAGTTTTGATGTAATTTGTGGGATAATCAAATTAATTTTAACTGTAATAATAAACTTGCTTGATGTAAATTAGCTGGAGGTATAAAATTGAGTTGACAGCACGAAAAGCGTATTTGAATGTGTATCAATTTCTGACCCACTAAACAACCGAGCGATGTATAATAAATAGAAAAAAAAACGAAACAATTTTCCGCAACTCACGTTCAATGCAGCGTCTATTGTTTTCCTAATAGATCGAATTCTCTATCCAAGAACGAACAATACGCAATGTGCACATATCACAAAACATTTCGTTCTGGCGACGATGGCCATGCATAAAAAACATCCGGATCGCAACTGCATGCTACCGTTGACATCAAAGAACTTTTATTGCATTTCCGACGATGCACTGCGTGCATTCGGGGGGTGGTGCAGGCGGTGCCGTGACTTCGATGGTTCCGGCATGTGGTGCGTGAAAAGGAACTTGTAAAGTTGGCGAAATGTAATCTTTGATTGAGAAAATATCATATGAAAAATAGGTAGTTAGAAACGGAGAGAAATTTGACGGGTCTACGCAGCAGACCCATCGATATTTACAGAGATTAAGTCGAGCTACCGAGCAGCGAGCGAGACCTTAGTTGTTTTATATTTAACTGTCTTTGCGTAGAAGGCCATAAGGCCTTTGAGCTGCGGGTCTAGAGATGGAGGTCAGAGCCCATTATTGTAATTCTGTAATAGCTGTAATAGCTGTAATAGCTCGCCCAGCGAGAAACCGGCTATGAAACTGTGAAGCTATAGGGGCATAGCCCTTTCCGAGCATCCAGCGAGTTACCAAGGCTAAAAATGCAGTGAAAAATCAAGGGATTGCCAAGTACACGGAGTAGAAGAGTTTCAAGGCTGAACAATTTGAGAGACTGGTATGATTTCAAAGGATCTGTTTAGAGTTGCAATTAGTAAAGTAAAAATTGCAATGATTTCCAGCCTACGATAGGAGTTGGAACTAGAAGAAGCTATATATTTTTATGAATTTTATTATCTTTGGTTGTTTTTGTGGAATTTAAGGAATATGTAAGAATTTGAGCGAAACAAAAAAAATAAAATTTCTTCGACCGGTTTTCGAGAAATGACGATAATTTGCATAAAATAAACCCGACATTGTCCACCGCAAGTGTAACATGTCTGTTTACAGTGGTCCGTCGAGTGGAAAATTACGTGTGCAATTTTCTTTTCACGAATGTATCCATTAGGTCTTTTCTGTTATTACTTACAGCTCGGTTATTAAGGGTATTGGTACTGCGGTACGGTTTATCATTACGCTTGCTAGTTTATCAGTCTATTTGTTATCGGGCTGTAATAAAGCGATGATTATATTTTAGAAAACCGATTGAAATACCTCAGTTTTTTCAACAAGTTTAGCCGATTCGTTTTGTAGCATTTTATAGCTCTACATTTTAGTTTTAAAAATTTGCGATAATTTATCACTCGAGTCATAAATTTATATAAGATTGATTTAGATAATATTTAACGGGGTTTACTTGTATGATTAAGGGGTTTTACGTGTCTGTTAACCGACGTCACGGTTAATTTCTGAATAATGCTGGGATTAATAAATTTTCTTACGGTTTCTACTTAATCGTTCAATTTAAATATAAATCAATTCGTTGCTATGAGGTCGGTTTATCATTTTGTAAACTGTAAAGTACAAAAATAATGTGTGGGTACAATTTATTGAGAATTAACGTATTAGTGAAATATTTATAATCAAACAAATGATAAAGAACATAAATAAATATTAAAATAAATAACGAAATTAATTGCACATTAAGCATGAATTTAACATTTTTAAGTATTATATCGAACTGAAGCGAGAACGGTTATGGAATACTCTGCAAACAGTCCTTTATTTGACTCCAAGTTTGTAATCCCTAAAACAGAATTATTCATTACAGTTTTACAATTTTATTAAACCTAAATTAAATCACCTTTCTAGCAATTTTAAGTTGAAGGAATGCATAGTTGCTGAGAGTATCTCTGAGATCTAAGACTTTCTGCCTCTGAAACCGTTCAATATCACTTTCAGCCCTTCGTGTGAAATCACTGCAACAAAAATTACCTCAATAATTCGAAAATATAGCCGGTGCAAAACAAATATCAATGCACGTCACCTATGATTTACTACGTCACAAGTAGGCAGTGTTGCCGAACTTTTATATCTGACTCTGATTGAACTAGCCAATTAATTGAAAATTAAAAGTACCGATCGGATGACAATGGCAACTATGCAACTTGACAGTCAGTGCCTACCAACCTACTATAAGAAAATAATAATAATTTTATATACAAACGTTGAATTTTGACAATATATATTTTTTTGGATGATTTAATTCTGCGTTTCAACATTTTCTATCATCCCTTGTTAATATTAAATTAAATTCTGCAGGTTCTTAATCTATTTTGTGCATTTATTTTTAAAAGTTGGTCAGAATGCTTGGCAAGTATGACGACAGTTGTGACGTGCATTGATATTTGTTTTGCACCGACTATATACACAATTATTTCACACATACCACAAACCATCTTTGGACTTAGCAATGGCGTTGCAACCATCCTGAATCTGTTGGTCCAACAAACCCACTTTATATTCGCGAACTTCCTCCGTATCGACCGCCCCGAACAGCTTCGACATCAAACCCGTTTTACCTTGTTGCACTTTCGTACGTTCGCTGTTTTTACTCGACAAACTCTCCTCGGCGTCTTCCAGCTGTAGCTGCAACATTTCGTGATTCTTGCACAAATTCTGCAAGGCGTAAGCGAAGAATAAGTACTCTTTCAATTGGTCCGCTAGGAGTTCCTCGTCTTCGAGACTAGCATCTATACTGTAAGATAAACAACGCGATTGGTATGTACTCGACGAGCTTCATGGGTGTTACCTTAAAGCTAAAGAATCCAAGTAATGGCCGGTTTTTTGCAGGGCGTCGCCCATGTCTTTCTCGATGGCACTCCATTCGCTGAACACCCTTCCGTAATTGGCGTGTAGCTTGTGAACGTTGAATTGCTTCTCGGCGACTCTAGAACGAGCCTTGAGGAGATTGTTGAGGTTCGTGGCTAAAGTTACACCGTATTCTTTAACCGCTTCGAATTCTGGATTGGGTTTTTTCAACCTTATCGATACGCTGAGGCTTTTTATCTTGTTTTCGACTAGTTGAAGGTAACCTGAAGTGGGCAAACAATTAGTTTCGTTTAGAGGTGGATTTAAGCGAGTTTACTAACCGTTGGATTTGTAAGACTCCCTCCATCCGTCTTCCTGTTGTAGGAATTCCAGGAAATGCTCGTCCCAGGTTAGACCCGGATGGGCTGCTATTCTTAATAAAAAATTCTCTAAGCCAGCCCTTCTTCTGTCTACGAAGTTGGGATCGAAAGTATCATTCGAGATTTTCTGCCAGCCGTACATGACCCTCTTCTCGGGCAATGGAGGTATGACTAGGAACGGATATGTCACCTCCAAGTAATCGTGTAATTGCTCGAATTCTGTGTACCTTCTCCATACTGTTGTTAGCTTGCCTACCTTTTTCTGGAAGTCTGGATCTGTAACCCTAAAAAACCAAAATTTATTATAAATAATGTAGTGTTTAAAAAGTATTACTTTTCTATCAATCCCACTGGATACATTTTTCTCATAAAGCACGTTAATTATTTCGTTTTAAAGGACACAAACTGAACTTTACACTGTTAACTGTAAAATAATTACACAAACTAGTACTCACTTGGTTTCTATTAAGTAAACTGTGTAGTAATCTCGTAAATTTAGGGATCCTGTAACCCGTTTCTCGGATTCCGATACGGATATTTCCAAATGATTTAGAAGGGTATCCCTCGATAAAGCGTTACTGATACCTTCGCTACCTTCCTTCGTAATTTCCTCTTCACTCATTTTTCTATAAGGTCAATGGAGTTTCATTTTCTCGTATCCTAATTCGATTGAAACCGCTTTAGAGCATGTTTATTGCTTGTACTTTAAGGAACTGATTTAATTAAGGCAATTATGAGTTTTATTGTAATGAGACGATCAAACAGAAGTTGACATCATACTCCCATTTTTGAATAAAAAGTATTTGTACTTATTGCTTTGTGACATTTTCAAATATGTTTTGACATTTCAACTTGTCAAAAGAGCGATTAAATTGGCGGTAGGTGGCGTTAAAAATTTAAAAAAATGTATTTTTATTAATAATCGTTTAATTGGAATGCTATAATTTATTATAATCCTATTAATACAAAAAAGTGGTTTTTAAGTACTAGTTAACTAGATTTCATTTAAATAGTATTTGCTGATAACATATATTGCAGTAGGTTCAATTTAATACTATATAAAAAGAAGAGTTTTTGACATTTTATTGACAATTTAAACGACCTTGTAATGTCACGATACGTGACGTATCGCCTTGCCACCCGCTTATCTGCAGTCGTATGGTGTGTGTAATGTTTTTGAATAATAACATAAAAGTTAATAACTAACGACAATAAGAGATTTCCACATTAAAATTTACACATAAAATACGTCCTACTAGTGATAAGTAGTTCGTCTTGTAATGGACAGATTGAACATTTTTAACAGAGTAAATTGTCAAGAGGTAGGTAAGTTTTAAAAATTTACATCACTTTGTATATTTGCAGGTTTAATTTGAATGATTCAATTGATATAACACCTCACGCGTTCACGTGAGCGGAATTAAAAAAATATAATGCTCATTTTAACTTGATTCTGAAATTAAAGTTTTAGTGTAGGAGAGGTTATAGTTTAATAAAACAAATTGAAGTTCAGGATCATTGTACATTTTATCTTTAAGAATCTTGAATTGTTACATAATTTAGGAAAAAATACACTGCTAATTAGATAATTGAGTTATGTTATACCAGAATGCAAAGTTCTATTTACACATTTACATAATTTTCGGACAGATTATTAATTATCTTAATTATAATCTTGTAATAGGTTTATTAATTGATTTGAACATAATTAATTAAAGTACCTAAGCCTTTCTGAGTTTTTTAAGGAACTGCAAATTATTAATTTTAGGTTTTATATTAACAACAATTAATATAATTCTTATCTAGGAGAGCTTAAAAAATCCTTGACAGGTCCTATAGTTTACTGATTACCATAAAATTGATTTACGTAATTGCTCGAAATAGTATATGTCTATTAAGAAATTGTTTATTATAAACTAAATTCATTGATTTTTGGAAAATAACATTTACTGTTTCATTTATTATCAAGATCTTAATTAACAATAAGTATTGTTTTGCTGAATGGAATTTGATTCAAACCGAAACTTCAATAAGCCATTTTCTAATATTTTTGCAATAAAATTCAGCCATAATTGACCATTAAAAAATATGACAATATAAAGAAGTACTTACATATGTATGTATGTAAAATATGCATAATAAATTGCAATTAAAAACACTTTTAAAGTACTTATTAATAAAAAGTTGCACAACTGAAAAGATCTTACATATAAATCGTTTATAAAAAGATAAGGAAACAATAAATTTAATAAAATTTAATTAGAGATTTGTCAAATTTGCCTAATAGGTGCACACAAAATTGATTTCAAAAGTTTCATTATTTATTAAACATGTTAACATTTATACATATTTTATTATACAGTATTTTTTGTATCCTATCAAAGTACAGGGACATTAACATGTAATTAAGATGTTGGTAATACACTTGACATTCCTCTATTTTTAAGAATTTGACAAAACGAATTTTTAAAAAAATGTCTTTTCACGATTTTTTTCTATTTACAATCATTTACGCGAAAGTTTCGGTCGGGATGAAGAACCTCTGCACGAATTTAATATCCAATATATTGCACGACATACTAAAATCTGCGCTGTGACTATTTTTATACCATAATGACGTAACTTTTTTTTGGTGTATTTCTCCGATACCCATGTCCTTTTTTTGCGCATAAGAATAGAAGTTCACCGAGTTGTTGTATTTTTTAAAGAGATATTGCTATGTCCAGCTCCAGAAATATCGTTTATGTAGTCGAGGTCAGTTACAAAAAAGGGATTATTATGATATAGGTTTGTTTAATTATATTTTTGAAGTATAGTTAACATAGTTTTATTTGCGTGCTTGTTTATTGTTCGACTAAACTTAGCTTCTATTTAAGACGAGTGAGGCTGTTGGTGTTTGAATTTGCGGAGTTTTATTTAATAAGTAACGATTTGCGTAGTTTTTAATCTGATATTTAAAAGATTTTTACGTTTTTCTTTGTTGACTATAATTTCATATTTACATCAAGAAATTATATAGTTTTATTAATATCAATAAATCCTCTGTTTGTACTTTCTGAGTAGTAAATTCAGATAAAATTCGACCTTTACGCGACCTTTATTATAAGCATTCATGCGACCTGAGCATGTTTTTTAAAAAATGAATTATTCTGAAATTTTAAAAATAGCCGGACGATTTGTTTTAATTCAATTTTGAGAGATAAATTCACCTCGTACAGAATGCGTTGGATTTTTGCAGTTTTATCTTGCACTGTGATTTTGATTCATAATGACTCGTCCCCATTTGCCCCTTTTGATTCATTTAAACTCGTCCCCATTTGCCCCTGTTGAATCATACTAACTCGACATCATTTGGCCCTTCTGATTGATATTAACTCGTCTCCATTTGCTCCTTCCGATTCATATTAACTCGTCCCCAGTTGTCCCTTTTGATTTATTCCCTATTCGATTCGTCCCTATTTTCTCCTTTTAATTTTTAATAACTAGTCCCCATTTCTCCTTTTTCATTCATATTAACTCGACTTCATTTGCCCCTTTTAATTCATCTTAACTCGTCCCCTTTTGATTCATATTAATTCGTCCCCGTTTGCCCTTTTGATTCATATTAACTAGTCCCCTCTCGCCTCTATCTAACGGTATTCTTCGATTATTTTTAGGGCGGTGGTTTTCTGAAAAGAGCGAACGAATCCCACCTGCATGACATCTTCAACAGGTACGCTTCCGCCGAGAAAGATGGCGAGAAATTCATGACCCCGGAGGATTTCGTTATAAAGTACCTGCGCCTTTTAGACGACAAGAACTTCAATACAGACACCATAAGGCTTTTGGCCGCCATCGTAGACACCAGCAAAGATGGGCTCATCTCCTACGCCGAATTCCAGGCCTTCGAAGGGCTGCTGTGCTTCCCCGACGCCCTCTACAAAACCGCTTTTCAATTATTCGATACGAACGGAAATGGAATGGTTAGTTTTCGTAAGTATTTCTTTTTATAATTTGTATGAAACTCATCTATTGTTGTGTTGCAGAGGAATTCGTTGAGGTAATGACGAAAACCGAATTACACAAGAAAATCCCATTCAACATGGACTCGCCGTTTATCCAATTGTATTTCGGTAAAGACAAGAAACGGTTGGTTACCTACAACGAGTTCTCGCAATTCCTGCACGATTTCCACGAAGAGTACGCCATTGAAGGTTTTAGAAGGGCGGATAAGAGCGGCAGTGGTTTTATATCTGTTTTGGATTTTCAGGAAATCATGACCAGCATAAAGAGTCATCTGCTTACAAAGCAAGTGCAATCGCATCTGATCGAGGTATTTCACTTTTATCTACAGACCGACGAGAATAATACGAATCGCTTACGGCACGTGCGTAATACAAAATTCGTTTTCTAGGCGGCGACACAATCGCAAATCGGCAGCCGTGTGAGTTTTCCGTACTTCATCGCTTTTAATTCCCTGTTGAACAATATGGAGCTGGTGAAACGCATTTACCTCAACGTCACCAACGGTCACAGGACGCAGGAAGTTAGCAAAGAGGAGTTCATGCACAGCGCGCAGGCCATGTCGCAAATGACACCGCTCGAAGTGGAGATCCTCTTCCATTTGTGCGACGTGCTCCATCAAACAGGGTGAGTTCGAGCTAGTTGAATTGAAAAATGTAGATTCACGTCGTGTTCGTTTATACCCAATCATTTCGAATGCCCAGACCACAAATAACACGTGCGTAAGTAAAGCTCCTAATGGAGATTTATTCGCTTTGAACGGTTTTCTTTTTTTGTTCGTTCTGCTGCTCATTTTTGGGATACGTAGATTGTACAAGGATGCGATGGACGCTCGAGATGGGTTCGTGTTTTTTTCGTATTTACGCCGTTTCTATCGGAATTAATTGCGGGTTTTTTCTTCGTCTGTTGCAGGAGGATCGTTTACAACGATTTGTACGCAATTGCCCCCGAACAGTATTTTAAACAGATCACTAATCGACTGGCAGAAATTCACGCCGTATCGGTGAGTACATATTTAAAACAATATCAATTTATCGGAATAGTAGAGCGTTTTCACGAGCTGCAATATATTGAACAAGCTGGAGCAATAATGGTACTGAATCGGGTAAAACCTGCATCAATTTACTTGGGTTTCTACTGGTCGCAATATTTTATCCTACGATATCTGTAGGACATATTGCACGACTGTACAATATTAAACTATTGGTGCAATAATAATTATTACACTGTACACATGTGAAAACTACGCATTTGCAGGCTTGTTTTTGAGGTTGCAATGCAATATTGCAATTATTTATTGTTGCAATATATTGTAGTGTGAAAACGATCTTAGAGCGTTCTTAGAGCATTTTCAGAAGGTGCAATATATATTGCACGATTTTGCAATGTTGAACTATCGCTGCAATAACAATTATTGCAAAACATACATGTGAAATCTGCTCATTTGAACTCTTGTATTGTAACTGCATTGCAATATTGCAACTATTTATTGCATAGTGTGAAAACGATCTAAAACTTGGTAATTTTTAGAGTCCCGATGATAGAGGTGTCGTAATACAAATTTTAGAAAGCACCTACCGATTCGCCTTGGGATCAATAGCAGGAGGTAAGAAATTGAAAATTAATTTCAATACAATCTTTAATTGATTTTTTTTTGTAATTTCCAGCTGTCGGTGCTACGGCGGTATATCCTATAGATTTGGTGAAAACTCGCATGCAGAACCAACGAACGGGCTCGTTTATCGGCGAGTTGATGTACAGGAACAGTTTCGACTGTTTCAAAAAAGTCATCAGGCACGAGGGCGTTTTCGGATTGTATAGGGGGTTGGTGCCCCAATTGTTGGGCGTAGCGCCCGAAAAGGCCATCAAATTAACGGTAAACAATGCCTATACATCAATTACGATTGTTCTATAATAATTATTTTTAGATGAACGATTTGGTACGGGATAAACTTATGGATAAAAAAGGGAACATACCTCTCTGGGGTGAAATATTGGCCGGTTGTTGTGTAAGTAAAATCCGATTATAAATTAAGCGTTAAATGAATTACTGGTGTTTATTATAGGCTGGCGGATCGCAAGTAATTTTTACGAATCCTTTAGAAATCGTGAAAATTCGATTACAAGTAGCAGGAGAAATAGCCGGCGGAGCCAAAGTTAGAGCTTGGGCAGTGGTCAAAGATCTCGGTCTATTAGGATTATACAAAGGAGCCAGGTAAATATTTTTCCTCCGTCCGCTCATTTCACAATCCCAATTATTAGGTACAAGCTTCCCATATTCCCTAACGTTTGCCCGCTCCATCGAACCAATTCCTCCGCAGTAACTTACTACAACCCCTCTAGTAAGTTCCCATTACTCTTATCACAACTCCTCGATGGGTATAATAAATTTCCCGGTTTTCTAGGGCATGTTTCTTGCGCGACATACCGTTCAGCGGCATCTATTTCCCCATGTACGCTCACACTAAAGCGAAATTTGCCGATGAAAATGGCTACAACAGCCCGTTGAGTCTGTTGACCGCCGGTATGATCGCCGGTATGCCCGCCGCGGCGCTCGTGACGCCCGCCGACGTCATCAAAACCAGGTTGCAGGTGGTGGCCCGATCGGGACAGACGACCTACAACGGATTAACGGACGCCGCTAGGAAGATCATGAAAGAGGAAGGATTCAGCGCCCTTTGGAAAGGAGCTACCGGTAAATATTGCCGAAGGGAGATGGCGAAGGAATTGTATCGATTGCCGTTTATTTTTCAGCTCGTGTGTTTAGATCGTCGCCGCAGTTCGGCGTTACTTTGCTGACGTACGAGTTGCTGCAGAGGATGCTGTACGTCGATTTTGGTGGGACGTAAGTGTTTATAAATTGCATTAAATTTATGAGGTGATGTATTAATTTGGTTTTTTTAAACAGTCGACCATCTGGATCGGAATTGAAGCAAATCTCAACTATAGGTGACGTAAAGAAGCCGACGAATCCCGATCACGTAGGTGGTTATTCGGTATCGTTGCCGATATTTTCTGGCATAGAGAGCAAATTCGGGCTCTGTTTACCTAAATTCCGGACATCTCAAACGTCCTAAACTTGTTTTTCTATAGTCATCCCGAATTAGGTTGTTGAGAACAAATACGCTTTATTGCCAGTTATCTTTTTTTCTTGGAATTCGCTTGTTTCGTTCAAATTTCACTTTGCATTAAAATTTTAATACAAAAGGCAAGGACTTCAAATTGACTGCCTATTCACTATAACACCTGCCTTACATCGCATCGTTTACAGACTTCAAAATATTACATGTTGACTATAATTATACAGTGCTTTTCAAGGAAACCATCTATTAAAACGAAGGAGTTAATGAAGAATTACAAATCTGAAAAATTAAGAGCAAGGTATAATCAATGTTGAAGTTTTTCTGAAATATTTTCAACCATATGTGATTTCCGGTTATACCGGAAGTAGATGTCAACTTCGTTATTTCAAATGGAAAGTACTATTTTTGACTTCATTTTGGATTCTGTGGTCCTAACTAGACTTTGATAACACCTTACGAAAAAATGCGCTACCTTACTCCTAAATTTTTAGATTCGTAACTCTTCAGGAACTCCAGAAAGTTCTAATGCACGGTTCCCGTGGAAAACCCTGTATAGAATATAAACTGCTCCACAAAAGTTAAGGAAGTTCGCAAATTTTGCGATTATTTTAAAAGTTACAGACTTTTTGATCACCGAATTTTCAAATATGCGAAATTAAATGTTTTCTCTCATATCTGAGTGGATTTTTTGCCCCTGCCTCTACAACTCATACTAAATTTAGCGATCAAAAAACCTGCAACTTTTAAATTAATCTCAATATTTGTGAACTTCCTTAACTTTTGTGGAGCACTATACGTCAATAAGACGTGTACATCAATATATTCTTTAGATTCAATTGATTGATTAGGTTTATAATATACAATTTTAAAAGTTTTATCTATTTGCCATTTAACTCGTTTCAGCGAAGCAAGCGTACAGTGTTAAATTTGTGTAAAGTTTTTATTGTACATAAGAGATAGGATAGGGAAAAATATCTTTGTTTTGTTCATGTAAAGAGAATTCTATACAACTAATTTTAATAAGTTCTTTGGAACTGTGATATTAACTTTGATGGTTCTGTTATTGCATTTTATTTCAATTTATTGTTGAGTTCAGGACGTACTTTTTTAAATAAGTTTTACAGAGTTTTTATCGCCGAGCGTTTGTTAACCTATTCTACTCAATAAATTATATAACTTTGTTTTGCATTATTTTATATGGTCGATTGTTTAAGAACTGTACACTCCGTGTTATAGGGGAATTACTATACAACTGGTATATCTAAATAATGTAAATTTGTACAACTTTTGTTGAGTACTGATAGTATTTAATAAAATGGTACTCAAAATGCATTATTATATTAAGCTTTTTGTTCAATTATTCATGTAAATAATAATATACAAATCAACTTAAAACAGTTAACGTTCAAAATCCGCTAATTTCTCGTTAGGAATTGAAAATAAAAAGTGTTAAGTTTTAAATTTAGAAATAAAACGTTTCTACATTTCCTACTGTTTTCTGATAGAAGAACACGTTATCTTAATTAATCTTAAAAATCATGATTCTCTATTCTATCACTGGTTTCGATATACATTAAGACCTCGCAGTGGATGTTTGTTTTTCCACAAAATTCTACAAGAAAATTTGCGGCACAGTACCTATCCGGTAGAATTTTAATTAAATTACTGAGAGCTCGCTTTTTATATACTTTGAACTGCGACACTAAAAATTATGCTAGGCAAATATTTTTTTAAACTTAATTACATAGTAGTATAATTGATATGTATACATTATTTGTTATAAGAAAACCAATTTTTCCGAGCTCCCACTAACTTAACGTACATAAAAATATCGTCATCATTATAAACAGGAAACTGTTATTTCATCGATTGTTGGAAAATTTAATATTAAAAACTAGATTTATCATCGAATGGCTTTCGAAAAAATATTCCACCTATTAAATATTTCCAACATTTTTACAAAATATATTCGCTTTGCAAACAAAAAAAAATGTGAGGGATTTTTATATATTACTGACCTGGGGTTCTCACAGCCTTTATTAATTCATCACAAATGTACCAAACAAAGCGATCGAACTCGAAATACTTCAGGAATGATTTTCGGTTGTAGCACGTAAAAATAAATTTGCTACACTTAAAAGCTCTAAAAAAATTGTGTCACTTAATAACAATTAAAAAACTGTGATAGAAATAGGTAACACAATATGATAGAAATTTAATTGGTACTAACAACTGAGGGATCGGTCAGCCGTAATATTAAATAAAATAAAAATGTAAGTTGATATCAATATCTTCAGTAGGATTATAAATACCTACAGAGCACATATAAGTTGATAAAACTCTTGTAACAATAAACTTGTTAAAAAATCAAAAAATACATTATAAAATTTACGTTGCTCTGTACATATTTTCAAAATATTTTATGTATATTTATATAAAATGTTTTGTTTACCTTTTCATTAAAATCTCATCGAAAATCCACCCCAATGTTATTGCGAATTGTCTCACTTTTTTTTAACATTATACTACAAATTTTCCTGTAGTACAAAATGCTTACAGGGCGCCAAAGAAATCAAAACGTTAAAATAAATAAAATTTCACCGTATCCTATCTACACAAGGACACGTTCCCCAAGCAAATAATTACGAAAAAAATAATAATCCACATGCTACTCTAATCGAAAACGAACTTCTTTTAGATCCACCGTTCTCGTTTAACGTTTCAAAACACGCCCCGAAAAAAAAACCAGCAATTCCGCCTTTCTTTGTCGCCCCATATACTATTTACATTACTGTCATTAATTAGGCTACCGGCAATAAGCTTCCAACATTTCCAAAAACAGTTTGTTCATGTGCACTAAGTCTCTCTGGTGCACGTCGCACCAGAACCGCCTCACCACGTGATTCGCCTGTCGCAGGGCCGGTAGACACAACAACAACTGTTGAGTGTGATTCAAAACTGCCATAGGTCTGTAAAAAAAACAATCTCAATTAATACAAATATAATCGTTGAATCTAGTCCGGGACTAGTAGTCCCAATTAAGAGCTCTTTCAGACGTTGATACTGCGTTTGAAAGAGTTCTAAGACGTGGTCTTACCTTAGAATACCAACGGTGTCCGATAAAGACGTTAGTATCGAATCCCTGAATTTCTTGAGCGATTGATAGTCCTCTATTTTAACATCAGAATTGGTGAGAACGAGCGCTTTCAATAAATAATATTCCTCCTTGAATATAGACAGTTTATCCAACCTGTCCACTATTTGGCAACACTGAAACCACCACGATTATTTCTCGCGTATTAAACATCTACGATAAACTCACAGTTTGGTACAATTCCAACGATCCGCACTCCTTGGACGCCTTCTCGTCCAACGTGAAGTCCATGGCGAACTGCAAGCGCCCCATACCTTTCAGCGGTAGACTGCGAAAGGCCAGCGTCAACGTCAGTATCTCGGCCCAGGTGCTCTGCAACAATCTCATCTGATCGTTGAGCGTCAATTCCGTGAAGCCCGGTATCTGCTTGGCCCAGCCGATGATGCCCACCAGTTCTCTGTCGTAGAGATCGCTCAGTATCGACAGGACGCGGTGCTTCGAACTCTCCAACGCTTTGTTGCTCTCTAACGGATCGGGTTCACAGCCTATTAGAGCTTCCAACATCTTTATATCTAAAATGATAACACACGTTCAATTTGGGTGTGTATAAAAAATGTGATAATTATTAACCTTCTAGTAGAAGGGTAGGTCTTTGTGCTGTAACTACTTGTACTTGATAAGGACTATCGGGATTTCTACGGTACTTCTGCCTGCCGCCTCTGACCCTATCTAATCGGACGCCTTCTTTCAACATGCCGGACCTGAGACACTTCCTGAACCTGCACGCCTGGCAGGCTTTCCGTCTCCTTTTGTTTATTTCGCATTCGCCGGACGCCGGACAAGTGTACTCGATGTTACCTAAACAAACATTTTTTTAGTACTCCTCCTGAAATTAATTGAGAATAACCTTCACCTTGTATGGTCCTCTTAAAAAACGCCTTGCAGGCTTCGCAGGAAGCCACGCCATAGTGGAAACCGGAAGCGACGTCTCCGCAAACGAGGCACAGCCTCCTCGGCGAGTCCTCCTCTTTAATATCGCCCTAAAGTCGAACATAAATATTGAGTGTAATGGTAGAATATGATCGAGTTAAAAAATTACTACCTATCTACATTCGACCAGTTTATTTACATTACAAATGTCTCACATGTATACATTCTTCACTCGAGTCTACAAAAAAAAATCTTCCAACCTTTTTAGCATAATAAATAATGCATAAACTCGGTCTAGACGAGCATTTAAGCATTCAAAGATGAAGAAACGGCAGTTCGTACGCATACGATCCGCGCCACAGCGCGAACATTAGTATTATTTTTACCCGAATTCGAATTTCACAGTCGATTTACCTCGATTATTCCTATTCCTGAGTCGTTGTGAGGCTGCGTGGTCGACGAACAATACTGTCGTTCGGGGCTCGTCGGGGATCTGATGCTTTTATCGTAACTAGTTTCGTTGAAATCCACCTAAAAATGATTTAATCGAGTAGTTTGCAGCCTATTTTGGTCTTTATGGACGCCAATTCAGGATATTTTTAAATGGGAAAACATAGGTTCAGTAATTTCAGTAAGATTCAAATTTGGCTTCATCAATTGATTTGAATCTTTCTTATACCTAATATAGAGGCTCCAAGCTAATTTTACTCTCTACTACTTCATTATATATTTAAGAAAAATGAAATCAAAAACTGCCATTTATTTGCAATGCTATTTAAATGGCAAAACGTAATTCTAGTAAGACTCGAGTTTCCTCGAACGGATGTTTGAATAATTTTAGTAGGATGAAGAATACTTATTACAGAAGGATGTCTCCTAGTCTAGTGTATATTAGTGTATATTGATCCACAGGGTTTATTAAATTGAAAAAACTAATTAAAGAATTTTAGCCAATGATGATGATAGATTTCTGTAAAATTACGGTGTCGCCTGACATAAATGTCAAATCACAGAACAATTTTATAAATTTGACTAGCGACAGCGGTGCCAGGTGTTTCAGTTTTTCAGATATTTTTGGATAATTTGCACTTTTATAAGGGCAAGTAATATGAATAAGGTATTTCCAGAGCACCGGAAAACTTTATTAGATCACTTTAATGACCCTACTTTTATATTTTCAAATTGCAGGGGAAAGAATTGAATTTAAAAAATTCTGAAAAGGATTTCTTATTTTACTTTCTTGTACGTTTGATTTTATGTCGAGTGTAATCAAACACGGAACATCTACTAGTGAATTAAACTAATCTCATCCCATTTATTGTGAAAAAGTTTACCAAAAATAGTTTTATATTTATTAATTTAAAGGCGTGCTTTGGCGGCCTTTGCTCGAATAAGCATCCAGCCACTACGGTATCGAAGGCACTTTCTGAACCATCGAGGGTTTCTTTTGAATTTGACAAAAAGTTAAAGGAAAAAATTACCTCATTCTTTGACGATTTGATGTTCTCGCTGCTCAAGATGGTGGTGGTCGTTGGGGACGCATACATTTCTGCATTGGGCTCGTGGAAACCGTCCATTTCTTTCTTTATGTGCGGTACACTGGATACTTCCCCATCCAATGAATCGGTCATCATAGAGACCTGAAGCACAGAAAGTAGATAGAATATAGGATAACAGTTTAATTGAAATTCCAGAATAAAGTAAATGCATATCAATCGAGTGTAGATATTGAAAGATTCATTTGGGGAAATCGTAATTGATGGGACGGGCTGCGTTTACGGTAAACGAGGGGGTGAAGAAGAGGAAATCGCGAAGTTGGCCTTGCACTTGAACCGGGCAACTGCGATCACGACGATGCGAAACGAGAAAGCCAGTCAAGGCCAACTGGTTTCGATATTTATTCCGGTCGTAAATTTATCGAATGCATCTCTTTATATCGGCTGGATTAGCGGTTTTATCCGTTCCATCGGTAAACGTTTCTTATGCGACTGAAATTCGTTCCATTTCGTTCCGTTTTTCGAGTACACTACATTAATCTAAATAAATCTAGTTACTCCACGACCTAAGCCAACTAGATGAGGGTAGATAAAGATACCATTAAGATTACCCTGAATTTAGAAGCGTTACAGCCGAGAAAAATCGATAGCGATTTATATCGAGGGGTTTGAGGTGGGCATTTTAGCGAGACGCTTTTAATAAAAATGGGCTTGTTTCGTCGGGCATGCGTGGGTGGGGAATTCTAATTGCGATATCAATGCCAAGGCCGTTGGGAAGAGGACCTCGCAGGGAGGAGGCGGCGTTGCCGGCGTCGCAGGATATTTCCCTGCACTCGACGATAAACCGGGATATTTATTTTATTTAACGATGTTTGTTGACGATTAATTTCGGATAATTAAACTTGTACATTCTGTTATATAAGTATGTAAAATGTAAATAAAATATTGTTGAGGATAATTAGCATTTTCCATTGAACTCTACGGTCAAGTATGTAAATATTCGATAATGTTCTGCTTGTATGGTAAATCTTACGCAAATTCTTAATCTAACACAATATTATATAATGCTGGATCTCACTCTTATCAGCATTCTTTCGTCTATAAATCAAATTTATTTATTATTGCCTTATTATGTAAATACGTACAAGAATATATTCATCTACTTTTCTGAATCTGTCAGTGGTTTAGGAATTCCATGCAATTTGTCTAGATTAAAAAATAACTGCTAATTTGCAACACATTTTCTGTCGATTCTAATGAAATAAAATCAAACCGCACAAGGAAATATTAATAAATTATGCTGATTGTAACAAGAAAAAAAAGGTTGACCGAATTCCACGGTAAGAAGTGTGTCGATTTTATCGCGTTATATAATTTATAATTGACAAGAATTTTGTATTATCTGGCGTTTAATTAATAAGATTTCGCATAGTAAACCAAAATTAAAATAACCCAACGCCAGTCGGATTTCAAATTGCCAAGTTAGATATCTAATATTTCAATAAGTTCCTGTTACTGGCACGTTGTGAAAATAAAATGCATCAAATTGCACTATTCTCGCATGATGAATACCTCAGAAACATCAAATCGGATGCATTTTAAAACGAATTATATACATACCCGAATAAAAACCGTAAATAAACACACCAAACCTGACCTGAGTTTTCCACCGACGACGAATTGGACTGAAAAAATCGCATATTTTCGACACACAACCCAAATTATTGCGACCTTGTACTGTCCACCGTTTGGACTATTATTAGAATCAGAAACTAACCTACTCCAACAGCAACACCAAGTGTTTTCGGTTTGCGGAATTCGCGAAATTACACCCGATATAAACAGAAAAAGAAATCTCGTCATACCTCCTTTTAAATGCCCAAACAAATTCAAAATATGATACATACAAGTGTTATCTTCGCCCATTAATTTCTAGAATGCAATTACTATACAATATTACGTATCTATTAGAGACCAATTTAATTTGTAACGAAATGTTAAAAAAATCATATTATATAATCAATTTTAATCCACAATGTATTACCACATTTTGCATCCACAAATCCATGTCAGGAGAATCCCCACGAACGGCAACATTCACAACGAATTAAACTGGTAAAACCGAAACCCCCGATTGAACTTTCCCGAGCAAACTTTGAATCAAATCGACGCCACAAACGAGCATTAATAACTTCTGTTTGCGAATCGAACGCGTGCAAACCGAAGCGACCGGTCAGTGAAATAAAACGAGGAATTGGAAATTTATCGAACCACGTGCTGTCCTATCGCTTCCGAAAAGCGCAGGATAGGCGATGCGATTGGAAAAATAAAGAAGTTCGGACCGGAACTCGACCGGCAGCGGCGAGAGCAGAAGTGAAGTTTTTTCGTTTCTCGTCCTCCTGCTTCGCTTCCTTCACGCCTTCTCCGGCCAAGGCTGCCGATGCTTCTTCGAATGCGCCGGGTCCAATGAAAATCGCCGCTTTTTATGTACGCGTTATAGTGGATTTTCCGCCGATTTATCAACTAAATATATGTAGTTTCTGCGACAACCTATCGATAGGTTACGATATGAGGGAATATCGAGGGAAGCAGCAACAACCCCTGAACGCCTAATAAATAAAATTAATCACGTTTTGTAACGAGACGAGCTATCCTATAAAACGAGTAAATTTTATTAGTTTTTATTTAATTACGTTCCGAATTCATTTAAAAAAATCCTCGCATTTCTAGTAACATTTATGTAAGTAAACTACTTTATTCAAAATTTTCGAAATTTTATCACGTTAAGTTACCTAACATCACATTTAGGTACTGATAAAACTTGACCTTAGAAAAAGATAAGCATTATTATAAGTCCATGGACAAATTTTATAATTTCTGTAAACTAGGTAGAACTAGATCATATTAAAAATAAGTATCTACGATTTTTACACAATTATAAACTTTTATACAAAAACAATGGATTTAAAAACTATGGAGAAATATTTAAGAAACATTTTTTCCTAAACAATTTTCACCCCAAGTTGGGGTGCTAAATTTAAATTTAGAATTTGTGGCTTCTCCAATTTTTCAACACGAGCACAAAAATATCTGATAAGGCCCGATTTATCGCCTCAATGTTATTAGGCTATAAAAAAATAATCTCGCAAGGTCTTGCAAAATTTTCTAATGGGAAGATAAATTTTGCGTGGATTGATAAAACGATAAAGTGTAAAATTAGTAAACTCATTACATTACTACCAAGGGAACTAACTGCTTCATGATTTTTTACTCTTTGCATTTATAAAGGTAGATGCAAAATTGTTTGCAATAAGTATGGGTGTAACAAAGACAACTTTCATTAGTCAAATATAAAGAAAAAGGAAGAGTAATATTGTGGGATTGCAACTTTCTCACTCTAACCACTATTATTTTAATAATCTTTCCTTGTTCTAGTCATAGAATTGACAATATTGCTAACAAACCTGCATTTAACCATATACAGGTAGATGCAAAATTGCTTGTAATATGGGCTATGGGCGCAACAAAGACAACTTCCATTAGTCCCATATAAAAAAGAAAAAAAAGAATAATCATAAAAAAGAAATATTATTGTGATATTGCAACTTACTCACTCTAAGCACAGTTATTTTAATAATCTATAAAATTTAATAATCTAATGTTTTACTCATAGAATTCATATTGAAACAAACCTGCAGTTACCCATACACAGATAGATGCAAAATTGTCTGCATTAGTGTGGCATTAGTGTCATGTAAAGGAAAAAGAAAGAGTAATATTGCAAGATTGCAACTTTCTTACTCTAACCACCTTTATACTAATAATATTTCTTTGTTCTACTCACAGAATAGACTATATTGCAAACAAGTTTGCACTTACACATATGTATTTACTTGTAAACAGGGTTTTGACTTTAAACTCAACCGATCTACAACCCTATAGGAACTTTGAACTTAATTTAAACCAAAATTGAATGTTTTCCCTTAATAAATGTACGCGAATTTTTCACATACTAATTATGTTGAATATTAAGAATACATTCAATTAACTCTATATAACATTTGATATTTAACTAGCCACTCAAATCGATTCCTAAAAGAAATATTCAATTTAATAGAATACTCAAAAACCTACATAATCATGTCCAGACAATATATTTTCATAATGATATATTACATAGTATTTCAATTATCTTCGATTGCTCCCCTATTGTATTTTATAACTGTGTTTTATCTAGATAATCTCTGGAGCTCATACATATAAAATTGGAATTTAACATTAAACCGGTATGAAGTTAGGCATCAATTATCTCAATACTGCTGTCCTCCTTGAAAAACAAATAGGAATGGAATAATGAAATGTTTCTATAAACAGATCAATGTCAAGGCCATTCTACTTTAGAAACAGAGTCAGGATAAGATAAATAGGCATAGATGGTAATGCGAAATAAATATAAATAAACAGATTTACGTGCGACTGGATGAAGTTTGAGCCAGAGCAAAGCATTAAATAAATATACAGTATCGGTCAAAAAATAGTGGACACTTGTTTCTGGCTTTAGAAACACTCCATAAGATGGTAGAGATGCAATATTTTCGTTTCGTTCTTGTTCTGGTTTGTAGTTAATTTATTTTCTAATTGAACCACAAAAGGGCGTTTCGTTTAAATTCGTCAAAAAAATGTTAGAAGTTTAAAGGAAAATATATGTCTGAATTTGGGTGGTCATAAAATAGTGGACACTTTTAAAATCAACAAAAAAACAGGTAAAAATAACATTTTTTTAATATTTAGTGGCGTAACCTTTTGCCTTAATGACAGCCTCACATCTTCGAGGCATGGAATCCACCAAATTTTCTAAAATATTGAGTGGAATTCATTCCCACTCTTCCTGAAGCACTTTCATAAGTTCGCCGGTTTTTGAAAATGTTCGAGCCCGAATTTGCCGATCCAAATGCTCCCACAGATGTTCTATCGGATTCAAATCCGGACTCTGCGATGGCCAGACGATTCTTCTCACCCCATTGACATGTATCGATTCCTTCACAAGCTTTGAGGCATGTTTAGGATCATTATCGTCCTGGAAAAGCCAGTCGTCCGCCATCTTTTCTTCGGCATATGGTAACATATGTTGCTTGAGAATGTTTTATACATATCGGCCTTCATAATGCCCTCAATCCTTATCAGTGGACCTACCCCATCTCTGCTGAAGCAACCTATATGCATATATAATGTTAGGATGACTAAAAATTTACATGTGACAAAATAAGGGAATTTACCCCAAACCATAACGCTTCCTCCACCGTGCTTAACCGTAGTTATTTGGTACTTGGGATTGTTGCGAGAGCCAATAGGTCTCCTAACATACCGTATGCCATCGCTAGAAAACAAATTAAATTTGCTTTCGTCACTCCACAAGACGCGACCCCCAGTCAGCCACTGACCAATCAAGGTGTTCTCTAGCAAATTTCAAGCGAGCTTGGACATTCTTTCTTGATATTAGGGGTTTTTCAGAAGGCTTAGCAGCGATAAGCCCAGTACGTCTAAAATTTACCAAATAAGTCTTTTAACCACCTGGAAATTAAAAATAATACCGAATAATCCGCTGAGCCGTTGAAGTGGAGATGGTAACTTCATAATTTTCAGCGGCTGTCCTTCGCACATCGGTGCTGTTTTTTCGGGGATCAGCTTTAATTTGACGAACTAATGTTCGACAAACACGTTCTCCAACTTTAAATGGTCGGCCACTTCCTTTTTTTCGTTCTGCCATTTCTGTACTCTTCCATTTTCTATGGATCGTTGAAACGCAGGATTTACTAACACCAAAGCGCGATGCCACCTCACGAACACTGGCATCTTCTTCAATTTCACGAACAAGCAATTTCTTACCATCAGCAGATAAAGTTTTCTACTCATGATCCACTTAACTTAAGGTGTCCACTATTTTATGACCACCCAAATTCAGACATATATTTTCATTTAGACTTCTAACATTTTCTTGACGAATTCAAACGAAACGCCCTTTTGTGGTTCAATTAGAAAATAAATTAACTACAAACCAGAACAAGAACGAAACGAAAATATTGCATCTCTACCATCTTATGGAGTGTTTCTAAAGCCAGAAACAAGTGTCCACTATTTTTTGACCGATACTATAGATTCGAGATTATTATCAGGCGTACGGCGAAAATAAGCTCGTTACATCACGTTAATCGAGTTATTTTTTAAACGTTTACAATTAACGGATTCGTTTGAAGTTTGGTTAGTTGGAATTTGGCATTGCGATAAAATGCAATCGATTCGACCATTGTTGGTATAAGTGCAGCATATTTTGTTTAAACTAATAAAGTAGGCGACGAACGGCTGCGATTAATCGAACGACTTACCTGTTTTCGGATCATCGCAGAAAATTGTTCAAGACCGCATTATTAAAATAATCGAGCACTAACCTAGCACAAGCACGAAATTTTTACAAAACTAGCACAGCAAATTAGATTCACAGTTGTTAAAACCAACCATTTTGGTTTAGTAATTACGACATACGTCATCATACCATATGTGACGTCACGATAGTCATATAAAAATTCATTTCCTTTAGTTATTTTTAAAACAAATCGTTAAATTTCAATAATTTAGTGGGTTTTTAAGTTTATCAAAACAATATTATCTCTTAAATTTAAAATAAAAATATCAAAGTAACCGTTGAACCGAGAAGAAAAAGACCAGATCTGTCAATTAACTAAAGCGATTTTCTTCTTTTTTAAGTTTAATAGTAAAATATAGGTTAAAAACACAACTTTATTTATTTATGATTTATAATATTAACTAAGCAATTTTGAAAGGTAAATATTTTCTTTCAAGTTTATTCAAAGTAACTAAATAATAATTTTTCCAGCAATAATTCGGATGAAACAAAAAGACTTGAAAAAAAATCGTGATTATAGCAATGAGATTGTATGTATTTCTAAGTATTTTCGCATGTATTACACATGTTAGAACTATGGAGAAGGAACTGACAGTATTCGTCGAGGCTGGATCGGAATCCTGTTTTTACCAGAATGTAAACCGAGGAGATATCCTGGATTTAGATTACCAAGTAATTGATGGCGGTCACGGAGATTTGGACATCAATTTTCGTTTAATCGATCCCACCGGAAGGATTTTACTGACAGATTTCAAGAGATCGGAGAACAACCACAGACACGACACTGTCATGGAGGGAGATTATAGATTTTGTTTCGATAACTCGTTCAGTTCCTTCAACACCAAAACAGTATTTTTCGAATTGATTATAGAAGGTGAAGATAACGGCCAATGGGATTCGAACGAGAACATCGACTTTGAAAACGTTCCGAAAGACGTGATTATCGACAATGCTCAAGAAATGATGAACGTTGTCAGGAATCATTTAAACAAGGCTCGCAGCATCCAAGGCTTGCTGAAATCAACGGAAGCGAGAGACAGGAATTTAGCTGAAGAAAACTACTTTAAAGTCAATACTTACTCGTTCGTACAATTAACTCTAATGGTAACGGTGGGGATCATTCAAGTCATCATGGTTAAGAGCCTGTTCGATAGCCAGTCGAGAGTCAATAAGTTTTGGAAGAATTTTTCAAACTAATTTTTGTAGTAAATTTTTTTGCCATATACACGTTGTTACCAAAGAATTCCCATCGATTCATTTATAAATTTTAATAAAAAATAATCTTTACAGAGATAATTTATTTATTTTCATCATAAATACGTTTCTATTATCATTACATATCTAATAAATCACAGTTTAATAGTACAAGATTTTTTAAAACCATTCACCGGAACTGGTTATTTTTCATCTTAAGAAACCCTATGTGTCAGTATAAAAGTAATATAAGTCCATAATAATTAATATGAAAAAAACATATTGGATATTGTCATTAGTATGAGATTCTTAAATTAAGTACTCCAAGTACAAGCGACCGGTAATATTAGTATATTTTTAAATAAAAACATTAGAAATCGGGACAATTATAAAAACAGTAATGGAATTTTCATCATCAGTCTTGCGAATTTACGAACTGTATAAGATCTCAATTTATAAAATAAATTGATCGTATAATAAAAGATTACAGTAATTAAAAAACCATCAAACCCTATGTATCGATTGTATCAAATCCCCCACCCCGTTCCTGTTTTGGGGCACCTGCCCCTGTTCGATTTGCTCCTTGAGCATCTCCAGCTCCCGAATACCAGACAAAGTGGTCTCGTATTTGTGAGTAACCAGCGACCTGTAAAAATGTATGGCGAACGCCAGGAAAATGAACAGAACAGGCACTAGAATAACAGTCGCGGACCATGCGGCCTTCTCGTTCGTGTCTATAAACTTCACCCAACATAAAATTGCTATTTCAGCTAGAAATAACAGGAGCCCCAGCAGAGTAGAGAACGCCCAAGCCGTTTCTATGTACCAATGGAGCCTTTCGTGTGGAGACTCATCCACTAAATTGATCGACTCTAAGTTACAAATGGCCTCGATGTTGGGTAGGATGCACGTGCTGATCATCAGAGCCAGCATGTGGACTGCTACTAGTAGAGTAGTGATCACCGTGAAGGCGACCAAGACCCCTTCAGGTATCTTCTCCGGAGTATTCAATTGCAATTCCACCATGGCGACCATAGCGAAGCCCGACAGCAGCGCCGAGGTTTTACTCGAAGCCTTCAATTTCGCCCTGGCTAGTTGGAGCTTCCGCCACGACAGGTAGCGGCGATTGTGGATCTCCTCGCCGGACATCGACATTAGTCTGTGCTGGAAACCAAATGCCTATCAAAAATCGAGCTTCGAGTTTAGTGGAAGCGATGGTTGCGAAAGAGGAAAAGCGAATCGAAATAAGTATAGTGGAATTTAGAGAAACGGTGCGGGGACTCGGAAGAATAAGTCGTACAGTTAAGCTTACGTTATGGGAATGGTGATTGAGACCTCTAATTCTATTAATTCTCGTGTCCGTGTTGCTTTTACCAATACTGTTGCCCGAATTCAGACAAACCGTACTGGAACTCCAGGCGGACATTTGTCGGAGTTTGTCTGGAACATACCAATACAATTAAAATGTACATCCAACGAGGAGATACGGAGAAGAGATTAATGAAATTAGTAGAGACTTAAAATGACCTTATGTTGGAGTAAGCGGTGTTAATAAATAATATGCAATTGTGGGGATTTGGATTTTGGATATCTTGGATAAATTAGATAAATATTGCAATTATTGAAGCGAAAATACATGCAGGTGTATGTTGACAATGTTAGCTTAGCATTTGATTAAATGATAACATACATGGATTCCTGAAAATTAATTCAATAATATATGAAGTATATATGTGAAGTAAATCTAATCGTGCTCCAATATTTTTGCTGATTTCTATTAGAATCACAAGTAATTATTTCATAAAACAAATTTAAATTAGCTAAGATTTATTACTTTCTATGTTTATATTAAAGTGTCTGTCTGTTTATAATAAGTAAACTATAAATATGATTAGGTGTGATTTGCCTTAACGTTGTGATAAAAACATGCTAAACACTAATTCCCTTGATATATTTTTTTTCATTGAATTTAATTGAATAGAATAACCTTCACTTATTTGAATGCCAAAAAACTAATATATGTATTTAGCTTAAAAACTTATTTGTAACGCATAAAAAATTTGCACGTAAATTCGTACAAACAACTCCGAATTGATAATTAACGTAACCAGTGATAAGGACGATACAAGTACGTTATTTACATACTAATATAAAATATTTAATATAATAAAATCTGGTTTTTCGAAATACATTACCATCGTTTCTTCGAAATTCAATAAATTCCACGAACCGCTTGGTAGAAGCAAAAATTATCGAACAATGTTTTAATTACACCTGCACAATCAACGCTTCAAAGCGACCACTTGTTATCTATAAATTCGTAAGTTGTTTACGCGAAATAAACACACGATTCGACTCAAAGTTCTATAGAAAATTTCTAATAGGAAAGGAAAACACGGATCACAGAACAAAATAAACGTGACAATGACATTAGATGTCAGGTGTCAAGTCAATTGTCAGTTATTATATGTAGCTGATTGCAAAAGACTAAATAATAAAAAACAAGAAGAATATTTTTAATTTTCCCGATTTTTTGTAAAAATTGTATAGAGAAATTTTTATTAGTACAAATTCATGTGAGAAAAACAGAAAATATATAATTTAAACACTTGAATTACCTTTAAAATACCACTGCATAAATTTCTTTAATACTGTTTTCGTTTTTTAAGCAAAATTCTAATAATAAACGCAACTTTTCTGTAATAATAATAAAAGAATCGGTTCAAAAGCGACTTTATTTACATTTCTTTTAAAATACGTTCAAGTTCAAGTGCCAAGAATTATTAAAAGAAACTGATATAGCTGCTCGAAATGTTTTCACACGTGCTGAATGCGATTTTCAAAGTAATAAAGATCGAGTTTGATTGAATTATAAACTAAAAATTTACAGGAATTTTGTAAGGTAAAATAATCTCAAATTATTTTTTTTAATTTAGTCATGTTTTTATTATACTCCAAAAATAATAGCGCTTAAAGCTAGGTCGTTATTATTTTATGCAGCACCGTAAAAACCAACTTCACCGCGTATTAATTTTAGCAACAATTTGTAACAATTTGACTCACTTTTAAATCCACGCACAGCACACGTATCTAAAAAAAGACCGATTTGCAAGCAATTTTTGGCTAGATTCTTGTCCAGTTATATTTATAATTCGAATTGTACGTTCCGATCGCAAAGCAGAGCCCAATCCTAGGAACAGAAATCCCCGAACTCACCTTACAAATACCACGACACGAGCGACTCCCAACAGTCCCAACCATCACATACAACTTTTCCATTCGAAAAAATCCGAGCGATTCGAACTCGCGACGCGAAATTAGCGCTATACATTCGCAGAATTTTCTCCCACTTTTCCTTTCAAACTCCGCGAGAATTAATTGTGGAAATACATTGAAAAATACTTAATAACAACTCCATATGACATGCTTTATTATCTATTATTTCAACCGAACATTTCGTCTAATGCAATTCACGCAATCATGATGTTTTAGATGTATTGGTGTTTGATGTGGTGGATGCAATTACAGCCGACTTTTACCGGAATTTTGTATATCTCCATCTGGCAAAATTGGGGATTCAACGAGAAACGGGGTTTCTTCACAAACACCATTGTCTTCTCCAAGCTAACGCAGCCCCCTTGGTGCACGACGCACACATTCTGGAATTTATTAACAATTTAAAACAGACCGTGAATTTAAATTTCTCAATTTACCTGCACGGAAAAATCATTATCCACTGTACTGCTGTTAGCAGGAACGCATTCATGCTCGTGATAGTGCTTTGGGTGGTATTCGTAACCGTCGTTAGGATGGAGTTTTAATATTTTTTTTACTGTGCATAAGGGCGAGCTTTTCTAAAAAAACAATATAGGAATTAATTTGTATCAAATTAAATTGGTGTATAATATACTTTATTTTTTAGACTGATGATATCGTTCGGGTTTATTTTATACTCATCCCCAAATCCATCAGCCTCCATTATATTTTCAACAGCCGAATCGTCAAATGCGTCTCCTTCATACGAAGTTGAATAGACTCGAATAACCATCAAGCAATGTAAAATTAACTGTAAATTTGTTATAAAATATATTAGAGTAAGGTCAATTTATGTTTCAAATCACATACCTTCATAGAAATCATCTTTACCAATATCCGGGAATTCCAACTCTAATTAACTGAATAATGCCAATCATCCTCCCGCATTTATACAAATTCGCTTGTTTAAACAGATCGCGATATCTCTGGTTGTAGGATTGATACAGATTTACGTTCCCTAATTCCGTTTGCATTGGAAAGCTTTATTGATTGCTTATCTTATAACACGATTATGTTGTATTTATCGAAGATTATAACAAACCTTATTAACAAACCAAATTAAAGCTGTTGCGGGGGTTAATTGGATAAGCAAGCGGTACTTACGCATTTTATTTTGGCAAATCCAATCTTCTTCATTGATTTGTGGCATGCTAGTGGAATGAATACTAGGAAGAAGAAGGTCTTTTTGAGGTCAAAAATAATGGGATGTTGATTCTTTAGTAGTAGCCGGAATAGCAAAAGTCTAGGTCATTAAATATTGAATAAAAATTATTAGTACAAAAAAAGTTATGAAGAAATAGAGGCACATTATTGAACACCAATTTTAAAAATATCTTGAATAGAGTATATTAAGTGCTTCATTTATTTACCCACTTTAATTGCATAAAATCTGATCAAAAAAACCTCGAAGTAATTGAGCCTTAATTTATCGCAGTTTATCTAATCATAAAATGCTACATTCGCTATAGGTATAAAAGAATTCATTTAATAGCAAAATTTAGACAGTTTAAAAGTATTAATATATAAAGTATATCAACATTACATTATACTATTCACGTAGTATCTCTAACTTTTGGTAAGACAACAAGACATCTTGCATTATAATTTGTTATTTATTCAGAATTATCTAGACTCGTGCATGACTAATTTTTATTTAGTTTTAGCTACTGTATATTTCTCACCATGATTCAGATAATACTCATCATTCTAATATCATCAGCTCTATCGCATGATATAGAACCACTATCCGATGAATTCATCAACCTCATTAATTCCAAACAAAATTCATGGAAAGCCCAGAAATACAACAGAACTATCGACGAATTCAAAAGATTATTAGGTGCTCGTGAAATGAACCTCCATTTAAAATACAAACCCACAATTCACAGCGAAAGTATCCAGATTCCTGAGTCATTCGACGCCCGTACAAACTGGCAGGAATGTAACAGTGTAATTAGTACAATAGTAGACCAATCCGCCTGCGGTTCCTGTTGGGTAAATATCCATTACATCTTTATAGTTTAAAAAGATTAAACGTCCTAATACTGATAGGCTGTATCTTCAGCATCTGTAATGAGTGATCGAAGATGCATCGCATCTAACGGAACGCTCAAGCAACCAGTTTCTGCGATAGATATAGTGTCCTGCTGTGCTGATTGTGGACCAGGTTGTGAAGGTGGACTTGCCAACGAAGCCTTTAAATATTGGAAATTGGTTGGTGTAGTTACAGGAGGAAAATACGAAAGCAATGAGGTAAATATTCAAATGATTGCAGAAAGATATTTGTAACAAATTTTAACAGGGTTGTAAACCGTATCCATTCCAACCATGCGAACTAAACGGCGAGGAAAAATATGTCTCGTGTGATTCGATACATTATTACACGCCCAGGTGTGAAACTAAATGTTTGAACAATAATTTGGATTACCAATCTGATAAAACGTACGGCGATTCTGATGTACAATGGTTTAAAACAGTCGAGGATATACAGAAAGAAATTTTAATAAATGGTCCGGTTGTAGCAGTAATGGATACGTACTACGATTTATTTAATTACAAAAGCGGTAAACGATCTTATAGATTTGTTAATTCCTACTTCTGAACACTTTATTCAAGGTGTTTATCAACACGTACTTGGGGATAGAATTGGCACACATGCAGTGAGAGTCATTGGTTGGGGAACGGATCAAGCTAGCAAACTTCCATACTGGCTAGTAGCAAATTCATGGAACGAACACTGGGGAGATAAGGGGCTGTTTAAAATCCTACGTGGTGAAAATAACTGCAACTTTGAAAGAGAGGTGTGTGCTTCGACACCAAAACTGTAGATTGTATAGATTCTTAATTAATTGTATTAATAAAAGATTCATAGATAAACACTTTTTCTGGGGATTGTAGATGGCATAACAAGATACAAAAGTGCTGTTAGGAGTACTGTTGAAGTATAGAAATTGGCCCATATAGTTAATCAGTAAAGTTGTTTAATGCTTATTCAGTGTTCTACTATATTGTAGATTTTATTGAGAGGAACCTGGTGGTACTGATGATAACTCAATTTAGACAAAACCTTAGTTTCAATATCGACATAATCAAGTTATAGCATCATCATTTTTATTTTCTGTTTCTTATCTTCATTTTGGCACTCAAACTATACTTGAGACATGTAGCATTATGAGCTCACTTATACCAACACAAATAATAGAGCAGACAGCATGAAATCTATGCGATGAGGCTCAGTACATCTATTATGTTAGTATCCAGCACTAAGGAAAAAACCGGAGGAAGAATGCTTCTAGATCCCAAAGACACAATACAAGGGCATTGGAACTCCTAAGGTTCACACTTATATTAGTGACCTCTGGCATAAATAATGACCTTACAACACCGGGAAAACTACAGAGAATCCTATGATCTAGGTGGTTACAGATATGAAAAGACCTGCCCGCAAACAACAACAACATTTGCTACAGCAAAACAACCAGTTCCGGTTTTGTACTTTTTATTAATTTAGGAATTTAATGAAGCCGATGATGTACTGTTACTAACAAGCATTTGGATCTGTTTTAATTTATGAAATCGCCTCGCCTGCGACGACGTCCTCACCTCCCTATCCGACAGACTGTTCCTCGTAACGAGCACCTCAGATTTCCTATGAAAAATTTCATCGTCGCAGCTCATCGATTTGGAAACGTCCAGGCATCTGTAGGTGCCGGAACCGTCCGTATCCAGCTCCTTATCCGCCTCAATTTCGTGCAAATCGTAGACGCCGGTCAACAGCAGATTATCCTCCTGGATGGAGGCCAACGAGGGGACGCGCGCGCCCGACGGGACCACCGTCGTGTCCCGCTCGGGCGTCAGATCGTAATCGGTGCCCAGCAGCTTCGTATCCAGCGAATTCGCCTCCGAATGACCCTCGTCCAATCGATCGAGGAACTCGTCCTTCTCGATGACGATCTTGCCGGGCGAGCGCAGGACGCTTTTCAGCACGTACACGGGACTGGTGATCAACACGTAATCGTTCACGTCGACATGGAAATCGTTTTCTTCGGTACAACAAGAAATGGTGGTGTAGGCGCAAGACATTTGTACGCATTTACTGTCGGTTTCTATGCGGTGGGAAGTTTGCACGGATTTGTCCGCTTCCTCCACTGGTCTCCTATCGATGGGGAATATCGAGTAACTCTTCGATTCCTCAACGTTCGGAAATTCTTTGGCTGTTTCCAAATACGGACTGGGCACCATGCTCTCTATGGAATCTCTGGCGAAGTCGAGGTTCAATCGCATGTCGTATTTCTGGTGTAAATGGAAACCGCTTTTGATTGATTTATCTTCTTTATTATCGGTTTCGAAATCGCCTTTTTCGGCCACTTTGTTATCGATAACGGGCCTTTTGCTCGTATCGAAATCTCCAATTTTTTCGTGGGTTTCTTCAGTATTACAGTTGGTACGTTTTTCGTCGTTAATTTCGCTTTTTTCGGTCGTAAAATCGCTATAAACAGTCGTAGACGAATCGTTTACGATTAATTCGCTAGCGATACATTTCTTGTGTTCAGGTAGACTCGTTTTAAATCGAGACGTTCTATATTTCTCGGCTAATTCGTATTTTTCCGTACTGTCGGTACTGAAATCGCTCTTCTCCGATTTCAGAAACTGATTGCTTTCTTTATCCGTCAGTTCCGCAACGTTAGAGCCTCTTTCCGTTCTGAATCTATCGGCATTCGAATGCTCTTGTATCTCTTCTATTTCATCGTCGATTTTCTGTAAACTATCTTTGCATATAACAACAGGGGCCTCATCTATGACTACATTCTCTGAAGCATCTACCGTTTTCTTCTGTTCACTTTTGAACTCAACCACATTCTCGTTCTGGTCCGGTTTGATTTCATTGTTGAAATCGGTTTCGGATTCTTCGTTCAAATCGTTTTGGTGCATGATGTTTTCGCTTATAGCGATCCGCAGTTGCTTAGAGGGGCAAATGCTTCCTGAAAAGTACACATACTGGTTTAATTAATTTTTTATATAAAATAAGATTAGCACCTTCGCTGTTTTTTCGTATAAACACAGCGGATCTGGTGTCGAATATTTTTAGCTTCGATTCGCTTAAATCCATCAGCATGGTCTCGGAGAGGTTGTTGTTGGATTTAGTGGGACAAGTCGAGACCGCATTGCCTATTGTGGTTGATGAATTAGTCGGTTCTGTATGTTCAGTTAATCTACCTGTAATCCAAAATAAAATGTTACATAATCCAGTCTGGATTTTTGTTATATTACCGAGACTATGCCTGTAATAAATAATTTCGTCCAAATTGTTCTGGTAGGTTTGATTGTAGTAATAATTCGGGTCAACGGGAGGATTTAGATACAAGTCTAAATTAACGTTGGGTTGATTATTATCGCATTCCAAGTCCATGAAATTTTGAACGTTGGGATTATAAAAAGATTTTTGGACGTTGCAGGAATTTTCGGCGGCAGGAAAATTCGTTTGGACGTCGTAAATGTGAAGTTCGTCGGCCAAAGTAGCCAAATGTTGTTCCATTTTTTCCTTAAAATTTTGTAAAATAAACGTAATTATTTCATACAAATTTTACATACTTTATCTAGCCTGTTTTTGTTATTCTCCATGTGTTCTTTGAACACACGCTCGATGTCTTCATTTAAGTAATAGTTATTCATTATTATATCTTCGGTTACTCTGAGTAAAAATACCAAATACTCGTGTTCTTCGATTCTGCAACACATAAATGTTTTATGCTTTAAATACTTATATATTTTGTATACTTTTCGTTCCTTCTAGTCTCTCTGGAACTTCGTTTCGTTGGCGTTATGGGAGAGGTAACTTTGGCATCTCCGTCTATTTCGTGACCGCTTTGCGAGCTCAGAGATAAACTTCTTTTGGAGTTTCCTGTGGGGGTGCTCCTTCTGTCCTTGCCGCCGCTGCGGGAACTTAGAGAATCGTTCCTGGAATTTCCTGGCGCGGGCATGTTCCTGTTAGGAGAATTGCTTTTCTTTGGAGACGGTGAAGATTTCTTCTTCTTCTCTGTCGTTCTGGCTTTGGCTGATTTTGGATGAGTGTATTTTTCGTAAGGCACTGTTCTTGGTTTTACCTGTAGGGGAGTCACATACTAGAGAATGTTTCATAAATATATATTAAATGGATCTTACTATTTTGGGAGGTGGAGGTAATTCGGCGGCGTTCCTTCGTGTAGAAGGTCTGTTATCACTTAATATATTGGATTCCCCTTTGAATTCCGAGTGGTAGAAAGATGGAATATTCGCGGCTGAATCGTTGTTGTAATATGGGAGGCAGTGCTTGTTTTTAAAGTGCCTACAAATTTATTTAATTAACTACTTATCAATATTAATTTAAATGTACTTACTTATCTTCAAACTCCTTCATTTTCTGATATTTTTCAGGTAAACTGCAACCGGATTTGACTTGAGCTTTTTTGGGAGAAAAAATAAACGTGCTTTTAGCATTTCTAAGTTTCAAATAATGATTTTTCATGTGAAAATACACGTCGATATCTTTATTAGTAAGAGTCATTTTGCGAATGATTGTTCGAGAATATAAATTGAGGTAAAATGGTAAATGTTTGTATTGTACAGGTAACCAGCAGCGCGCATTTTTCAAATTTTACCGCATCCTTCGAATTAAAGGAAGCATTTATTAAATTCGACTTACCCATTATAATTAGCGCAATTAGTAGAGCTTTTAAAGCTGAAACCAGTTTATAATTTTAAAAATATTCGGACCAAAAAATATTAAAATTTAAATTCATGACAGTATGGGATTGACAATATAGACATTTTATCAACCACTCTTACCAACTGCATAAAATTAATCAATTCGAATTAAAAAATCAATAAAAATTAAGAGCGATTATTAATCACAGTAATTCACAACAATTGTTAAATGTATTGCATACGTATTGAGGTAATTGACTTTTGCTTTGTTGTTAAGCAGTTATTTAGAGGTTGAATTCTTTTACGTTCGAGGCCAGTTACTTCACAATCGACTGACGTAAGTAAATGTCAGTGGTAAATAAATATTCAATCAAATTGTAATATAATTTAATTCATTTCTGAAATTAGTGAGGTTCAGTTGATGTTCGCGATTTGTGTGACAATGTGGTAATGAATTAATCAGTACAAGTGCTATATTCGTATTTATTAAGTTATTCGTCGATGGCTGCGGCCTACATACAAATCTACGCTATTATGTAATTAGTTTAATTTTAAAATAAAGCACTAGAAAAGTGTGTCTTGTACAGTCGACTTAATTCGGGAAGTTCTAAAAGAAATTCTAATGGTATCTAAGCAAAAAATCGAGAAGAACGCCGTAAAGGAGATATTGAATAAAATGGTGTATAACATCGAATGGGTGATTCCGAAGTTAAGGGGCCCTTCGACCATTTGGAAAATCGCCAGTACTATTACGATAGTAGCGGTCGGGCTTTTTAGCAAACTTTTAATCCGTAATAGTAACACGTTTATCTTCATCTGTGAATTTTTCCACTTAATCTATAATTTTTTTTAGATATATTAAATAGAACCAAAGTACACAATAGACATATAATAACAAATGCTTTACAAAATAGGCCTAAACGAGTTCCTTTAATTACAGTATCAAATCACCATTCATGTTTTGATGATCCTGGGATATGGGGTAAGGTTTCACTAATTTCATTATACTTCACCTTATCTATTCTAAGTAATAAAACCTAATAGTTATTTTTAGCGAAGCCTTTAATTACATTAAATTTGATACAAAAAATTTGCTACTACGACATATTATTGGTAGTTAAAGCGTTATTTCCAATTGATTGTATACAATTATGTTTTTTAATATTGAATATTGATGAATGAGCAATTAAGTTTTATTTTATGGTAAACATTTAAGTAGGTATCAAAGTAACAAACAAATCAAATGGAGTCAAATTAGTATACAGTATTAGAAAGTTTGTTTTGTATACAACAATTGTTTGCCATTTCCCCGAATTTATTGTGATACATCACTCAATTGTTGCATAATTAAAAGAACTATTAGTTATTCTAACACATACAAATTGAGTTTGTTTATTCCTAAGCAAGGACATGTTAATAAATTTTTGCATCTACGAAATTATGAAACACGTGAATTGTTAAAATGACCTATTTCCATTTCAGGTACTTTGAAATTATCGCATTTATTAAATCCTAAAGTAATAAGATGGTCTTTAGCCGCTCATGATATATGCTATACGTGCGCCCAACACGCCTATTTCTTCAGCTTAGGCAAGTGTATACCCGTAGTAAGAGGCAACGGAGTGTACCAGGAAGCTGTGGATTTTTGCATCGAACAACTCGCTGAGGGTAATTGGGTGCACGTTTTTCCAGAGGGTAAGAACAATAAATTTCTATAAAAGTGTCCAAATAGCCAAAAGACAGAATACTCCATGACAAAATTGCCCAAAGACTGTCTTGAACAAAGAATTGTTCAAGACAAAATAGGCCAAAGACATAATAGTCCATAAAAAAATGGCCCAAAGACAGAGTTGTTTACAACAAAATAGCTCAATGAACAAAAAAGTCCAAGAAGAAATAGCCCAATGACAGAATTGTCCAAGACAAAATAGCCCAAAGACATAATTGTCCAAGCCATAATAGCCCAAAGACAAAACAGCCTGAAACAAAACAATTCGGGTAAAATTAAAAGCGAGGATTATTTTTTGATTTTCAGAGTTTCATTCTGTTCTATTTTATAATAAACTGTGATTTCATTTGAATAATAAACTTCTAGTTGCATTATTAATGGAGATGTCAACTTCCATACGTTAGTATCTATCGGTCTGTAGGTGGTTTTGAATACTGTCATCATTTCCTTCTTTGAAATATCTTATTTCATTTTATTTAATGCAATATTATATGCAAACTCTGTTTAATTTCAATCCCGATGCCTGATAAAATAACGATTGATTGTCCTAGAAATAGCTCTACAAATGATTCATGATTTGTGATAATTCTTGTACTATGATTTGTTATTTGTTCTAAGCTATTTTGTCTTTGACCGATTTTATCTTTGGTCTATTCTGACGAGGTACCCTACAAAAGTTATGGGATACTCGTAAAGTATATCAATTAAAAAATAGCAATAAAAATGTTGGTATTGAAGAACAGGTATTGTTCTTTTGTTACTATTATTGGTTATTTAAATTAAATTAAATAGGCTTCTTTATATTAATTCACATTTATAGTAGCCAATAATATTTAATGACCTACATTCTCTTGTAGATTAATGAACATACAATTAAAAATATCCCTAATTACTAATTTAAAATCGTAATTGATTGCAGGCAAAGTGAACACCACGAAAGAAAATATAAGACTGAAATGGGGCGTGGGTAGGATGATATACGAATCGCCGGTGACTCCCATCATCATACCGATCTGGCACATCGGTATGGACGACGTGCTGCCGAACGAGCCGCCTTACATACTGAAATTCGGCAAGAAATTGACGTTCAACTACGGCCAGCCGTTGGATTTGAGCGACATGATCGCCAAGCTGAAGGACCAGAAGGCCAGCGAGGAGGAGGCCAGGAAGCGCATAACGGATTTCCTGCAGGAGACGCTGCTGAAGTTGAAAGAACAGACCGAGGAGTTACATTCGAAGAACTTCAAAGTGAAGTCATGATATTGGTTGAAACGTAGGGCGAAGTATTAAATGTATCGGGGACCCGTTCAATTTGGGCTGTATTTTTTTTTGTTTTATTCTTTATATTTAATATTTTATATCGTTATAACTACATACAAGATTTTTTTTAAATGTTGTTGACGTTTGTTGGTTTGTTTGTTGAGTTGAATTTCTCTATACATTCCTTCTTGTCTATTGTATTACTTTCGTTGCTCCATCTACGAGCAAGTATCAAAATTTTAATAATTTTAGATACATTTTAATAGTAAAGCAATTCAAAGCCCACGTTCTTGTGATATATGAAAGTTGTTTGCAAGATTCCTCCAATTAAATAATTGCTATACTTGGAATCTTGTATACAATTAATATGATGGTATAACATTTTTTTTAGTTTGTACAATTTACTTGCCTACTAACAGAGGTTAGTAATATGTTAGAGGGGACTGTTGTTGCAAAAAGGCAGAAAATTTAAGTATTTTTGGTGTGATTTGTTGATTTTTTTTAGCTATTGATTTTTCGTTTTATATAATTTAACAAATATAACAGAAAAGGACCGGTGTATCCTTCAAAGACGATCAAATTAACTTTAATCATACAACATCCTTCCTACCTCAGATTGAACAATTTATAGTACTTCCGTCCTTTAGTTATGAAATATATTTAAATACTTTATATTGCTTAAAATTTCAATTTTTCTACCACTCTTCCAGCTAGCTCCACTAGTAATAGTTACTCCGTTGAGTGCAATTTTTTCAATTGATAATATTGTATTAAAAGAATCAACTAGAAAATTAAAAATGATTGTATTAAATGACAAATTTTAGAAGTGTCGATGAGTTTCGAGCATAATCGAATTGTGCTTTGGTATCAGTTACCAAAATTTATTAAATATTTGGCAAACATTAAACTACACATATCTTTTTTCGTAGAAACATAATGCAAATCTCATTTTTGCATACGAATTTTTGAAATGTCCATTTACATAATAAGATGCTCGCCGGTGATTTGCGTCAAGTAACGTGTAAAATGCATTGTATTTAAATTCACATTGGCAGTTTAATAAATTTTTTTGTTTAAAAAGTATAATTTTCCTTCCACTCTCCCTACTTTGGTTCGCATTAAAAGGAATTGTACTCGGGCGCAAAATAAACGAGTCGCTTGCTAATTTTTTAATAAGAATTTATGAACAAAAAATTGAACAAGTGGCTCGTTTATTCTCCACTTCATTCGAGTAGAGATTAGATGTACGAAAACTCTATTAATTAAGCAGGTACTTTAATTTTTCACAGGCGACAGATAACAGTTTAACGCAACAAACCAAGCGTTAGTAAACGCGAATTATATCAGGAATTAGATTTATACAAGTAAAAAAAATCAGTCGAATTAATCAAATAACATAAATATTTAATATTATAAATCAGTAACGTTAATCAATGCACTATCTAATTTATTACAATTATAGTAGTAGTGTAGAAGAGTATATTTTAAATTTTAGTCTCAATTTTAATAACAAAATGAAACCAATGTTCTATTTTTCATGGCTTGTCGATTATTCACTATTCAGTCAACTTTAACAAAAAAAATATACAATACTTTTAAAGTATTATCAAATAAAGAATAACCACGTTATACGCAACACATTTTTTTCACAATACAAAGCATGCTAGGAATCAATTCGCCACACCGAGTACTAATTTTATGGCACCGTTTAACAAGAAAAAAAAACATAACAATTTATAGTTTCGTTGTGGCTTGAAGCTTGACGTATCTATTATGCTGGACGTGCTCGTCGCAATCGGGCGGCAAATAGCACTGGTGCGTTTGCATCTTCGATTTCATTAATATCTTCTTCATTCCCCACACGAGCGCTATCACCACGATACACAGAACAAGAAACACCACGACGAAAGCCAAGTCGAGCCCGGTGAAGCCTCCTCCAGAGACCGGTTTGAACACCGTCGCGCATTTAGATTTGTTAACGTCTATCGAAGGACTAGAGGAGACTATATTAGCGCAGACCCTGTACGGTCCGTCCGAGTGCAAACCGAAGAAACTGTACGTCGGATTCAAACAATTAATCGTTCTTTGCGACAGAAGAGCGCCGCGTTCAAATATCCCGACGTTCAACTCGCAATCCTCGCCCGGATACACTTTAACGTCGATAGACAGCACTCCAGATTCGGACAGATTCGCCATCACAGAGAGGATTTTCGGCAAGCTCCCCACGACCTTCTGCACCTTCACCCTATCGATCCGCACCAAAGGCAATATGTCGGAGCAGCCCAGTATCAGCGACACGTCGTCCGCCTGCACCGCCTCCAACAGGACGATGCAATACCGGTAGCTGCGGTCGGCGCGCAACTGCCTCACCTCCGGCACGGTCACGTACAGCACCTTCGGGTCCTCCTGCTCCGAGGAATTGCACTTGACCGGGTGCGACTCCACCAGCACCTCGTTCGGCCCCTCCTCTTCGTAGATGAAGACGGCGTCGCACGTGTACGAGGTGAAATCGTCCTCGACGCTCCACGTGAACCTGATCTCCTCGCCGTCGTACGCGAACTCCTTCAGGTTGATTTTGGCCTTGAAAGGCGACGACAGCGGCGCCGCGACGGTGTCGTCGTCGTCGCCGCAGACGAGAGTGTAGCTCGGCATCTCCGCGAGCAGCCCGTTTTCGAGGTGAGGCGGCGTGGTGCACACCGCCGTCGATTTATCATCTTTGTCCAAGGTGGAGTTGGTTAACCATTCGGCGAAGTCGCTCAAGCTGCAATCGCAGTTCAACGGATTCTCGGAAAGAGTTAGGTGTTCTAATAAGGTGGTGGGTTTGAAAGCATCGCTAGCCACTATTGATATATCGTTTTCGTCTAATTTCAACGTTTTCAAGCACTTCAAAGGCTGCACTAAATCGGCCGTGACGGCTCGCAGGAAGTTATGCCGCAGATCTAGAAACGTGAGTTTCTGGAGATGCGCCAATGAAGCCCCTGATACCGCCACGATCCTGTTATGCGCCAATTCCAGCGTCCGCAAGCCGGTGAGATGGCTGAAAGCGTGATCCTCGATCACGTCGATTTGGTTGTGCTGCAATCTCAACGACGTGAGGGCGGTGAGGCCGCGTAAACAGCCCATTTTGATGCTGCTGAGGGTGTTGTGCGACAGCTGGAGATCGTCCAATCGCTCCATTTTGGAGAAAGTGATCGGACCCAAGGGACCCACCAGGGAATTCTCGGACAAATCCAATTGCTCGACGGTCGGTAGGGGGTTTAGTTTCGCCACCGTCGGCATCGTCAATCGATTGGCGCGCAACCGGAGGGTCTTCAATTGCGGCAAATCGTCGAAAGCGTCCGGCGTCACGGTGGCTATTTGATTGTTGCTTACATCGATGAACGACAGGTTCCTTAGGCCCTACGGTAAATAAATAAAACAGCTTTTATACTGTGAATTAGTAAATTTGACTTACTTCGAAGGAACTCATGTCTAGATGCACCAGTTGGTTCCCCGACAGGTCGAGCCTATCGAGCTCCGGTAGCGATTGCAAGGCTATGGTGGGGACATTGTCTAATTTGTTATTAGGTAAACCTAAGGCTTGCAAAGGCGCGGCCAATTTCTCGAAGGCTTTCTTATCGATCTTCCTCAAAACTCCCGAAGATATGACCAAACCGTGCAAGGCGACTCCGTCTAATATAGGCTCGGTGATAGAAGTCACATTTTGCACGGTGCAATCGAGCAATGAAATGGAATGCGAGGCTTTTTCTCTCAACGTTTCACCTGCGAAGAACACAAGTGATAAAACGGAAAATAAATAAGACATCAAGAGGAGTACCAATGATGGCCAGGGCGGTCTTGTCGCCGGTGCATCTCAACGTGTGGGGCATGTCGCAGGTACATTCCACCGTCGGTTGCGAATCGATTTCCGGGCACCTCCACAAGTCCGGGCCCGGTGATGGGATGGCAGAGGAAGCGCACCGCCACATCAGGACCAGCATCAAGCGCCACATCCTACAGCAGCGTTCGATTGCCCTTCATAATGTCGCGAACGTGGCGTGCATGGCCGGCTTTAATTGCGCCATAACTGAAAATCGTCGAGATTAGAAACAGCATCGATGGGAATGCGTATGAATCGTGTGGGCTCCGGACACGACCACATAGACTAGTCAGTCACTGTGGCGGGGTGTCTTGTGCAGTCGTCGTGGGCCGAATAAACAGTTTTGTTTAATTGGATACACTTTCGTGCGTCGTCGTATTTCATGAATAAAAAACTCTTTTGAATCGGTCGTTTATTTTACAATGCGGGAAGTCGCAGTCGAATGGGACGTTTGAGTTATGGGATATTAAATTGAAATTTCGACGACGAAAATTTATTTATTAATGTAACAGGCCGTTTGTCGAAAATGGCGAGTAATTTAATAACGTCTTGCACGCCGGTCTGGAAGTCACTCAACCTTTTCTATATACAGAAGTACCAGTCAGTTTTAGTTTCAATTTTTACGGCCTAATAAGGTACTGCCTATGAATTTACGGGCGCTCCGAGAACTCGTGAGCACCAACTAAGGCGATGCCCGACAATGTTCTCAGCGTTCGCATTGTGCACGTCTTTTTCTGCATTCGTAACTGTTTCCTTAAACCGTCGTTTTGTCGCACGCAGATGGGCAGGAAAAGTTCGCTAAATTATTTGCGCGATACATCTATATTTCGCGAAATATAAAACATAAATTCCGCCTTCGGGAAAACTCCTTGGCTCTACCTCCATAACGAAATATAACGGCGTAACCGAATTAACGCCCGCAGTATTTTCATCTGTTCCGACGCCATCCGTCCGGACGGACGAGTTTTCCGGTTTATTACGGCAATTCCGCTCTCGAATCACGAACTTCCGTCCGGGCGCTAAATAAATTCCCGAAATATGGACGCTCTTTAGTCCTGTATAGCCCGATCATTCTCTATTATTGCTCTCGCGACGATTCAGGACTTAGCACTTTTAATGAGGGGATAAAAAAGTTTTACCATTGAATAAACTCCGCACTGGAAAATGGGCTCGTTATTCCGGCCGATTCGACCCTGTTGGACTATCTTTACATCAACAATTCCAAACTAATGTTTATACAGCTTAATTGTGGATTTTTAGAGACATTTCAAGTCGAATTTAACCATCCTAGGTATCTTACGGTAGTTCATTTTTATTATACAGGGCGAATCTTGAAGATAAATACTTTAACAGTTTATATAGGCATTTAAGGGGAACATGAAACAATCATTAATAGTTCAACCGCCTCTTCCTTAAAAAATGATTTTAAGAAAGAATATTTCGTAAAAAATCATAAATTGTCCAGTATCCTTAAAGAAAAGGCGGATGCAATATAATGGGTATTTGATATTACCCTTTATACACTCTAAAAATATATTTCCTCATGATTCACCTTCAGTGTTGTTAAAAATACTTGACTTGATTATGTATTTAATTACAAATACAAATATTTTATTCATGTATTTAATGTATTTAAATGCATTTAAATTTCTTACTGTTAAAACAATATTTCACCTGGATAACCTGGATTAAGTTGAAAATTGTCAAAAAAAACAATTTACAAAATGTATGTCTACGTCAGGGGATAATCCGAAGTTAGAGGTAGAGTTAGTTAGAGTTAGAGGAATTTATGTTTTCAGGGTAAATATAATTAAGTGAGTGTTCTCAACATTGCTTACAAAAATGTATTTAAACTTTAAATACAACTATTTTAATTACATTGTAAATACAAATGAAGCTTGTGTATTTAACTACGTTCACCCTGTATAGAGCCTTTACCAAATGAGTACCTATAATCTCTAAAAGCGAAGTGTGTAACAAATTATGTTCGTTTTCTTCATACTACAATATAAAATAGGAAGAAACTAATTTCAAGTAACACAAAGGTAGAAAAAAGCTACAACTGTATAAATTTCATCGAAACTCTCGTGATTTCCTCGTTAATTTTCCCCATTTTCGAGGTATTCGAGTGTCGTTCGGACAACGTAAGATCTCAGTCGGATGAAAAAAAAAACATATACAAGAACGTCCATTCTAGTCGATTAATATTCCGGGCATGAGCTCCGGTTCTTTATTAAACCATCCTTCAGGTCTCCTTAACTAAATCGTACGAACGTTGAATAAATACCCGCCGGAACGACCGGATCGCTCATATTTCTCCTTTTTCGATTTACCTACCCGCCTATCTCTAATTAGAGCGAGGAATTTCAGCGCGAAAGGGCCGCGACATATTTTTATTCAATACGCTACCAAAGCGTATACCAATTACACAATTAATAGAGTTCTAACAGTGGAAATTAAATGGTATTTATACGGAATTAAAAACGCTATATTCAAACGACATACTCGAAAACTGGGAGTGTTTCGAGCGGCGGCCCACACGCGTTCGCTGCCCACGCTTTATTTCTTCTATAACGCTGAAGCGCCGCTCTTTTAACGAAAACTTTCGACGGGCCAAGACCGACTTTCATAATACAATCGAATCGATGGAGATTTCGTAAAATGTATTTGTTCGGATAAGTAAAAAAAATACGTGTATGGCCACTTTTAAATTTGTATAAACGCAGGTGGAAGATTAACTGCACTGTTATTTTAACGCAATAATCCGGAAACCTTTTGTTTGTATATCTCAGGTTGAAGTGTATGTTTATTTTTAAGATGGGGAATATTCACTGCACTGTATATTACAATGTTATAATCCTATAAATTTTATTTAGTTAGAAAAGTTTCTAATTTATATCTAATTAAGTGTATTAATGCTTCAACCTACTGTTCAAATTCCTGCGATTTTGTTACGAGATCGGTGTATAAATATAACGGCTAGGCGATGAAATGTCGTAAGATATTGGTCAATCGGATTGCAATTAGAATGATAAATGCAGCGAAAACTTCGAACAGGTTTGTTGGTTTGTGGAAGTTTTTTGTTCTCGGAAAACTCGGAGAAAACCCGTTAACTCGGCGCGCTCTATTGTCGTAAATCAGCCATCCCTTTTTTATTCGGGATCGTAACGAAAGGAGCAAAAATAAAAAGCACTTAGGCGAAAGTGAGTCCCCCGTTTTTCTATTTTCCCGAAATAATATTCGGATTGAATTATGAACCCCGGCACAGCTGCCGCCGGGCGCGTATACATTAAAATGTATATTTTTCACCCAGTTTTCCGACTCTCGGTAAAATAAACCCGGCGTCCCGCGGATTTTCGCAAAGAAAAAAAAAATATATCGGCATCAGTTCGCGGAACGGGTTACAACGGAAAATGTCCCGAACGCCATAAAAAATTGATGAATTTAAAATAAAAAGTAAGGGAATGTATTTTTTATTTTTTGCTGCACTGATGGCGCTCTATATAATACCGAATGTTGGCAGTCATGGTTTATATGAAATTAAAGCGAAAATGTAAATCTGAGGCATAAAGCCTGCGAGAAGTTGGGGAATTGTTTTACATATTTTTTTCATCCAGAGAAAACTCGGTAAAACAAGTATGAATATAAAGCAACTGTGCTGTGTATAATTTTTATGTTGGCACTGCTGTAATTTGGTTTTAAGTACCCATTAAAAATTATTAACATTTATACCTACTAATAATATTAATTCTTTGTGTTTTTATTGAATCAAAATTATACAATATGATCCGCGTTTTAAATTCGATTAAAAGACATGTCGAAAAAAAACTAAATACACGTTAAAACAAGCTCAAAACTCTCTCGTTTTGATTGAAAAAATGCTAAAAACCTTGATTTATATTCTATTGTTTCGTAAGCAGTTTAAAACATCTGTTTGCTCGAAAACATTAACATATGTTTTGTCGCTGAGAAAATTTAAATTCCCGTAGGCTGTATTGGAAATTCTTCCATTTTTTTCCTCCGCGTCATTTTTTCAAACAGATTAAAATATAATACGCAGTGCAGTTAATTTAGGCGAGTATAGTATAAGGCTATCCACACAGGCACTTTTTTCAATATTGGTAATAAATAATACATGTTAAGTCTCATTTCAATTATAAAATAGATTCAAAATCCGTCAGGTATGTTGTCAAACAATAAATGACAAATCCCAAACAGCATGCCTTTCGATGGTCAAACTTTTTTTAGCGCATTATTCGGTAGAGGAGAATTTTTATTAGACAATAAAATTAATTAACATCAAATCAAAAGTGCGAATTTAAGTTACAGGACAGCCGACTTATAAATTTCGAAGCTTAAGAGTAAAAATAACTGAATAAAATTTTCATCTAAACGAATATATAGCAGGCCCAACTGGGTGGCGAGCGCGTAGCATAAACCCAACAAAAATTTATAGGTAACAAGCGATCTGTTAGCGATTTTTTATCGTTCCCTCCATATGAATTATAGATTATGCATTGTATTCGAGAATTCGTGTCGAATCGAATTAATAATATTTATTGTAGCTGGATTTTTCGATTGTTAAGTTGACAAACAAAAAACCCTCGAGAAAATACGCATTCCGCAAAATTCACATTATTACCTTTAACTCGTATATTTTCCAGTCATATTTCCCGCTCCCGGAAAAAACAAATCACGGTACACTAAACCCGCACTCTCGAAGACCCCACTGATTACCATCCATCGCGAGGATTAACCAACGAATCGACCAAATTGCCAGAAAAATTCGCGATTTTCCGCTGTTCGGAAAATCCAAAAAACCCTTCCGCTCGCCGCCCGAGCGATTTTCGAAACAGGTGAACCGCTCCGGACGAGAGGACGGAAATTTCTATCGCTACACTCCGTATACACCGACGTTCGAAGGTGGAATATCACACAAACGTGCATCTGGTTTGGCCTCTTTGCCGGAGAAAACGTCCAAAAGCGTGGTGAACGTTGCCACATCTCCTAACCGGAGGATTTTATTTTCTATCGCAACCCAATAATGATCCGTCAAGTCGAGATGGAGGGGTCAAATCTGGCGAATTATTAAGGATGTAGCTAAAAAGATTGTTGTTTTTCACTCCTAATACTATAAACTTTTTGTACAATTTGATATAACTAGACGCGAAATGGTACAAAAGTAAATCAAATGGGGGTGAAATCGGGAGAGCGCGTCGGCCTTTCTAGCTACAAGCTACAATGCTTGGCAGGATAAATGGGATTTTCTGGCGGTGATTTCATTGAAAGCCAGCGCTCGGCGTTCGAGTGAAAAAAGACCTCGAAGTCGTTGTGATTCGAAAATCAGGTAGGAAGACGGTATGTAAATTTTACGATCGGCTGTTATTTACGCAATTGAATGGATAATATACACGTGAGTTGAATCGTGGGTGTTACGCCGACCGACCGACCCTATTGTTAATAATCGAGACGACTCCGGTCTCGGATCTCGACGCTTGGAAATCGATGTGTTGCCGACGTGATCGCCGAGAACGGATTTTTCAAGATTTATTTTTCATTAAAAAAAATAAACAATATTATCTTCTGGTCCTCCGAAACGATAATTGCACATTATAACCCTCAACTTTTTATCTCCAAATAATTTTAAACACATCTTTATCGCTGCTCTGCTGCAATTGCGACATAACACCAAAGGTTAAATTCTACAAAAATATATAAATTGGTGGAGTTACATAAAAAATGTCATATCAATGAAGTGAGTCCGATCAAAATGAAGCGATTTTTCTTACACCCTGTAACCGCGTTTCTCATCATCGCAGGTACGTATCAACCCACCTACACATCTAAAATTTACCCAACAATTTTCCAGGCGTCTCTTGCAAGATGGAAACGTCGAACTTCGATATAAGAAAGGAATTCTTCAACATCTACAAAGGCATAGCCGTCGAAACCAAGGCGATCACCCACACGCAAGTCACCAGGGACCAAGTCACTTTTACCATGTACAGGAATCACCAGGAACCCAAAGAGGCCATCATAAAGGACAACAACTTAGCCCTTTTGGAGGGCAGCAAAGGGCACGTGGTGTTCATAACCCACGGATGGACTGACCACGGCGACGCCGAATGGGTGTTGGAAATGAAAGACTCCTTCCTAAGTACCTATCCAGACATCGTAGTCATAGCAGTGGATTGGCGGGAACCAGCTCGACAGGTTTACTCCATCTCATCTATAAACACATACGACATCGGTGAGTGGAACTTCATGTAAGACCACTCTTAAGCAAGTTTTTCTATTGCAGGAAATATCATAGGAGACACGGTAGGGAAACTCGTCGACGAGCACCGCTTGGACATCGGGCAGTTCATTCTGGTTGGGCACTCTTTGGGCGGTCAAATTAGCGGGTTCGCGGGCAAGCATCTGCAGAAAGCCGGCAAGAAGCTGCAGAGGATCGTGGCTTTGGATCCTGCTGGGCCGTTGTTCGATGTAAGGCCGGTAGACAAGCGGCTCAATCCGACAGATGCGGAGGTAGTGGAAGTTATCCATACGGATACTGGAAGTTTCGGTTTCAAAGATCCCTGCGGTACGATCGATTTCTATCCGAATGGAGGCGATTTCCAGGCCGGGTGTACTAGGATAGACGTGTTTGATGCTTCCAGTATCGTAGATCCTAGTAGGTGGTATTCATTTCTTCGTATACAGGTTTTATAAGGAGTTAATTTTAGTTGTGTGTGATCACGAGCGATCTTACTATTACTTCATCGACGCCGTGCAGCACCCAAAGGATTATTTGGTAGCCATGGAGTGCACCGAATGGAATTTCCTGCGTAAAGTTTGTAATGAAAGCAATACTGTTTCCATGGGGGATTTGACTACTACACAAACGGGCACTTTTTACTTGACGACAAACAAAGAAAAACCGTATGGTAAAAAAGTGCTTGAAACTGCCGATGGGCTGCTCGACAAAATGGACAAAACAAAGGAAGCTATCACGGACAAAGCCAGTGAACTTGGTTCAAGCGTTAAAGCAGGAATCTCTAAGATGGGGAAATCCCTAAGCAGTTTTAATTTCTTCGGAAAGAGTTCAAAAGAGGAATAAAGAGGAAATTAGACTAATGTAGCAGAAAAATACATTAAATTAACTTATAATGATTTTGATCTTGAGTTTTTATGGAAATCCCTCAAAAAAAAAACAAATTTTTAGAGCATGTAGTGACATCTTGGTTGCCTAATTAACGCTAACCATATAACAGTAGATAAAAGGCCAATTTAACAAAAAAAATTACATTGACACTGACACTATTGACAGTTGACTTTTAACCTAACATTTTCGTAGTATAGTTTGTATTTGTATACAAAATGCATCGAAATTAGCAATAATTTCAATAAATTAGTGCATTTTGGCTGCTTATAAATGGCGAACCGTACGGTAAAAGACGCCAAATCGATACACGGCACGAATCCGCAGTATTTGGTGGAGAAAATCATCCGGTCGCGCATCTACGACTCCAAGTACTGGAAGGAGGAATGTTTCGCTTTGACGGCGGAGCTCCTGGTGGACAAAGCGATGGAATTGCGGTTCGTGGGAGGCGTGTTCGGCGGCAACATCAAGCCGACGCCGTTCCTCTGCTTGACGTTGAAGATGTTGCAGATCCAACCCGAGAAGGATATCGTGGTGGAATTCATCAAAAACGAGGAATTCAAGTACGTGAGAGCGTTGGGGGCGTTTTACATGAGGCTCACGGGGTCGTCTTTGGACTGCTACAAATACCTCGAGCCGCTTTACAACGATAACAGGAAATTGAGAAGACAAAATCGATCAGCGCAGTTTGAACTCGTACACATGGATGAATACATCGATGAATTGTTGAGAGAAGAAAGGGTAAGTAACGATTTACTTACGTTCTTACTGTAACCAATTCGTCATATACATTTTAGGTTTGCGATGTGATTTTACCTAGGATTCAAAAGCGAGCGGTCTTGGAGGAAAATAACGAATTGGAGGCTAAAGTTTCAGCTTTGGAAGACGATCTCGATGAGGATATAGAAATTGAAGATGAGGAAGAAACTGTCAAATACAACTTGGAAGAGTCCGTTGCAAAGGAACCAAAAGAAGTTAAAAGAAAGGAGAGGAAGAGAGATAGGAGTCGATCGAGGGAGCGGAACAGAAGCAGAGACAGAGATCGGCACAAAAAGGAAAGAGATCGCGATCGCGAAAAGGAGAAAAGGGATAAAGATAGGGACAAAGACAAAGAAAAGGACAGGAGAGATAGGGACAGACGAAGAGACGACGACAGAAAAAAGAGATAATTAATTTAAGATTTTTTTTTCTATTGGAACATGAACTAAACTTTTAAAATGTGGTTATCACAGTTTATGTTAATTTCAACTAATTATTTACAGATATTTTAATGAATAAATACAAATAAATTTCAATTAAACATTCTCTTTAACTTTTGTATAATTTAGTCCACTGGGAACTATAATAGACGATATTCCAGTTTATAGGCCTACATAGAGTAAACTGTTTTTTTCTTACAAGCATAATAGGAACCAATAGCAAATTCCTTTAAAAAAATAAAGGAATAATTTTATATTGATGAAAAATACACAAAACCAATATAAACCAATTAAAGGAATTTACTGTATTGCTTTATACAATGATTGCTGATAAATTCATTAAGATATAAAACGTATCATCTTACTCATCCTGCCATTGTTATATTGAATTATCACATTGCTTAAATATATTCTAAAAAGTCGGCGCATTCAAATGAAACAACCGCTCTTCCTTCTTTTTAATCCAATTCAAGAGCTTCCCGATCAATACGATAGCTTGGGAGGTATCGATTAGAGGCTCGAAAACGACAAACAATTCGAACCCTTTCGTGTCCCACGCCAAGATGGCCTCGTTCGCGCTCCTTTCGAATATCAATTTCAACGGTCTCGAAACGTTGTGTAACCTGTGATGGGCCCTCTTATAGATTTCGATCAAAGGTTCTTTGGATTGCGCGTACGGCGGGCTCAAATTCGGCTGGTAGAATTGAGCGGTCGATTTGCATTTGTAAAGATAGTGCCGGATTTCGACGAAACCCGCGCTGGCGCTGCTCTCGCCCGGATTGCCCAACGATTCGTTGATCGCCTCCAAGCAATTGCTCCGCCTCAATTTCTCCACGATCTTCTGCTTGGCTTCGCTCAGGGTGAAGAACACGTCGCGTTCCACAGTTAGCAATAGTAAACAAGCTTGACAATCTTCGCTCAAGTAGGATACGTGCCCGTAGAGGAACCCGCTCGCGTCGAACTTCGGCAAACAAAGAGGAGTCCAACTCTCAGAGTTTTTGAAACTCTCCGAGGCTTGTACTAAGTTGAAGATGAGATGCAAATCCGCCGGGTGCAGGCAGTATTTCTTCATTCTTACTAACGTTATTAACTTATTGTTCGCCAACAGGATTGCAAATACTAGATTCTACAACATAAATTAAATTAATCGTAATGCATGTAGTTAATATACTAATTTTATGCCTTTATTTTACTACAAGCTCCAGTGATAGCTGAGCTGATGGTGTCTCGTACAGAAGAAGCTAACGGTAAACATTGCACAGCACCAAGCATAATGCTCGATTCCATTTCGGAAAATGTTAGCAGATGATCGATCAGCCTTTCTACACCTGATAGAAGCCTTCTCAAATCGTAATTTTGCCTCTGCTCGTAAATTTTGTTTAGTCTCGTCAATGTTAGAATGCTCGTTATTTGGTTAAACACATAACTGAAATGGTAATAACTGAATTAAACTAGAACAATGTTAATCGAAGGAGTACTTACTGCAATTGCATTTTCAACTGACTTTCGCTTTCTCTAGTCTTTGATACAGTAACTAATATAAGAGGTTTCTTCACCAGAAACACGAATCGAGTGTTTCCCGCTTGAATACTTTGTATACAATCATCAGAGGATTGTGTAAAGCTTACTAAAGTCTGCATAACACCAAATAACCAAGCTAGCTTATCTTCATTACCATATCTTAAACAAACTTAAGTTATTAATAGAATGTACATTAAATTTAAGATAGTCTTACCGTGAATATATTGGCTTCCCAGCCATACTCAAAACGAATACATGTTTACTCTTACCGATCCACTCTTTGTTAAGCTCAAACTCCTCATCGGCATTCACGAATTCGTTGTCGTTAACGCCATTATCATCGAATTGCTCGTTAATCGTATTATCGTTAGTCTCCTCTTCTTGTGTCGCATCATTTTCGTTTTTAATTTCCTCCAAGCTGCAGCTCATTTCATCGAAGTTATCCAAGGTGTCCGTTGTTACCAAACCGCTTTCCGGGGCTGCGCCCGGTTCCACTTCTAACGCGGACATCTCGAATGCGGTAACTCGTTTTAAATGTATTTACAAACTTTAAAAATTCGCACTTTACATGTTCTATTTATTGGAAAATGTTTTCATATCAAATCTCTCTGTTATAATGGATGTCAATGTCAGGTGTCATCATAACTGTCATTTTAATTTCACATTTATATAGGCAACACATTTTACAGCAGCAACTGAATAATGTATAAAGACGAGGCCAAGAATTGATTTGAAGAGAGTAGACAGAAATGACATATGACATAATGACATCATCATTTGTTATGATATTAATTTGTATTGGCGGGAACGAGCATTAAAATATCATTATTTATTGCAATTGGTAAACAAACGAGGTATTTTTATTGTGTTAATCGTTGTATGAAGTGTTGTTTGTTTGATGTGTCGTCGAAATATTTCCATAAGAACTGCCGGATTGTTAATGAAACAGGTTAATGTTGTACGTCACTGCACATTCGATTCAAGAACCTGATCATTAACAAAAAAAAACTCCCGCGATTTACCTGCGATCATTCAAAAAATGCGAGGGATTTGAATGGAATCAATACGCTTTTCCCGCTAGTAGCAAGTGTGACGGTGCTCCATTAAGAAATCGCATTTCATTGTTACCTAGCAAGTTGATTGGGTAACTTTATCAAATCGTTATCAAAATGGTCCTCTCCAACGAAGACGACGTACAGTTACTCAATAAACTGAGAGATTTGTGCAGTAAATTGAATTTAGATCAAAAAACCATCGATTTAGCTTGGGATAATTTTAGCAACATTAATAAAAATTTCACTTTAGAGGTAAGTCGTTCGTATACTCAAATTTATTCATTTTGTATTCGTATTGCATAAATTTATAAGGTGTTAGATAAAAGATTATAGAACTAACTAATTCGTATATACCTCGTAACTTTAATAAATGTTCAATTTTACAGGGCGATGCTCTGAGTTGGCTGGGATGTGCAGTATTCATAGCATCTCAGTCAGTAACAGCATTATCGAACGTAGATCAAATTTACATTGATTATATCGTCAAGAAGAACGGTGTTTCTTTAACGTCTCTTCTTTGTCACAGCAAATTAAGGTAATGCGAATGATTAAAAATAAGTACAATTTGCACCTTACTGGTTTTTTGTTTTTTTTTTTTTTTAGTTTTGCCCAGTTCTTCAGCAACATTAAGAAGTGGGTGGATATGGCGCATTTGTCAGAGCACTTCAAGAATATGATTCAAACTGTTGAAGACACTTACGGTGTATCTTACAACACTTTTAAGAAATATTGTTCGATTTTTCCTCAAATTTTCGTACCACCAAATCTGTCCGATTTGGAGAATTCCAAGTCCCACAAGAATAATCGTAAATCAAGGTTAATATTTCATTTGTGTTACAAATATACCGATTAAACAATACTTTTTTTAGGCCTGTTTTGTGCAATACATCCAAAGTATTCGAGTTTATTTGGAACCTTTTTATCATCATCAAAGGTGAAGACGAGCAGTGCAGCACTGACTTGGTTAAATCCTACCATCTGCTATTCGGCTGTTTGGATTTGGCTTTTAAGAACGCCTTTCTGGCAAAACGCAGAGATTTGTTGAATCCCTCCTTCCAGAGTTTGCCCAGAGACTGGAGCAATTCGAACTTCGAAGTACCCAAAGAGGCTCCTTGCATAATAGATCAATTTTCCATGCTGGTCGAGGCGGAATATGTTAAAACCTATCCGTTGAGGGATTACATTACCAATTTGATCAAAAATAAGGTTTTATTAGCTGACCCCAGTAATTTTACCGGGTTGTTTAACGAAGACAACTTTGACAATAATTTTAAAAATGTAATAAATGCGTACGAAACGCACTTATTAAACATCGCTGATGTCGATGAGAGGATATTTCTAGGTAATAAAGAAATATATTTAACTGATGTAGAAACTAATTTTTGTATTTTTCAGCGGAGTATCGCAGATTGTTGCTAGAACAACAAAACGCGCAATCTATTGTAGTGGATTCGGGTTGTCCCGTAACAAGCAATTTTCCGCATTCCATGGATAAATCCATCACTCAGAATATTACTAATTTACACAATCTTTTGAACCGCAAATCATCGGCTTCTAGTGAATCGTTTTTAAAGTAAGTGTTTTTTTTATTCCAACACAATTTCTGTTTGATAAATAAAATTTGTATTTCTAGTCAAGCGAACCCTCTGCCGATTATTCAACAAGTTTTAGACGAGTTAACTGAGAAATTCGTATCTGCTTATGTACGTATTTTCCCAACGAAAGAGCAGGACGCGAAGAACAGGAGCCAAATCGGCGTGACATTATTCTACAAATTCGTCCAGAATATCTTAGATAACGAAAGGAAAATCGGAAACGATATATCTGTAAGTAATTCTTTGATACACACAAAACTATAATTAATTACACAATTATTTCCGCAGGTGCTGTTGCAGAAAGATTTGTTTTATCAATGCATGCTGGCTTGTTGTATGGAAATCGTGCTGTTCTCGTATAATTTCCCCAACAAATTCCCATGGATTTTGGAAGTTTTCGATTTGCAGCCTTATCATTTCGTGAAAGTCATCGAACTGATCGTTAGAACCAAGAACAAGCCTCCCAGCGATATAATAATTCATTTAAATAAAGTAATACTATAATCGCAATATCCATTACTTTAAATGCTTATGTATGTTTGGTTTTAGGTCGAAGAAATGATTCTAGAAAGTTTAATGTGGCGCTCTGATAGTATTATTTGGATTACAATTGACAATTTGGGTGGAGATATTCCCAATGTAGAAACGAGCGCTCTACCGGGTTGTTTATTTTATGTTGAAAGAACCGAAATGAATACCGAAAGCCACAATGGCAAAGGTATATTTTGAAAATGTTAACGTTTTTTTTTTTGTTTATTTTATTTTTATTTTGTAGTCTTACAATCACCGTTCCCATCAGCTTTAGATCGCTTCCAATCACCCGTAAGGGGACAATTACTCGTCAACGTTGAGCCTTGTCATTTAAGTTAGTTTTATTTTTATTTTTTTGATCTACAAACGCACTCTTTGTGTTATATGAATAATATATTTTCTTTCTAGTTCTCAACCAATCGGAGGACCAATCACTACAACCCCGTAAACGTAACAGCCTGTCTATTATACTCAGCAAGGTAAGACGAAACCTTTATAATCTACTGAATGAGTAAATAAATTTGAGCAATCTTTTACAGTTTTATTACTTGGCGTACAAGCGAATGGATCAGTTTTGCACCAAGCTCAATTTGAAGAACATCGAAGTCAAACAGAAAATCTGGACGTTCTTCGAGAAATCCATACAAAGCAAAGAGCTGATCAAAGACAGGCACCTGGATCAGCTGTTGATGTGCGCTATATACGTCATTTGCAAGATATCGGATTTCGCGTTGATGTTCCAGGACATACTCAAGCACTACAGGGAGCAATCCCAATGCTCCAGCGATATTTATCGAAAAGTTTTCGTAGAAAATCAAATAAAAGGTATATCACACTCTTACTTGCAAACTTCGAACTGTTTTGTACAATATTTGATATTTTTTAGATGGTATGGTGATAGTAAAAACTGACAATTTGATAACTTTCTACAACACTGTTTACGTAAAGGTGATGGAGAAATTCGCGAAAACTTTCACCCAAAAACAACTACCAGAGGTAAATTTACTGAAACTATTCAGTGCTCGTAATTCATATTGGTTTTATTGCAGGTTGACTTGCTGCTGAGTCCATTACCAGCCGTTAAAAGAGACATGATTCAGAAATTCGCCAACGTTTACGTGAGGCCTTTGGAAAGTCACTCTCCCATCTCCGATAGTAGCATAAAGTATACATTTAGTCGCAGTCCTTCGAAGGTAAGTGCTCTCTATTGCATCTAATTAATCATCTTATTAAATAAATTCGTTGCAGGATTTACAGGACATAAATAGACTGGTTAATAGTAATAAGGTGATGGGTAAGAGACTGCTAGTCGACGATCAGGGCGATCAGCAACCCAACAAGAAAATCGCGAAGAAATTCAAATCGCTCGTCGACTATCGCGAAGAGTTTAATCAAAATACGAATACGCAAGATTTAATGGCGCGCCATTAAAGCTGGGCTATATTTTTATTATCCCTACTAATATTACGTATATACATAATTATTTATGTGTTAAATAGATTTTATTTGGGTGTTATAGGCAATTTTAAACGATTATCATATTATTAAAATTTGTATACCGATTTGCAGAAATTTAGGAAGCTGGCTTATTTCTGTTCTTATATAAAGCCAATAGAAGTCTATGACACCGACATTTAGCAAGGAAAGCATCACGAAAAACTAAGCGATTAATTTTTTCGTTTTTCCTTAGATTTTAAGTTTTATTTGCAATAGTTTTGTAAATTGTTACAAAACGATTTCTAAGTGTTAATTGTGATGATAATATTAAATTGTAGTAAGCATGTCGATGAGACTTATACTTTTAATTAAATTTTTCTAAACCTACAATTGTTTTTGAGTTGAAAATTTTTTCCTAATTAATAACATTATTACAGCGTAATTCGAATATTCCTCGGCTCCCGTCTGCTGAATTAACTCGATTAAATAAGAGTCTCGCTATATGTTGTAACGCAGTTCAACAAACCAATTTAATCGTGTATACAGTGAGTTATAAAACATATACAGGGTGTCCCGCATAAGAACAGGAGCCCGTAGAGGAGCCGAAAATATGTTTAACCCGATTTATAATACAGGCAACTTTTGAATTATTGACGATTTTAAGTAACATTGATAGTGAGTGGTACATGACTTTAGTTTTTAGCGTTTTTCATCAATACCATAAAGAATTTTAAAAAACAAAAAAGAAAAAAAAATGAAATTACGTATGAAATGAACTTTTAATATTATTAATCATCCATCAGGTAAAAAAATCTAACATTTTAAAGGAGCATCATATATTACTCCAGAAAATTATGATAGAAAAGTTATTTTCTTTCTAAAATTTTAACACCCTGAAGCTCGAAAACTAAGAGGCTTAGGACATATATTAATATAAATTTTTCTTCTTAAAATCACCCAAATATTCACATCCTGAAGTAACGACATTTAATTAATTAACACCTTGTATACCAAATGTAGTTATTTTGTTTGAGTATTACCGGATATTATTATTTATTTTATTTTTATATTTATTTTATTTGTAACTACTTTGAAGACCTCAGGAAAGTAACTTTGTATTTAGTTAAGTTGGGCTCGCCTAAACGCCTCTGCTCTGTGTCCGTCCCTAACGAAACACCCTGTATATGTATTCCAGATCGAAATCGATTTGGAATATCGAATTATTATTACCAAAAGCGTTCCTCGATTAGTCGCATCGAGGAAGTGAATTTATTATTCGCAATTTTTCAAATTATAAATTAATGAATTCTGATTCATCTGTTGATACATTTTTTAATTCGCCCGGAGAATTTCGATAATGTCGATTTCATAATGAATCATTGATCTCGAATTCTAATCATGCCGGTGTTAGTAATCCGACACGCTCGACGAACCAAACAAATTCGATTCGAATCGAGCGCAATATTTTCATACTCATAACGAATCCATTTTTTCAACGATTCCACGAAAACCCTTATCTAAAGAGGATGTTAACAACCTTCGTCGTTCGAAATGAGAAAATGCACTTTTTCCTTAAAACGAAATAAAATTCCGCAAATATTTCCGCTATTGTACTCGCAAGTACCGCGCGAAGAGGAAGTTCCGGTTTTATTTTTACTATCGACTCGTCTCGGGGAGTACGAAATTCACAGACGGGCACGATTCTTATCGATTCCCTTTTCTTCGCCATCTACCTAAACCTTTTTCTCGGAATGTTTTCGTCATGACAATTTCGAAAATTCCTTCGCTTGTAAAAAAGGGCAAGGTTCTAATTCCTATCACCTTAAATATTTGGAACAAGCTAAATAAGTTATATTGGTAAAATTAGGAAAACAACAAAATTTGAAATTTCAAGATTTTTTGAGTAGTTTTATTAACTAAAATGGGAATCAATACTGTGGGACACAAGACCCAAAATAATTTTGTACACACAATGTATGATCGTCAATTTCTAGTAGATATTGAAGTTACTGTAAGATTCATTTTCTTAAAATCAACTAGATTACGAGCTTGTCTTCTATTTATTCAGGATCATATGAATCATTCAAAAATCCCAAGATAAATTGTAAGTGCTCCAAACTTTTTGGAATACAATTTTAGTTTTTATTACTAAATGGGAATCCGCTTTATACGACCCAAGGTAATTTTGTATAACAATTCTGTTATAGCTTAGATCACACATGTATGATCGCCAATTTCTACATAGAAAAATTGCAAGAATAATTTTCTTCGAATCAACTAAATTAATTTAGGGTTTGCCTTCTACTCAATCATGATCATATGAATCATAATTCACAATCCCAAAATAAATTGTAACTGCTCCATCATGTCAACAGGGTGGATGGATAATGAAATTCGAAACAGATTTGCATAAGCCCCGCTTTTTTAACGAACACTTATTGTTCTCATGATTAAAATATGACTTAAAAGAATGTCTTTTTATCAACGAAACGCTTCAATAGTAAACAACAGAGATAAGTGGAGTAAATGTCGCGTTTAATAACTCATATGGAACAGGGTTTGGTGTATTTACAGGATATCGATTGGAATTCGTAATGTGCAATGCAAGTAAACGAATATACCGGGTAGTCCGGTTCTGAAAATTCGCGAAGAACCGACTCCCACGAAAAATCCGAAGCCGGGCGATGACTGTGCGAAAGCGCGACGCACACACATCCACACACACACACACACGTACGCATCCCGTCCACCAAGGGTTGTTTTATTTTTATTGCGCTCGGGCGCATGCGTCCGCAACCGAGACGCGCCCTATGGATTTACTTTACACAGCCCAGCCGGATCGGGCCAGACAGAGACTGCACAAGCGAGCACCTGTTACACACACATCCGCAGCGGAATCGAGTCGACGACGGTCCGAATAAAATCCACCCAGAGAGAACAAACGCCGATTCGAAACCGAACGCACGCCATCCGCCATCCAGTTAACCGGCCAGTGTTTGTGCATACGCGATCGAAATGTCCGAGGAAGAGGTCATGACCAACGGCGCCGCCGAAGAACAAAAGCCCGACAACAACGCCGCCGAGGAGGCCAACAAAGAGATTAAGGAGAACGGCACGGGGGAGGCCGAACCTGTTGCCGAAAACGACAAGGAGGCGGCCAAGGAGATGCGAGCCGTCGTTTTGACCGGCTTCGGGGGCCTCAAGTCCGTCAAGATACTCAAGAAGCCGGAGCCGGCCGTCAACGAGGGCGAGGTGCTCATCAGGGTGAAAGCATGGCAAGTACAAAAAAGTTTTCACACGTATTTTTTTGTTCGTTCATTCCATTCGTACAAAAATTCACCAATTTTCATACGTTCGCATACATTTTTATCGTTGTTTATAAACTTTTTTACCGGCTTTTGAACGTCGTTTTTGCTGGGAATATGCTGATAAGATTTATCGTTTTCGTTCGTTTCGTGTGGGATGAACACGAACGTTGAATTATAAATCCCTGCGAATTTATTAATTATACTGTACGATCCGTTAAATACCTTCTTTAGTAATTGAAGCATTTTTAACGTTAACGAAATCAATAGCACTGTAATTATTCGTGAAGGGTGAGCTATGCATTATGCACAGGGTCGGAATAAACTCGATTATTTCCTCAGATTTTCCCTTTCACTATTTTCTCCACTCGAAAAAGCTCGATTGAATCGATAACTTTTCCATTATCCAGCTCTATAAAGCTTCTCAACTTCGTCCACATTAATGGAAAATTCCTCTTATTTCTTTTTACAATTCCTACGCCCTACATCAAACAAAAGAATCCTAAATTTTCGCTATGATTAATAAATTAAGGCAATTAATTCTTTACATGTCTAGTCCTAATCGAGGAGCGTATTCAAGAGTCTCGAATAAGCAATTCCGTTATTTTCACGAACATCTGGATCATATCCACTTCAGAATTCGAAAACAAAGCTAGCTCAGTGTGTTATTCTTTTAATCGCCGGGGCTTATAAATTAATCAGTGTCTTGCAAGGTCAAAAGTTTGATACGGGTTTTAGGTAGAGACGAGATGTATTTTTACAAACAAAAAATTGTTTACGCTCTACCGAGTTTAATATTTTGTCGATATAGATTTCCAATAAGCTATTTAGAATCGAATAAATCCGATACTTTTCTCAAGTACGCACTTTCATGAGTGTACCGGAAATGTATTAGAAAATTCAATTTATTTCGAACGAGATGAACGAGGTAATTAGCAAAAAATAATTGAATAGGCCCCATTAAATTATTTATCGATGAAAATTGTAAATATTAATTTACTCGAACGATTAATAGGTATTATTAACGAACGCATATTTCAAAGTTTTCGAAATGATACAACTTAATGGAATTCGATATCGAATGAGATACTGTACGTTGATGAAAATAAATAACACGAATTGCGATTCCAATAATTACATATCAATGAATTATTTAAATTTCAAAAATCTTTAATCGATAATTAGAGTCTATTTATACAGCAAGGAAATTACTTCAAACGAATCGAAGTGTCGCTTTAATAGCGTATCGCCCTGTATAATTCCCTTGAAAGCGATCTCGCCATCTTTATTGAGACCTTAGGTATTCGAGTAACCAAATCGGGTAAAATCAAATTACGAATTATGACACTAGTTGAAGAAAAAAAAAAGGTACTCGGTACTGGCCGAACGGGTTGTGTCCCGTTTTTATGTCCCTCGTAAAAGTTGCGACGACTTTAATTTTTGCAATCGTAAAAAAATACAAAAAAAAATTAACAATCTTCCACCTCTTGTAGCAAACTTGTAGCAAAATCGCCCGAGCAGTTTCGCAAATAGGAGAATATAAAGCGCATAAAAGCGACAAATAAGCGACGGATGACTCCGGTTCGATTAAAATTAATTATTACCGGCGCACGAATTCATTTGAAAGCAATTAGCGCGGATTCTAAACATTTCTCGGATAAAGCCCGTCGATAGATATATGACTGTATTTTCGTTTTTGAAATTCCAAACTGTGGAATGCGCAGATAAAACGAAAAAATCCATTAATTATAAAAATAATTTAAACGGGGACGCGCCTGCCCCAAATCATAAACTGTTTATCTCTTGACTTAGTTTGAAAATTTTCCACACTAACATACTCATCGTCCAATAGATATGTTGTTAAAATTATTTTGGTTTAAACAACACGATTAGTAGTTTGTAGTTTCTTGCTATTTATTATCTATTATAAATTGGATATCACACTTTTGCGAACCAAGATATAACTGAATTGCTATGCTACTACCATGGATCATTTTTGGTGGATTCCCATTTTTTAAAATCTAGCTACAGTTAACAGAAAATTATGTAGAGGATATGACATTTTTGAGTAGCACTGTACAAACAGTCGCGTCTGCCCGGCCAGAAAGTTGAATCCCCTTTGGGATAAATACACACAGAACAAGTATAATTGACCGGAAAACGTAATTTACGACGTCTCTATGTCTTCGTCTTATTTCTTATTGCTTAATTCGATTCCTCTTCTTTTTCATTCATCAATTACCCGAGCACAATTCGATCTAATTTAATTGTCCGCGACAATAAATCGATCCGGACTCCTTAAGTTATTACAGTCGCACCCTGTACAATAATCTCATGTTAATCATACACGGCTCAAACCGAGATTATTCTGTTGATTCATTCGTGGCTGTTTGTGCTGTTTGAAGCAATTGATGCCTAATCAGAGAAAAACAAAGTGACTTGGCATCAAAATAAACAAGCTGATTATAAGTTTTATAAAAAATCGACTTTTCCATGTATTTATCAATGTATTGGAAACTTAAGTAACATTTCCGCTAATTACGTAGTTCCAGTATTTGGTTTAATGTTTTACTGAAATGGGCTAGTATTAACAAGTGCTCGTGTTAGCAATGCGAGATCGTTGACATTCGTATTTATGCGGGCGTTACGCCAGTAAATAATTTTCCCGGTAAATAAATATTGGAATAAACAGAAAATGTAACGCCTAATCGGAATAGTGGGAATTTCACAATGAAACGTTACCGCTTAATCGTCCGGCGATACGTCTAACGAAAATAAAACTATCTGCAATCGATCGATTCTTTTTAATTTCGTTATTGAAAGGAAGAAAATTCGATGAATCCGATAATATTGTAATGGTTTTTGTTTTATTTATAAAGCTATCAGTTAATTGACCCCAGAAACGCGTAAATATAATAAATTAAAAGTGCCATCCTTTCTTTATGCGGTATGGAATGTGGCAATAATCGCATATAAAAATATACCCATTATCTTAGAATGCATTTTTGTATATTGGAGCTATAAGAAAAATTAATATCCTCTTGAAAAAAATAATGAAATATGTTGTAATTTATCGCCGTTTAATTTTCTAATTTATTCGTTGCAGCGGTCTAAATTTCCAAGATTTGATGGTGCGCCAGGGCGCCATCGATTCGCCCCCGAAATGCCCCTTCATATTGGGCTTCGAATGCGCCGGCGAAATTGAACAAATCGGCGAGGGCGTCGAAAATCTCGCCGTAAGTACACCGTCATTTCCGCCGAATCTCCTATTTAAATATCGATTTGGCAACGCCTCTGACCAGGCGCCGTTGCCGCTTTTCTTCGAATGTGGCAGATTGGCCGTAATTATGACTTTTTTCCACAGATTGGAGACCAAGTGGTGGCCTTACCGGAATACAGGGCGTGGGCCGAACTAGTGGCTGTCCCGGCGAAATACGTGTACAAACTGCCCAAGGACGTGTCCCATCTGGACGCCGTCACCATCACGATGAATTACACCGTTGCTTACATTTTGCTCTTCGAAATGTCAGGATTAACTCAGGGAAAATCGTTGTTGGTCCATTCAGTCGGCGGGGGTGTGGTAAGTTTTTTTTTTCTATATAAAAAAAACATTTTTTTCGACATTGCCAAAGACTATCGACTAGCCTTGCGATTACTAATAGGAATAAACGTCGCGTTGAATTGGGTCTTTAACCTTCCGTGGAATATCCGAGTCCCCGGCAACAGGTTGGGCGTCTGATGTCTGGAAGGGTCGTCGATTGGCGGCGCCGCGACGCTTCCTAGCCGGCGTCCTCGAGTCTGCTTCGTAATGCGCCGTTTTTTTTTATTCTATCCTTTTCATCGATATAATTGCTCGTTCGTCGAGAATGGATTTTTTAAGTCGCCAATGAAATTCAATAGGAAAATTATTTACAGGGGTATAAGTAATATTAGAAACACCCTGTATAACTGCGAACAAAAATATAACAAATCGTTTTCATAACGACTCGACGATACGGCAAATGGATTTTTTATCTAACTAACACGCCCGCGATAACTGGAAACGTATAGATAACGTAAAAATAAAAATGCACGCTTCAGGTAATCCGCCGTGCGTAGCAGGGAGTTTTTTTTTCCTCTTCCATAAATTCACACGTATGAATTACCCGTAAAACGTGAAATAAAAAAAAGGTCGAAGCACGAAAGCAAAAGAAAGGATCTACGGTTGACACGTCACTTTGCCGGGACAATAGAGTTAAATATTACCTGCTCATAACTGGCCGGTGTGGGAGAGAGGAAACCGTTTCCGCGCGTTCCTATCCGAATCCGCGTCCGCTACAATATTTATGCACGGTGGGAAAACGCGGAAAATTTTTAATCTGCCGTACCCGCCCGCCCTATCGATCGCCGAAAGGGGAAAACCGCCTCCGGGAAATCAACGTCGCGCCCCCGACCTTCCTTTCGACGATTGTCAGTAGCAGAGCGGCGCGTTTCCGCTTTCTCCGAACGAAAATTCGACGTATACACGTCGAGAAAACATGCTCGAAACGCGATAGAAAAATACCCAATCGCCAACAATCAATTCCACAAATAAAATACGACATTTTTTTTTCATTAAAGTTATTAAATGTACACAACTTGATTAAGAGTTTTCCTATTGGATTTTGCTATAAGAAATTTAGTATTGAATTACTTTTCAATTGATTTTATTGATTTTTAAAAGAAAGCACTCGTAAATTGAAAAGTCGAATCAATGGCTGATTTCATCTTCAGTTAATTAAGATAATGTGTTGTTTAACCTTATTCCTTATGTTAAATGGTTTCATAATACATCTAAAGGGTGCCTTTAGAATAACGTTGATTTTTAAAGATATTTTCAACTTTATTTGAAGTTTGAGCTTCTCTATGATTGCTTGTGATTACAAGTTTGTCGGAGAAAGATGGAACCACTTTGGGAATCCTTTGATTATGAAATCAATTGCATCTATAAAAGGATCCTTTATGAGTATAATTTTAATCTTGGTCCTACACAAACAAGGCACTTCAACCAATGATATTAACATTATTATTAACAACACCCAGGGTCAAGCGATCGTCCAATTGGCCAAGACAGTTCCGAACGTGACGGTATTCGGCGTGTGCTCCAAAGGCAAGCACGAAGCCCTGAAGGCCGCCGAAGCGCCCATCGATCACCTCTTCGAAAGGGGCTCCGACTACGTCAGCGAGATCCGCAAGGTGTCGCCCGAAGGAGTGGACATCGTGCTCGACTGCCTCTGCGGCGAGGAGTGCAACAAGGGCTACCACTTGCTCAAGCCGATGGGGAAGTACATCCTCTACGGATCATCCAACGTGGTAACCGGCGAGACCAAGAGCTTCTTCAGCGCCGCCAGATCGGTAAGAAACGAATCGACATCTAAACCATCATTGGTGTTAACGAAATGCGTTTTTACAGTGGTGGCAAGTTGATAAGATCTCCCCGTTGAAGCTGTTCGACGAGAACCGCACCCTGTGCGGCTTCAATCTCAGGCGTTTGATGTACCAGCAAAACGGCGCCGAGCACGTCCGGCTCGCCGTCGAAAAGGTCCTCCAGCTGTTCCAAGAGAAGAAAGTCAAGCCGCTGCTCGATTCCACTTGGGCTCTTGAAGACGTAAGTGTTTATATTGCTAGTCGAGTCATTATCGTTACACAATCGGGTGATTTGTTTTAGGTGGCCGAAGCTATGCAGAAGATGCACGATCGCAAGAACGTCGGCAAAGTCATCCTGGATCCCAGCTTAGAGCCGAAACCGAAGCCGGCGACTCCGGCCAAGGGGAAGAACAAGGAGGACAAGAAGAAACAGTTGTCCGAGGAGAAGAAAGACGCCGAGGAGAAGAAAGAGGAGAACGCTAAGGACGCCAAGGAGGATAAGAAGGAGGATAAGAAGGGCGATAAGAAAGAACCGGTGGCTAATGGAGATTCGGCGGATGAACCTGGTGAGTCCTTTTTTTTTGTAACCAAATTACAAATTTCTAGTACAAGCTAGAGGATTCAATACAAAATTGTGTATACTCAAAATCGCATTTTTTTGCAGAATCAAAGAAGGAGCCTTCGAGTTGAATTCTCTCGTCGTAAAAACGGAGCTAACTTTAAAAAAATAAAAAAAAAATCAAATATATGCTTACATTTTTAACGATTTTTTATCTGTAGGTTTAATTATTATTTTTAACATAAGAGACGGACAAAATGGATCTCGAGCGGTTTTGTTGTAACACAAGCGCATATTTTATTTTGATATCATTGTAACTAAGTCTGAGACCAATTTTTTGAAGAAGTAATTATTTTTATAACTAACTTATATACAAAGGTGCTCATTTTTCCAGTAGTATTCGAGACGAAACATCGATCCAGTTTTTATTCGAGACATATCTGTCTAGAGAATCAAAGGGAACTTTTATATGAAATATAAGCCGGGGTGTCGATGTCCGTTTGGAATCGGAAACCGATTTACATCGATTAGTTTATCCAGTAGCGAACGCAACAACTTTTTTGATAGTTTTCCGGTTTTTGGGACACCGGCGCCCCGCGTGCCCGTAGCATTTTTGTAAAATTATACTCTACTTTTCCGTGCGTAGTTTCAAGATGAAAGGACAAATAAAATTATTGTAAAAAAAACGTTAGTCTTGTCCGTTATTTTTGCTAAAAAGCTGTTATTGACATTTTTATGCATATCAAAACCATCAGCAAATCTCCAGATAGTTGTTTTATTTGTAAATTTTAGTAGTGAAAAGAGCGGTTGCTTATGAGATTATTTTAAAAAATATTGTCCAATTTGTATTCACCTTTTTTTATAAATGTGTTGGAAAAATGTTTCTCTTATATTTTTATGTTAAGTCTTAATTCGATTGGCGACGATTCGGATCCGATCGGATGCGCATCGACGCCGATCGAAGATCGTACCATTTACGAGTGTGTTAATATGCTAAGAAAATGCTTAAATATTTATGTAAATGTAAGACTGATGTGTTATCGCTAAAGCTATTGTTTAGATGGCCATAAAATAAAATTGTATAAATGCCTTTTCTTGTGTGTTATTTGATTATCCCTTACCTTTAGTATAAAAAAACGATATTTTAGAGACGGTTTTCATCAAATATCTAACTGATGATCCCATCACAATATTATTTTAAAGTATTTACGAGATTTAATCTGAATTATTCGTAATCTTATCAAACAGATTAATTTTTATCGACTGGCTCATTGTTTGATCTGCGTGGATTTTTTGTGTGGATTTAATAAAATGCACTCCTCAATTCTCAAAACTTTGGTGTTGGTTCTGAATTTTTGTGCTTTAGCAAAATGTACCAGTACAGACAGTACATCGACAGAACCGACCACTACCAGCACGCCTATCCTGTACGTAAGCGAGAATAACGTTACTTGGAATCCACGAAATAAAGAAAAAATTGATATAGAATGCGACGAAGGCTACCAACTATCAGCAACTATTACTAACTGCAGTATAAACTGTTATAACAACGAATATGCTCAAATAACATCAGGTAAATGAATATTATTTTAGTCTTAATAACTCCATAGTCATCATATGCCATTTTCAGATCCAATTAATTTAAATTTAACGATTACTTGCAATATAACTAACTCGCCATCGTTCTTTTTCAACACAAACAAAATAAACGTAAATTACACGGGCACGGAAAACTCCACACTGACCATAGTTTTCTCAAGAGTTGGTAAGTAATTATACAGGGTGTTCCAAAATGACAAGCTAATATTTAAGGGGGTGATTCCTGGGCCCATTTTAAGGAGAAAATTTTACATGAACCTGTGTCGTAAACGTCTTAACTTTTGAGATACAGAGCGTGTCATTATGGAACACCCTGTATATCTTAGAAATTCCGCAAGTTATACCAAGTATAAATAAATACAGGAGAACCACCTACAACCACTACTACTGAAATAACATCGTCTACGATTTACCTACCAACAGCGAGTCTTGATGACCATCCAGATCTCACAGTGCAAATATCCGGTAGAGATCCGTATGATTACAGGCGCGCAAATGTACTGGGTGATTTCAAAGAAATGATCGCACTCATGGCTAAAGAATATTGCGAAACAAACAATTTCACTCTAATACACAACGTTACGTGAGTATAAGCTCTACTAATCTTAAATTAGCAATTTTGTACTTACCCCATTTCTTCAATTTGGGCGATTTTCAGCAAAGACAACGTCGAAATCAAGGAAATTCTACCGTGCTCTTGGAAGAATCCCTCTTGCGATTCATGTGCTGAGGTCAGATTCGCAGTGCCTGTAGAGATAAATCCGAATTCAAGCTTCGAATGGGCCGGTTACCAATTGACCGAAGACCACTTGCGACTAATGTGGGATAGGTACTCGTCCAAATATTTGAATGAATCCGTTACTACCTGTCCACCTGATGATGTTAGGAGCAAGGTGATATGGGAAATTGCGTTGATAGCAGCTTTTACGCTGGCCTTCGTTGTATTGTTCTTTAGCGTTCATTATCGAATAGATAGGCTCGCTAGAAAAATCAGGTAAGTGATGCATTAAAATTAAGATATGTAATAAATTATGGTAGATATTTATTACCTTGAATTCTAGGATTAAAAGTCGACGATTGGTTCAAACTTCAGATTCAAATGATAGTCAATCGAATGATGTTTCTTTGAGGCCCCACTATCTTCAAGACATTCCGCCATTATTTGATTCTAATTATTCGATGCATGATCCAGGTTCCGGATACAGTAATGTCGCTTACGAGACCAATGAGCCTTATGAAAGTAAGATATGAAGTAGAACTAAGGCCTCCTATTAAGGGTTCTTTTTAAAAATATTCATCTAAAATTTAAATGCCTTATTAATTGCAGGATATAATAATGAAGATGAAGAACTATCTGACGGCAGTATCTCTGCTTAGACCATGAAAGTAACCATTTTAAATTGCGCTGACCTACCTTAATTATTACTCCTATTTATTTCATTAAAAATGTAAACGAAATTATAAACACAAATAAGATTTTTTTAATAAGACAATTTTAGAAACTGGGCGATTTTTATTTGAAAATTTGAAATTTAAGAAGAAAGCGATAATACTGACAGTTGACAACTGATAGTGACAAACATGACAAATGTAGTAAAATTATAGAGAAAAAAGTAACTAGTATTCAGGGTATATTAGAACCAATGAAAGAAAAGTCTAATAAAAATACGGTAAAAAAAGTTTATAAACTAATTTGTGAGTTATTTGACAGTGGAATGATTTCAAATAAAACAAAAATTTTTATAAAGAAGTAATTCTATTTAAAATTGGGTAGACCTCCTCGGTTTTGATTGGCTTTTTAGTTTAAATCAGTGTTTTGTGTTCTGTGGTCTCAAATTCGCTGATGTTTCCTGTCATTATCTGTCAAAAAAGATTTGTCTGTCAAGAAAAATGGCTACCAGTTCAAGTCAACCTTCATTGCCCTGGCCAAATACCAAAGATGATTATGAATTGGGAAAAGTTATCGGTTAGTATTGTTTGCATTTTCAAATGCTTTGTATTGTGCCTTGTGAGATGTGAAAAGATTAACCGCCGGGTTACCCTAGTTTATTAGATATCAAAATATGTTAGTAATTTGTAGGTTATGTACTTTTTTGGTGTTTTCAATCCGGCACGAATTTTTATAATTACTTCATTTCAAGTACTCCTCTCGAAATTTAATTATTTCGCCAACATTACTCGGTTATCTGACACCATTCCAGCATTCGTCGTACCCGTTTAAATTTATTTTTAATTCAAAACGTATGCTGGTAACATATTAAATTGTTTTGTCTCTTTAATTATCATTGATTGAATACTATTCAATTGATTGTGAATTGACTGTCGATTTATCAAAGCGATACGTTCAATAAATATTTACGTTATCCATAAATATACTCGCGTATTATTTAGTGTTTGTTTATTCAATTTATTTTGATTTTCCAAGGTGTGGGTGCCACTGCTACTGTACATGGCGCCTTCTGCAAACCCCGAAACGAAAAATGCGCCATCAAAAGGATCAACTTAGAAAAATGGAACACCTCCATGGATGAACTTCTGAAGGAAATTCAGGCCATGAGCAGCTGCAATCACGAGAATGTCGTCACTTATTACACAAGTTTCGTTGTTAGAGAAGAACTGTGGCTTGTTTTGAAACTGTTGGAAGGTAAGGATTACCACGAATACTTTTATGAATAACTAATTGGTTTATTAACGCTTAGGAGGTAGTCTCTTGGATATTATAAAACATAAAATGAGATCGACCAATTGTAAACACGGAGTTTTCGACGAAGCTACAATTGCTACAGTGCTAAGGGAAGTTTTAAAAGGGCTGGAGTACTTTCACAGTAATGGCCAAATTCACAGGTAAGAACCAGTGAACCAGTCTTAATTAATTATACTCGTTTTTTTATAAAACTTTCGCTTTGTATTGTACCTATATGGTAAAGAAAGTTTATTGCTATGTAAGAGTAATGGTGCATTTCGATGATTTTGCAGAGATATTAAAGCAGGGAACATTCTATTGGGGGAAGATGGTACTGTGCAGATTGCAGATTTCGGAGTCTCGGCATGGCTGGCTACAGGTCGAGACATATCCAGAGAAAAAGTCAGGCACACTTTCGTAGGAACCCCCTGCTGGATGGCTCCTGAAGTAATGGAGCAGGTACTTATTGTAGTAGTCATTGCGACTAAGGAAATATTCACATTAATGTCGCGTTTATAGGATCACGGTTACGACTTCAAAGCGGATATTTGGTCGTTTGGTATCACGGCTATCGAAATGGCAACTGGTACGGCTCCCTATCACAAATATCCTCCGATGAAGGTACTTATGCTAACTTTACAAAACGACCCACCAAATCTCGATACAGGCGCAGAGGAAAAAGATCAATACAAAGTAAGCTCGTCAAATGCTTTTGGGCCGTTCGAATTTGTTATTTTTAATTTTGTAGGCATACGGTAAAACGTTTCGAAAACTCATAATGGATTGCCTGCAAAAAGAGCCATCCAAAAGACCCACGGCAGCCGATCTACTAAAACACGCCTTTTTTAAAAAGGCTAAAGATAAAAAGTATCTTCAGTCTACCTTAGTCGCTGTCGGTCCCAGTTTAGAGACCAGAGTACAAAAAGTAAGTTAATGTTAATATCCATTCAAGAATATGTTCACTTATCACAACAATGATTCAGTAACCAGGTGAACGTGACTAGTATAGCAGATACAACGTACATATTACAAAGATAACTCATTCGATAAATGAGTTTCCAGTTTATTTATAATTTTAACGATTATAGTGTGATATAATGGAGTGTTTTTTCAGGCATCGAAGCGCCAACCGGGCGCGTCCGGACGGCTTCATCGTAAAGAAACCGGCGAATGGGTATGGTCGAGCGAAGACGAGAACGGCGGCGGGGATTCCAGCGACAGCGACACGGAATCCAAGCCGATGAATACGTTGATATCGGTAGGATCCTCCGGCTCGGATCACGAGGAGAACAGTGAAAGCGCCGACGCCCCGCCCGTCAATCTCGTCCTACGGATGAGGTAAAATATCCAGAAAAATATTTTGTTTGTCAAAATCTTGTCGGTGGTAATCGAAACTGTTCTCATTGATTTGCGGAATATTATTAACACTTCTCCAGTACTTTACAGCTGTTTCGGTAATTCAATTTCGCCCCTATTGTTCGCCCACTGTTGTTATGTAGATCAAATGGAATTGAATTGTTGCATTAATTTAATTATTTATTGCCCTTTATTTGTTTCTTCCTAGAGAACCCCACAAGCAGTTCTACACATTAAGGTTTGTATTGCCCCTTTCTAATCCAAAATTTTACCAAAATTGTCTAAGTAGAAGCCACTTCATGTTAACTATCGGTAGTTTTCTTTTCGAGAATACATTTTAGACAGGTTGTATACTAATAATCCCATATTTACCACCGACAAACAGTTGATTTTCTAAAAACCTGTTTAAAAGTACTCTCACATATTCCTCTATTAGTACCTAATTACTCTAGTACTTTTGCGTTGTTGATGTATATAATAAAGGTGATAATTCTTTTGAAGGAACGCGAGAAGAGAACTGAACGATATAAGGTTTGAATTCGCCGTGGGTAAAGATTCTGCTGAAGGCATCGCAAGCGAATTAGTTGGAGCTGGGCTCGTCGATGGAAACGATATAGTGGCTATCACTTCTAATCTACAAAGATTGATAGAACAAAGGGCAACTACGAAAGTAGTCACTTTTCGATTAGTAAGTTTGTATTTAACCATTCGAGTGGTTATTATGTAAATCTTGTGTTTTTAGAATTCGCCTTTACACGCTAACGAAGTACCAGACGATCGAGCATTAGTGGGATACGCCCAAATTTCCATAATGGACTGAAATAGACTGTTTTTTTTGACCTATTGCATACAATTCTTTATTGTGGAATCTACTGTTTATTGTACATACTGTAGATAGGTTTTATATTATATATATTAGTTCGATTTTATGTCTCTAAAAAGGAGATGACCAAAAAACGAGTCGTATAAATTATTCTATAAAGAGGGAGACATCGATTAGCAAGTGGGAAGTCTAAAAAAAATCGAATCCGTAAAATAAAACAAAGTTTTATGATGTTAAACATTTCGGCAATTTTCTGCATTAAACAGCCTTTTTAACATTGTTCCTTTAGAGTCTAGCCAAAATGTTTGTTCAGTTATTTACGTATAAAACTAGTGCTAATTAAACGTAATTTTACGAAGATTTTATAGGTATTTTTATCCTGAATGCTCCGTCACATTAATAATTATAGTGATCGAGATAAGTATTTTAATTCATCATGAACCCATACCGACATTTTTAAACAACGAAAATTTTATTACGTACAAAACTACATGTGATTAGCTTTTAAGTAATTTACAAATGCCTGACGTGTACTTTCAAGTATTCTACAACATTCTTGTTTAATATAAATCAATTTATGTTGGGGTTCTGCAAATGATAATAAAGGATTGGTGTTGAATTCATCTACTTCATCTATTAAGTCTAGAAATAATTCTTCATTAAATGCTTCATTACTGTTTGCTTTTAGCCATAGTTGAAGAGCTGCGTATTTCGAAGGGCTGTAAGTCTTGAGGTAGTTGTCATAAATTGGTTTACATCTTGTGTTTTGTAATACATTGCTTATTCTATCACTGAACCTATCTATATCTTGAAGAGAAAATCTCACAGCTGCCATGAGTTACCTGAAGGAAACGAAAACAATTAGAATCCATGGGAATCGTTCTGTTTTACCATACAATTGCGTAAATTGGAAATCAATCTTAAATTTACCTGCATATTTTTATCACAAATCGTTATTATTTTTGGTATAAACATTAAGTACAGAATGGACGGTTGTTCTTTATTTATATTTCAACCAAACATTCTAAAGATTATAAAAATAGATAATTTACTCATCTTTGAACTTCGATTTTCAATCTTTCAAATTCTATCTCTTGTCATCTGTCACTGTCATTACATTAAGCTGGTCTTTGACAACAAGTGTAATTCAACACACGCTAAGAAGAAATGAAGAAAGAGTAAGGTTATGTTGACAATAACAACTGAGTAATTGCACATGTAGTGAATAAAATGGTTAAATTCATTAAAAAGGGCGACAAATTCAACAAAAAATTGCTAAATAAGTTAAAAAATAACGACAAATCGGGAGTGACAATTCACCACACAACGCAGCATTTAGCTATACATCCGTGTCAGTTAAAAAATATAAAACAATCAGTGAATGAATTACTAAATGCAAAATTGTCCAAATTTAGCAACAGGTGAGCACTTTACAATTTTAGTATACAGACAAGTGCAAATTTTTTTACCACATGGTCTATTCTATGAGTTGAACAAAGATAAGAACAAAAATAACAGTAAATAGGGTGAGAAAGTTGCAATCCCACTAGATATCAAACTCCTTGATTTTAAACTCTGTGACTCTGTAAATCCCACAATATCACTATCTTTTTCTTCATATGAGACTAATGAACTTGGGACAAATTTGCACTTATTTGTATACCTTATCCTGTACCTTCAAAAAAGGTTTAAAATATCCAATAATTTTCAGCTGCAATGGAATTCTATTAGGGCATCAAAACGTTAAATTACTCAAAGATGGAGGCTCAATTTTCAACGATTCTTGTTACATACACTTCGATGTAGAAGTGGACTTCTTTGTGTTTAAACCAGAGCTTGGAAAGGTGATGCAAGGGGTCGTAAAAAGGAAGAGTAAAGACCACTTGGGTGTGTTAGTTTACGAAGCTTTTAATGTTTCCATACCAATCAGGGACGAAAGGGTAGATATTAAGATAGGAGAAGAAGTTACGTTTCAGATATTGTTTATTAATATGTCTTCGTATTTGCCTTATATCAGAGGGAAATTGATGTGAGTATTTTTTTTAATTGGTGAGATGTAGTAAGATGGTTAATAATTTATAATTCGTTTTGTTTTAGTGAGGATTCTTCCGATTCGAAGGATGTAATTAAAGTAATTAAAGAGGAGGTTCAAGAAAGCGAGGGTGTTGCTGAATGTGGTAAAATAAAAAAGAAAAAGAAGACAAAAAGTATAGCTGCGAAAGTGAAAATAGAAACGTAACAAAAAAAATCTTTTCTTTTTTTCTGACAATTTAAAAACCTATGATGAGACTTTATAAACCTTGTAATAAGAAAAACTAAAGATAGAATTCAACATTATATTTATTTTTATCTTTGGTTTCAGTTCAAAACAAAAACATTGCAGCCTCCTAAAAACTATATACATGGTATTTTTTATTCAGTGAGTAACAATGAACAAATATGATGTTAAAACATTTTAACATCTAATCGAACATAAAAAAATTCAATATTGGATTGGTATTTAGTTTTATAATTCCATTATTTTCTAAGAAAACGTGCTGATAACATTCGATAAGGAAAAAATGAATTAAAATAGAACACTAATCGATAATGTTTTTAGCCTTTTATAGTTGTTTCTAATTTTTTTTTATTAGACTATCACTAAATACGAATTTGCAGTGTGATGAGTTGTGATAGAAGATTAAATGTAGGCTCAGCGTATAGAGAAAACTTTAAACTTTAATCTTTTTAAAAATTTGCCTAAAGCTTAGATTTATTGGAAAAAGGAAATTCGACAAGTTTTATCTTGCCTAACATGAATTTTTTTAATGTGAAATCATCTTTCATCACACGGTAAACTCAAAATCATTGATACTTACTCATGAAATTACAATTCTATTATTTTGTTTAGTGTTTACAATTTTCTTATATATTTCTCTAAGTTTTTATTGTTTTTTTTTGATTTTACACGTTTTACAAAATATAACACGTCTCCTATTTGAGGCAAAAATTTAGAATGTAAGTGTAACTCTGGCGAAAATACCAAAGTTATTTATTTTTCATATTTGAAAAATAGGATTTTTCTTGCATTTTTCTGAAATACATTTTTCATCAAATCTAAGACATTTCAAATCTGTCAACAATGCAAGCATAAATCATTATGTAAATATACAGAATGTTTGATTTTAAGAAGGAGAATGTCTCGTAATTTTCTGAAAAACTATTAGACAGGGAAATTTTGTATAAGTTGAATAGTAGGTAATAGTTACTAATGAATTTTCTAAATAAATTAGGCCTATAATAAAATTCTCGTTCTCAAATGTTCAACAAATAAATCGAGACAAAATCCGCTCAAAAAACTCAAAATTTTTGACATTTTGAATTCGAGAGTTTGATTTCCAGTGAGATATATTTTCAAACAAGCCTGAAGCTTTGTGTGCACAGATTACATATTATTTCCAGTGCCCATATTTATATTTTTATTTAATGGGAAAAAGAGATTTAAATTTTTTTTATTGCAAGTAAATTTGCTAAAATTTATTGACTGGAATTTACCCTATAAGGACTAGTTAAAACATACGTAAAATCTAAAAATTCGAGCATAATATCAACAAAACATTATTTTACAAAATAGTATTTTTAATCACATATATTTCAAGCAGTTGTGAGAAATAATTAAGATACCTCTCAAAACAGTAACCTATCACAAATCATAAGTCATTTTTTTAAATTTATATAACTGAAAAACAGAACAATATTCATCCATTCCACAAAGGACATTTTAAAAATAATTATTAAAAACTCTTACATATTAATAATAAATAACGTAGCGTATAACTCGAGTGGATAAAGTCACTTAATATATCAGGTATCAAATGAAAAAATAGACATATCCAGCGACTTTAAATTAATTCAATGCTTGATAGACACATATTAGATTAATTAATAATAATAATAAAAATCATGTTGTACTAATTAGGGTTTAGCTCAATTCTCTGCATTGCTTTTTAGACAGTCTTCAGTCGTTTTAACCCTCGATATGACTATGCACACCGGGCCTCTTACTATACGCAACAAATCAATGATTTCGCTGGTCGACATGTGCTCTATACTCTCGTCGTTCACCTGCAAAACCCTCATTCAAACACACCCTATAAAGAAATTTCCCCAATTTACCTTGATCAGCCGATCACCGGGCTTCAATCTGCCGTCCCTTGAGGCCACGCTATCCGGGTACACGGCGCTCACGTACGTCACCCCAGCCGCCCCTTGCAAACTGAAACCCAATCGGCTGTTCCAGCCCCTGTTCAACTCGATAGCCAGCACCTACAATCGATATTGTCTCTTATACCCATTCAAGTCACAGAATAGGTCAAATAATTCGTGAAACAAGTCAGTAATTAGTGACACAAGTCAGTATTTAGCGACACATGTCAATGATTAGAGACACAAGTCAGTAATGAGCAACACAAGTGAATAATTAGTGACACAAGTCAGTAATTAGTTATGATATGAAATTAACCAATCTGTTACCTCGTATTCTTCTTTCATGGGCATGGCATGAGACAGGTGGCGTTTGGTTTCGACCGCCGCTGCTGTGTTGTTCTTCCTTCTCTTCAAGGTACCATCGGCGGTACCATCAGCAGGAGGGGCGGTTGATTTGGCCGGTTGGATTTGGGTTGGAGGTTGGGCGGGCGCGTGATCGGTGCCGATTTGAGGATGGGCCGATTGGTAAGCGGGATGTTTGTGGTTGAAATGGCCGTTGGTCGTGGAAATGTGGGGCATACTGACGGGTTCCTGTATCTCGGAATCGGATGTCTTGACGTCTTCATTGCCTGCTACCAATCGATTCGGTAATTCAACTTGCATAAGAGTAAATATTGAAACAACATACACAAATTGTAGGTCAAATTAGGCGCGTCCAATACTTCCGCGTCGAGATTGTTCAGCTCGTAGGCGTTGTGAGCCAAGGAGAAATTGAACCTGGGCTTCCTGCAGGCGACAGGCGTCTGGTTCGGATTGTACAATTCCAACGAACTCGGCCTGTTGGGTTTATCGTCGCCCTCTTCCTCGGGCTCGTCGGTGAACAACGAGCTGTATATGTCATCGTCGAATGGCCTAGGACATATCTGGATCATACCTGCAATGCAAAGCGCAATGATTTCCCGTTAATCCAGCGATAAATGTGTACAGTACCCTCGTGGAACTGCTCCTGATAGTCGACGTAATCGTCGCTTTGCCCGGCAAGTTGGTAGTCCTGTTCGGGCTGGGGAGGCGCCGGCGGGGCCGGGGGGCGGCGATGGCGCCGCCGCAGCGAGGAAGTAGGCGACTGAGGCGGCTCGTAGGCGTCCGACGACGCCATTCCCACTAGCTTGCGACCGGCGAGGTCGTTGAGCATGTCCATAGCTTCTTGTCTGCAATGAGGTTAGTTAAAAGTTCTAAAAAAGTGCATAGAACATACCTTAAGTGGGCCTTTCGCGAAAAGGAATTCCTGGGGGTGGTTTCGGTGGGCGAGAGCGTCGCGACGGGCGTTTGCGCGGAATCCCTGTACAATCTCAACTTTACTATATCCGGGCACTGACGTAGAAATTGAACGGCTTGTTCGTGAGACATAGGGCATATTTCAACGTCATTTACCTACGCAAAAACAACAAAATTGTTTAGCTCTTTTATAAATAAGGTGCATAAGAACTCACGGCTATTATTTTATCACCAGCTCTGATCCTACCGTCGGTTAGAGCCGGTTCTCTAACCAACGCTCTCACGTAATGACCCAACGCGCTGTCATCTTCTTTGCGTAGCGTAAAACCAAGAGACCCTTGGATTTTTTTAAGCGTAATTTCAAATTCCTGCAATACACAAAACAACGTTTGCACCCCCTTAATTAATTAATCTATTCATGTCATCGTTATGTTATTATACATAGTAACGCAAATGTACAGCTTACCCCATGGTATTGATCGTCTTCGGGAGTGACGTAAGATGTGGCGGGCAAATTGAGGGTGTTCGGGGGTTCCCTTCTGGGAGGCGGTGGAGGTACTTCTGATATGGGACTCACGCAATTCAGGACGTCCGGAGGCGGGCGGCACACCTTCAGGTCGACTTGATTCGGGGCGGTGCGGAGGACTTCCAGTGCTTCCTAGTTACAAAATCAGGCTACTCACACGAAGGCTATACTAACGATTAAACTTACGTAATTGGTGAGACCTGTGAGGGCTACCCCGTTGGCTTCGAGCAGAAGATCGCCGACGTTGAGCAGCCCGCAGGCCGAGGCCGGTTGGTGGGGAAACAGCCTTTTGATCCTGATCAGGCCTGGCCACGATCCGGTGCTGTCGATGCCACCTGTCACGCTCAAACCCAATCCTCTCGAACCCTTCACCAGCTTCACCAAGAACGTGCTATCTGGATTTGAAAGGGTTTAAAATGAAAAGGGGATTTTAAGTGGCGTTAACATTCAATTTACCCGGAGTGATGAAAGGATAGCAAGCGTGAGGCTCTAAGTGATGAAGACATTGGAGCACCTCCTGCTCCAGACCGGCCAACGGGGGCGGGTACTCCTCCTCGGGGGACCGTTCCGACCCGTAGCCCTGATCGCAGATGGTTTGCGTGTCGGAGAACTTCCAGTGCAACGGGGCGCTGTCGCCCAGCGGCGGTATTCTCTCCTGCTAATGTACGAAAAATTGTATCTCACCAAGCAGAGTGTACAACAATCTTACGTCGTCTGAAGGATGCTTCCTGTGGTGGTTGTTGTTGCACGAGGCGCCGTTTTTGTCTCTGTCGTCCAGATAACTGGGCAGGCTGCTGCAGATCTTCCCGTCGGGATGTCTGCCGCCTTTGCCGGCGCTTCCGCTGCCGCCGCCGTTGCATATGCTGCCGCTCGACTGCGATCGCCGGCCCAGTCCCTTCGCCGAATGGCGGCTCACGTTCGCCCCCATATTCACGTCCTGCACAATTAGCTATAAGGCACATACGAGTGGTATAAAGATGAATTGAGTTTCTTACGTGTTCGGCATCTCTGACGGCGTCTTCTGGCGTCGTCGGCTTATGGGGGGCGGTGTGCGAGTAGGAGAGCCTTCTAACGAGGTTGAGAAGGTCGTCGGCGTTGTTGGCGCCGGTTTCGACGCCGCCTCCGGGTTGTTTGTCGCGCTTGGAGGCGGAATGCGCCCTAATCAAATGCCCTGCAACCCGAAAAAAAGTTTCCAACTCTCGGGATCAATCCTGAACACCTAATATGTAACTATAATAAAAACGTTCTTGAGGTAGCAGGATAAATTAGCTTTCCATATGTACGTGTAGGAATCTCTAAGTGATTATTTTTAATTGGTATCTTTGTTAATAAACAAACAGGAATTTTACGGTTCTTTTTTTAAATTGAAGGTAATCACATAATCTATTAGGTGGAACGATTATAGTTTACAAACTGTTCGTATTTTCCGTGCTACAAGGCGACGTTCTCTAATACTTACTGTAGTAACCCAGACAAACTGCACAGGGCATTACCTGCAACAAAATCGAGAGAAAATTAATGCGATTATAGACACGGAATAATGGTAGGTATATCTACTACTCTACCTACATCACAAATGACTCACATAACATATAAACACGAAACACGCAACTTTCCAATTGCAACCCCTGCACCTTCTCGGAAGCGCTCTTATCCCCGGAAAAAATATATACCAAATAAATAAAAATCAGCTAAAAAAAATCCACTGCTAGCAACATGGAAATGGCACGAAGGCGAGAGAGCACCGAAACAAAACAAGTACCGTAAAAACCGTACCGAATCCGAACGAGTTTGATTTACCAGCTAGCGATTCGACATTGATTTTTCAAACTGATATTCATAATATTTTCCCGAAATTAATTCCTCGATGGGCGTTATTTCGCTACGGCGAAAACATATCGATGTAGAACATATATATCGAATCAATCCATGTCGTAAGCGCGCGTACGCCCTGCTAAGTGCCCGCTGAAAGTGCTGAAACTGGTAGAAATCGTGCGATTAACGTGCCGTCGCCGGTCGGTCAATCGCCCATTGTTGCCGACCCTTCACTGGGGTTTTTCCTTGAATTTTCTACCATAGCGCTCTATTCGTAGAAAAAGTAAAATATGCGACTTGTAGTAAATTTAATATACATCATTTCACCTTCACCTTTAGTAGTACAATTTAATAAAGTTATGAATTAACCACAACCAATATGAAAATTTTCCTGTACTTTACTAAAGGGCTGTAATTAAAGGTCATTTGTCATTACTCAGCGAGAGCTTTTATTGGCTGGTGATAACATTGAGTGAAAATCGAGCCCTGTGATTGGCTACACTAATTGACATATCTACAACATTACAAAATTAACCTTACTTAAATGTCAAAAATCATAACCAAAACAAACAACTTTGGCCTTTTAAGCTTCATGACAATAAACCAATTTTTTTGGCAAAAAAAAACTAACAAAATTACAATCAGATACCGATGTTTTTGAGGCAGTATACATCTTAATATATTCTCAATTCAGCGCCTCTGTTTAAATTTAGAGTGACTCAAAAGTCTAAAGTCGCGTCTTTAACTCAGACTTACATTGTTGTTATGGAGTAACTAGCGACTCGAAACGCGACTTTAGAGTCACTCTAAAGTTAAACAGACGCGCTGAATACGGGCCAATATCTGTGTAATATAATGAATAAATCGTCAAAAGTGAGAGATTGGCGGCGGTGCGGCAACGTCGCGCGTTAACTGGACCGACCGACCGAGGAGAAGTAGGCGGCGGCCGGCGGCGCAGGCGCGTCGCTCCGTGTTCTCGCCGCCGTCGGTCGGCGGCGGCGGTGGCTCTATCGAAAAAACCAGGGCGGCGGGCGGTGTAGCAGGAGCGCGAGGCGGAGAGCGGCGGCGCAGGCACCGCCGACCCGTCATAACATTACGCGCTCGGGGATTTTTTATAGGAAGTCTATTATTCGAGATTTTTGCGGGATTTATGTAATGCTCGCTGACCCAAAAATCGCTGTTTATGAACCTTGGTATTTTAATTAACTTTAATTATCGAGAATTAGTTTTTTCTGACGTGGATAAAAGTGACTATGCTTTGATTTTGCTCTTGATATTGACGCAAACTGATAGATACTATTTTGCTCTTGATATACACAGTAACAAAAAAGAACCGGAAAATTGGAATAAAACACAAAATTCCTAATCTTCTTAGGCCCTTTTTGGTACGGCTTTTAGCTCCTTCTGCGAAGTTTCTTTGATGGCATTTATGGAGTCAAAAAGCGGGATTCACTAAGTGGAAATTTGAGCTTGGGAAACTTGGGTGAGTAAAGCGACTGGTCGATGGTACTTCACACGAATCAGTATATGCAGCGACCAGTTGACTTTAACGTTTTTGAAAAAACTCAGCTCTATCGGAACGAGCCGAGCCTCAATTCGCATCATGTTTGATTGGTTGAGCAAAATCAAGGCGGTTTAACGGGACATGTTTTAAAGTCAAGTGCTACTTCTCTAGTATTAGCATGATCAGTTTTGAACTCAATTTCCTTCATTTTCTCGCAGTTATCATTGGTTGAAGAAGTCGAAGACAACAAGGGCAAGTCTTTAGGGATCTCCCGACTGTCTTTAATAGCTTTATACCATTCGTAAATATGGGTTTTCATAATTTTTTTCCATTGCAAAATTCGCAAGAGCACTACTGACATGAACTGATTCAATCACCTGCTACAACCAAACCGATTGAGAAATTTTTTTCCATTTTTATGCATGCTAATTAAGAAAAATGTTACCTCATACAGAAACTTGTAATAGTTATAAATATTTAGTGCAGATAATTTAAATCAGAATTTCCGGATATTTTTTTGTCAGAAGTAGATAGTTTTAGCATATAAAAACAAAACTCACCTTTTCTCCTAGAAATCTGGACTTCCCCGGACGAAGTCGAAGAAGTGGAAGAAAACGAAGAACACCTGGTCCTATCGACAGTTCGATTTCTCCTCTTCCTACGCGTTTTTCCGGAATTTCCGGTACATTTTCCGGCGTCCGTTACATCGACGATTTCACAACGCCCGGTTTTCCGGCACTCGCGTATACCCGAATTTCCGTACCTTCGATCATTGTTATTTTCATCGCATTTAAGCAGCCTTTCGAAAGGAAAAACTTCGCTACGGGAGTAAAATAAGCCTGATAACGACGGATTTTTCGATGGGTACCTGGAAATTAAATTCAATAACCATTTTTGGATGCAAAAGACGGCTTACATACCGTTTTTTCCCGTGAAATTCCCTTCCTTCGGGAGTCGATTTGGATCGATCGATTGACGGTTTTTCACGTGAAAGAATAGCCGCACGATCGCTGTGCCTCCCGATGTGTTTTTCTTCGGAAAATCCCCTAAATCTCGCGTCTTTCCGATCCCTTTCAGAACTGACTGTGCGGTTACAAAGAGAACAAAACCTACCATTATTTCATTTTAAATATCTTTTATTATGGTTACTTTAAAAAGAGAACTGATTCAGTCGATAAATATCTTTCTAGGTTTGTTATTTTTTTTATACGCTTACCGGAAGTTCTGGCTGCAGCGTCTCGGACTTCTGCCAAGGATTCCAGGCCGTAGGAGCCGCCGCGACGTCGTCGACGCCGCCTGCTCCTGCGGGGGTCCGTCCTGAAACTCTCCTCAGGAATAATAAGAGTACCAGCGCTGCTGGTTCTCGTCGTGTATCGCTTCTTATGTAGGAATTCCTCTAACTAAAAACGGTAAATTTTAAATACAAGTAACTGATTTTGATGTTTAAATAATGTCAAGAAACTGACCTGAGGATTGCTGATCTCGTAATTGTCTTGGAGTTTTGAGGTTTCTAAAGGATTAGCAACTCTATTCTTTTTTTGTTTCCGAGTTTCTGGATTTTTTTCGAGGATTTTTGTGCGGGAATTCCTGCAACTGTCCGATTCTGACCGTCTCAAACTTTCACTACTGATGTTTATGTTACTTCTGGAAATTATATGATTTAATTGATTAGGTACATTACATTACAAGTTACAAAATAGTGCAATTTTTTTATTATATTATTCGTGCTTATTTCTTACAGTTGCGTGCTTATTCTAAATATGCCGTCTAAAAAAATTCTGCACCTCTAGGTTTCTTTAATTTGTCCAACATGGTTATCATTTTGAAGCGTTTTAAACGATCTTGGACAGTCTTAAATGATTCTTGAGCGTTCTCAATGGTTCTAGATAGTTTCCAATGGTTCTGGAACGCTCTAAATGGTTCAAGACAGTTCTAAATGATTCTGGAGCGTTCTAAATGGTTTTAAGCAGTTCTAAATGATTATGTTTCGTTCTAAATAGTTTTAGACAGTTCTAAATGATTCTGGAACATTCTAAATGGTTCTAGACAGTTCTAAATGCAGTATTAATTACTAGAATACTATAGATACTAGCTATTACTAGAATTTTTGTTCATTGACCAAAAATACATTCCTCTCAAATACTCCCACTATCTTAAATTCTTTGCACAAAACCTTGAAAACTACTGTTACTACAGCAGAAGATTTCTCACCTTGATCTACTCCTTCTCGAGCTGCCTGAATTAGCACCAGTTTGCTGCGAATTCCCTTGGTCGCTGCGCCATATCTTCTGTTTGTTGCCCGAAAAAGCATCTTCGGGGCTTTCTTTGGCTTCAATTAAAAGCTTCCCTCTGTAATCGTACAGCTGGATAACAGGCATGGCTATGGCAGGGGAGGATTTGGACGTGGTAAGCTCCCAGTTCCAGCTTTTGGGCTTGCGGAGCTGGAGTTTTATGGTCTCCGGAAGGCGAGCGGCGGTGGCGGCGGCCATTTTTCCCGCCTCCCTGTAACAGATTTTTTTTGAAGAAGTGCACGCGGCATATCGGCGGGTTTGAGACGCTCCGCAGGAATTGTTGTCTATTAATAGCAACGTTGTCAGGTCGGAGAACTGTGTTTTATGCAATAGAAACTAAAGTGCATGTTGTTGACCTAAAAGTTATGAATCAAATCCGGAACTAGAATCAAACTGGTAGGAACTTAAGTGCCCTTTATAAATAGATTATTTTTTTAACATATTAAATATCTCCAAGTTGTACACAAAACTTACCACTTTCGTTTTCGTATAGATTTTTATTATGCCAAAAGTATCAATCAACCTAGTAAACAACCTACTTCAACTTGAAAATGACCCATATATTAATCCATATTCTGGTTTAAACAATTACTTTCATGTCATTTTAATGCAAATCGAATAAATTATTATGCAATATATCTCTCGCTTGATCGCGATTAAATTTCGCGTTCCATTCGCACTAAATCCACGCACTGGACTGGATCTAACAAGTTTCAGGAATTTTTTTCAGCTTGCGTTACACTTGGCAAGCGATCAAGCTGCACCTGTGCGAGTCGGGAATATTTTTACGAAACGTTTCGGGCTATTTTCGTTTCGGTCTCGTGGGTCTAGTAAATATTATCGCGACAATTGCGAGGAATTTTTATTCACGAAAGGGTGGGGAACTGATGGACATGCTGGGGGGCAGCAGAACTACCAACGAGTAGGTTAAAAAAGATAGCAGTACTCCTAACGGGGAACTGTTATCTGGGAAAACACCTCGTTTAATAACCTAAGTTTAGGAGGAAAGTTCCCTTTGCAGGGCCTAAGGTATGGCTGTTGAAACAAAGGACCAAGTCACATTGGACTGTGGGGAATATATGGAGTCCCTGGAAACCCAGACATCCACTGAGAAGGACTGAGGCCTTCATCGAGGCTTCATGGATGCCTAAGCAGCAGGAATTGAACAATGGGCCCGCTGGAGGCTTCAGTGCCTGAACCTTTGCTTGAGTAGTCTCGGTAAAGGTTACTTATTTTAGTAGGGTGGGGAATGTAATGAAAAAACTGGTAAAATTTACGCGTTATATTTACAAAGTCCACATCACAAATCTGCATCTTCTGCATATTCCAGCAAGCTTGTTTTTAAGCTTTTCGAGGGTGTATAACTAGGCATAGACATAAACTTAACTACTAAGTAATCTCTTACAAACCAAGGGCTGATTTTAAACAAAGTATGGTATATTAAGTATCTAATATCCTCGTTTTTGTACACAACTTTGGGGGTTTCGTCTAACAAAGTTTCTTCGTAGATTTTATACATTTTTTCGTCTTGGATTTTGACGGGCATCGGGGGCGGCGTGATAAACGACAAGTAAATGTTGAATCTTTTGAAATAATCGCTGTAAAACGAGTGTTGCTCTTGCGTGAAATTATCGTGCATCTCCTGCACGTTTTGGAGTTGCCTGGCCATGATGTTGCTTTGTAAGCAAAAAGAACCAGGTATAAATGTGATCACATTTACGCCATATTTGGCCATTTCCACTCTCAAACCGTCACTAAAAGCAGCCAGAGCCGCCTTCGTGGCTCCATACACCGCCAAACTAGGCAGGGTTACCTGGGAACAGTGGCTGGTTATCGTTATAATTCTACCTGAAATAAAATAAATAAGTAACATTTATTACTGTATTATTTATTTATTACCTCCGTATTGTCTTAAAAGAGGACACATTGCGTTGGTAAATTTCAAAGTGCCTAAGAGATTCACATTTACTTGTTGCTGTATAAGATTCTCAGTTAACCATTCAAATTCTCCAAATACCATTACTCCAGCGTTGTTTACAATAGCATGAAGAGCTGGAAAATTGAATAAATTACTTTCAATACGAACAGTAGTATTTTCTACTTACTATATCCTTCATTCCTTCCTAAAAAGTGTTGCAAAGTCTTCAAGGCTGCATTTACGCTAACGCTATCGGTAATATCCAATTGTATTTGAATGATATTATTCCCGTAGCTTTTTCTGAGTTCTTTACATCCTTTGGAGTCGAGGCTTAAGAAACCTGCGATTACGGTGAAGCCCAAGTCTACCGAGTGCTGGGCCAAGGAGAATCCCAATCCGGAATCGCAACCGGTTATGCAAACCACCTTTTTCTTATTCGGTTTGATTTTTTTACTCTCCGGAGCGATGTAAATGAAACTCGCGGCAGTCGCTGCACAAACGGCGGCCGTCTTGAGTAGAGCGGACTTTTGAAAACCGAATTTTATGAGGCACATCAGCCCTACGGCTCCCGTACCCAAAGCTGCGTACATTTCGTTTAAAATTTCGAATGTAAATAGAAGGTATTTAGAAATTTGTGCCATTAGATTCGGGTAATGCTTCCGGATACGTATTATTTACCATTTTTCTAAGTACTAGTTGTTATTTAGTTAAAAATCGATAAAACCGAGTTACATTTTGACGTACATAACCTACAAATTAAATGTCAAAATTGGACATTGACGTTTAATCATCTGCGTAATTTTAGAATTGTGCCTAAGATGTTTGAGCTCTACAGCTCTTATAATCAACCTTATTTTCTTATGAAATTTCTCGTGTTTTCATAAAAAGCAAATACTATTTAACCATTAAAACATTTATTAATATTAATATTCAAGATAATCATATTTGTAAAACGGGGTTCAGAGAAAAATGATAGAAAGCTTAACTGAAATGTAACAAAGTGTGGTGCCTTCGACCACACTTGTGGCAGCCACCCGATGAGCAATCCTTGGTTTCGTGGTCGTTCCCGAGGCAATTACTGCACACCTGCACCCGCTTTATCTCCCTGAATCTCTGCCTCGGATCCAGCTCGAGGAATTCAGGGCAGCTGTAGACCAAGTGATCGTCCCCGCAAACGGGGCAAATGATCTCCGGCACGTCGATCCTTTCGTGCAGTCTCAGGTCCTCTAAGAGGCGCTCCCTATTTTGCAAAAAATCGATCAAATCGTCGATGGTCGGATCGGATTTCTTGTCTCTGATATTCTGCCACCGCCAGTCCCTGTGCGTCTCGCTATCCAGCCTCGAACACACTGCAAAAATAAAAATAGTATCCCAGTGGTCGACCGGATAACCGAGGATATTCAGGCAACTTCTGTTTTTACGGATTTCGTTGATTATATGACGCAAGCCTTCTGGAGACGGTTCCGGCATGTGGGGCAGATCGTGCAGTATAGCTTTCAAATGTATATTGGTGAGCAAACCTTTGTTGTCGTAACGCATTAACAACGAATTCCAAGCCTCCTCGTAATTTGTTGTGTACTCAACAGACCGTAAAGCCTCCCCTTCGAGGGACTTCAATAGGAAACAATACTTCTCGATCGGTGTGTAGGACGGCTCGTCGTGGATGCGTCTCGTGAATTCGTGCTTGAAAAACAACCATTCCTCCGGATTGCCGTCGAATTTGCTGAGATTTCTCGCTATCATTTCTCGCAATTCGAACGGAATTGTGCCGGCACAATTCGAGCAATTTCCATCGCCCATTTTAGGAACGTAATGTTACAAATCAAATAACTTGTTTCAATACAGTTTAAATGTTTAACTGTAACACGGGGTTCGTTGATTTAATTTATTTATGTTTATTATTACTGTAATAAAATAAAAAAAATTAACTAACTTAACTGTCATTTGTCAATGTCACGCCTTTTCTTCCATTACAGTATAAGGTCCTGTACTATTCAGTCTCTGTTCCACTAAAGTTTCAAGTGGTTTATTTCCTGCATATATAAAGACAGTTAACATTTAATTGGATTATTAAAAAATAAATAATAGTACAGTTAACATTTTACTTGAGTAGGGACTAGACTATAGTAAAGAAGAGATTATTTTTTTAGAAAAATTATTTCTATTTATTGCACACATATTCACAGTGAAAAAATACAAAAGTATAAAATCGTTGTCCTTACGTAAATGAGATAAATAAATTAGTTGCGTTCCTCGTTAAAATAAAATATATGTATGTAGAAGATATGCAGCATTTATACATATAAAAACAGCTTTACAAATCCTTCTCTCAAGTCCCTGTGAAGACTTCGTAACAAGATGTAATTGCTTATAGTCCCTTGTTGTATATGGCGCTACATTATACACCAAACGAGGGAGAAGATAAGGGAAATCCCCGGAGAAAATATTGATCCTCCAAGTACCGATGAGTATAACCTAAATGCTCTAATTCAAGTTCAAATCGATTCTTCGGATATATCAGACAACGGGCTCAAGGGATGCACTCTATTTCCCTTAAGAAAGTTATCAACTTTCACCTTAAATCATAACTCTGTGGTCTCTAATTTCCTAGCTGCAGGTACTGGTAACGTTTGGTACACATTCTGATGGCGATCTTGCGTTTCGGGCGTTTGATCAGTCGTAGGTAAGGAGTCTTCGTAGGAGATGACATTCTCATCTAATGAATCGTGTTCTGATTGACTAAAAAATATTGTAATCATTTATTGTAATAATAAAAGTTAGTTACTTGCCTTATATCGTCCACGTTTTTGAACCATTCGTTTTCGTAAGCTTTCAACCACATCGGATTGCTACCTTCTAAGCTGTGCTTGTTGGTATTGGGTACACGGCCACTGAGGAATCCCAATCCCCGGCTGTCCAAATCGGAGTCTGCGCATGCTGGAAATAATTAGTTAGAAAATAATTGGGTTTAGAAATAAGGAACTTACTGTAAGCTGTGGCAGTAGCAGCTTTCAATTTCCTTTGGTACGTCTGTCTCTGATTAACGCACAAAGCCAAGCACAACATCAGCAATAACACCAAAAAGAGGCAGGAAACCGATAACCAGAATGTGGTGTTTGCATTTTGGAGTTGAGATTTTAGAGCTAAAGTTCCGCCTAAAATTTCATTGTCATTTAAATACACAGACTATTTTTTTGGGAACTACCTGGTTGCGTATCTAACACGTTGAATTCTTTGAAAAGTTGGTCTAATTTCTCCGTATTCTGATCGATCAGTTTCAGCACTTCGTCGACCTCCAAGATGGAATTGTCAGCTCTGTTGACTAGATGCAGGTAGAGATCAGTTCTGGTTTTGTCTATGCTACCGTCGTGATTGGCGTGAACGCGGAATTCGTCGACGTTTACTATCGCTCCAGTTACATTTCCCAGTACCCTGAATACACGATTTTATTTTTAACATTTATTTTTAGTTACGTTTCACTTACTCTCTGAAAATTTCTATTCGATTTCTTATTTCCTGAGGATGTTGTCGAAGCACGAAACGTACTCTTTGGTCTTCTCTTAGCAGGTATATGAAGACTCTTGCTGTGTCCATTAGACCGCCAGTATCATTTACCATTACCTACAAGAAGAATAAATAGCAAAGAAGTGATGATGATTGTGAAATACTTACCATAAAATCGAAATATCCTTTCATTCCTCGTTGTGGATCGAAATTCAATTGAACCGCTCCAGTTTCTCTTTCAACCAAAAACGGCGTCCTTTCCAAATTGTCCAGTCCTTCTGTGAGAGTCATTTGCGTTTTTCCAATCAGGTAATAATTCATTACAGCGTTTCGACCTTCGTCTGCATCCTCAGCTTGTACTAAATCACACGAAATATAAGCAAAATTATTATAGAACTATTCGCACGTTTACCTTGCATGAATTTCGTGCCAAAACTGGTGGCGGTGCTTACGCCTCCGGTAAACACTCTTCGTTGGAATTTAGGCGGGTTATCGTTGACATCCAAAACTTTCACCACGACTTTGAGTTGGGTGTCATCGTCAGAGTCGAAGAAGCTTTGGCTTTTCGGACTGCGATTGCAATCCTCTGAAGCTTTGACCAACAGAAGGTGGGTGTCTTGTTTCTCGCGATCCAAAGGAGTCGTTGTCTTGAAAAAAAAATAATTGGAACCTTGGGACACACCAAAATGCAGATAGACTTAAATATACCATTAGAGTATGATCAATGGAATTGATGTAGAATAAATTATTCTCGTTTCCTCCAATGATGTAGTAGCAAACTGGGCCTGTCGGACCATCGTATTCGAACTCATCTCTATCTATTGTGTCCGGTAATTTCTTGATTTCTTTTTTCGCGGAAGCGTTTTCTAAAAAAAGTTGTACAATAAGTAACATTGCGAGATACTTGAAATAGTACCTGTAAAGTTCACGTAAAATTCGTCCACCATAAATTGCGGTTGGTAACTATTCATGTCGCTCACGTAGACAGTTAAATCCAGTTCTGAGCTAAGAGACGTGGGTATCCCCAAATCGTAAGCCTCTATTCGTATCTGAAACATTATTTTAGAATCTTACGTTGTACGAGCGGATTTGGGCTTACGTCGTAAATTTTCTGCTTTTTTCTATCCAGAGGTAAGCGAAGTTCCAATATGCCTGAAATCGGTTGCAATTCGAAGAACTTCCAATGACCAGCAGGATCCGCTTTCAATCTGTACCTTACTGCTCCATTGGAGCTTACGTCTTCATCACTAGCTATGATTTGAATTAGAGCACTACCTACAGTTGCATTCTGAAAACAACACAAAGAGAATTAAGAGGAATTTAAGAGGAATTAATTAGTTCTTTTACCTCGGGTACTTTGAGTGTGGAGTTAGGCGGTGGGCTAATAAAAACCGGTGGATGATCGTTGTAATCAGACACGCAAATCATTACTTCTTCTTCAGCTAGAAGACTAGGCGTTCCTAAATCCTGAGCCCTCATGACTAGAGTGTAATTTCCATGCCTTCCTCGTAAGGAACTGGTAGTTCTGATGTGTACGGACCATTCGTTTACAGGCTGCAGTTCGAACAAGTCTTCATTATTGCCATCTGCTATGTCGATTATTACCTATAATATTTCGAAGGGAATACTAAAAAATCTATAAGATAATGTTTGTACTAACTTGTCCGTTTGAGGTATCTGGATCATCTGCATCTGAAGCATGAATGGTTGTTACAGGTTGTCCTGGTTCGTGAAATTCTGTTATATTTATACAGTACGGTGGTACGTGTAATTCCGGTGTATTGTCGTTGACATCTTTGATAGTGATGCTAATACAAAAAAAATGTAATTAATTAATTTTTGTATGTTCCAGTGGATACTTACTTGATATGCTTGAAAGCATTTCGACTCTCCCCGTTGTTGAAGCCGTACTGGTAATTATCCCAGCCTTCTATAATTAGCAAAAAATTCGCTTTTTCTTCTCTGTCCAGTTTATCCGCTATTTTTAATATTCCTGTGTTACCATCAAGAGTGAATTTGCCTTGAGAAGAAAGTCTAGAAATTCAATTGATGTTAGATAAGTTTCAACTGTTGCTCAATAGATTATTACCTATCCAATAAATAGGTGATTTTTCCATATTCTCCTGAATCCGCATCTACGGCGTTTACTTTGGCGATTTCCGTACCCACGTGAATATCTTCCGGTATTACTAGAGCACTTGGGTCCGGTAAAAAAGTCGGATTGTTGTCGTTCTCGTCCAAGATTTGGACGAAAATTTCAGTTCGGCTAGACCGCGGTGGATATCCATTATCGACAGCTTTTACCTATTTTCACGCAATTATAAAAAATATTTTACTTTCACTAATGACACCTATAACTTACAGTGAGATTTATCCATTTGTGCAACTCATGGTCGATTTTATTAGCGACTATAAGGTCGCCATCATCGGGATTTAGGTACAGCAAATTTGTTAATTCAATCGGACCTTCTAAATAATAAGTAATCGTTTTATTTTTATCCAAATCATCGGCTGTTATGCTTCCTATAGTCACGCCATGCTTACTATTCTCGGTAACACTAAATTTGTAAAAGGCTTTTCGAAATTTCGGGCTATTATCATTCACATCTTCAATGTTAATCGAGATTGTTCCTGTACATTCAAGGGATTATTTAGTAGTTACTTAATTTTGATTTTTTATTATTACCAAAGGTTTTTTGAGGGCCAGTTTCCGAGTTGATATCTTCGACAGTAACGCCCAGTTGGAAATTTTCAACCAATTCTCTGTCTAATAACTTAGCTATGGATAATGTTCCAGAAAGGGGTTCCAAGTGAAAGGAGCCAGAACAGTCGTATTCTTGCTGTTTCAATAAAATTCCCCTTTCGTTTCTAGCTTCACAAGCCGAATCGTCGATTTTATATACCAATTTTGCTGTTAAATCCGGATCCCGAGCCGTTAAGTTAGCAATTATTCTACCAACCTATAACATACTCAACGTAATTATTGTACTATTATTAGAAGAATACTTACCGGAGAATTCTCAAATATACTGACAGGATTCAACTCATTGAACACCGGAAATTTATTATTAACATCGATTATGTTAATATTAACTTCAACAGAAGCTTGCAGCTGATTATCTCCAGCAGCGCCGTCTATTGCCAGTACTTTAAGAGCGTAATGCATCTTCCTCGGTTGAATTAGATCCGGGTCTAATGAGGCACCTCTTGCAACTCTAATAACACCAGTCTCGGAGTCTATAGTGAATTTATCTCCCGCTCCGTTTTGGATACGATAGACTATTTGGTTGTTCGGCGAAGAACCATCGCCGTCTTCAGCTATCACCTAAATTTAGTGCAAAAATTTAGCATTCAAATTGTTTGAATAGCATTATAAGAACCTTGAGTATGGACGTTCCACTGGGCAAATTCTCTGCAATAGATTGGTTGTAGAAATCGAACTCGAACATCGGGGGATTGTCGTTTACGTCTTCCACGTAGATGAGTAAAGGAGCGTCGTTGAAAAGACTGGGGGTTCCCCAATCTCTGGCCCTGATGGTTAGAAGCACGGTGCTGGTGCTGCCGGCTGTTAAATCCAGAAGGCTTTCGAAATCTATTGGGTATTTTACTTTGAGTGATCCTGTTAAAGGGTCCATAGTGAAGTTCGCTGACAGGTCACCTACCAGTTCGTATTCGATTTCGCTATTTTTTGTACCTGTTACATTCGAAATTAGTAGATTAGTTGATAATATTTAGCGAATACTTACCGTTTAGGTCGGCGTCTCTGGCTTCGATTTTCAATGGTTGTTCGAACTCCATTTTGTTTTCCAACAGTCTAACTTCGTATTTGGATTGAGTGAAAGTTGGTGCATTGTCGTTGACGTCTTGTATGTTTATAACTAATTGAACAGAGTTTCGGTTTCCGAAGCCTAAATCATCCCTTGCTTCTACAGTTAGGAAATGTCTGGATATTTGCTCTCTATCCCAGTTCGGTCCTCCTGCTATCTTTACTGTTATAATACCGGAAGTGGGGTGTAGTGTAAGCCTTAAGGAAGATTTAAGTTAATTGATTGTTGAATAATTTTTGATGGCAACTTACATGTAATCAATACTACCAGCCAAGTTCATGTATCTAATTCCTCTGGTGCCGTATTTACCGGAATCATCATCGAATGCTTGAATCCACGCCACTGTAGTGCCCACGTCGCAATTCTCCTGCACAGCCACTTCGTAGATGCTTTTGGAAAACTCCGGAAAATTGTCGTTTCGATCCAAGACGCTGACGGTCACCGAAGCCTCGCTGAACTTCGGCTGTTGCTTCACTATCTCTTTGGCAACGATAGTGAGATTGAATTTTTTGGTTCTTTCGTAATCAATGCTGGAGCTGTTCTTTACTCTGATCATGAAAGTGGCCTCGTTTACCGCTTTGCTGGGCGTTATATCGAATGAGTCTCCTCCGCCTTTGATGTACAGATGGAACGTTCCGTTTATTCCCTAACAAAAGTGATTATTATAAGTAGATACCAATAGTATTGAGTAGTAGTATATTTACTTGATCGTAATCGAACACTTCTGGTAAAGCGTTATTTAGAAACACCACTGGTGTGTTTATGGGCGAGTTTTCTAAAATCTCGCATTCGTAATGGTTGTGTTTGAACGTCGGTATCTCATCATTCACATCGGTAACCACAACGGTGACTTCTGTAGTGGTTGTGGGAGCGGGAATGATCTTACTGTTTACTTCTTTAGCCGTGATTTGGAGTATATAGCTACCGGATCCGGTGGTGAGAGACTCTCTATCGACAGCGCCCGTGGTGAACACCACGCCGGTATCCCTTTCGATGGAGAATACATCTGTTATTCGACTCAAACCGTTGGAAGTGATTGAATATTCAATGGGATTGTTGATGCCTCGATCTCCATCGACGGCGACTACTCTTAGAACCGATGAACCGATCGGGGAGTTTTCTTCGATTTTGGCAAACGGGGACATTCGAACGAATTCCGGTGGTTGGTCTTCTACATCCGCGACTTTTATCAACAAAGCAGCTGTGCCCGTGTTGACTCTACCTTCTTTCGCTCGGTCTATGGCCAATATCTTCACTTGGTGAACCGTTTGCTTCTCGTAATCCAAAGATCCTAAACAGAAGTATTATATCCACAAATTATTTCACCTACAAATACACCTTACCTCTTAACCTAAGCACAGCTTTTTCTCCTACTGTATTTACGCTAAAGAGATACTCATCTTCATCATCTACATTTTGCAAGGAGTAAATGACCTGTCCGTACGCTCCTTCATCTGCATCCGTAGCTTCTAGGGTAGTTATAGTACCCGGTTTCAAATCTTCCGGTACGGTTATACTCGGAGGGTAACTTTTAAAAGTAGGCACATTATCATTGATATCTTCCACCAGTATCAGGAGACCTTGGGTGATGTAATTCCCGTAACCCAGGTGGCCGTCTGTTAGCGTTAAAACCAGGGAATATTCATCTTGAGCCTAAGAGAGATCCAGTAAATGGTAGGTGTTATTTGAATCGTATTGTAATCGCCTACCTCTCTGTCGAGTTCTCTGTTCAAATAAATATTCGCTTCCGATGGGGAAGTACTTTCGATACGAATGATGTCGCTTCCCGGAAATCGACTCACTCCGAATTTCAAAAAGTCCCCATCATCGTCGTATCCACTTAATTGGAATATTAATGAACCTAGAAATATAGGAAGAAGATAGAATAGTCCATCTTCTCATGTAAATATAGAAATGTTCTTACCCACTGGTGTTCCTTCGCCCTCTTTCAGTCTCAAAATAAATTCTGTTTGACCGTCGGTGATAAATCTCGGGGGTCGATTGCATTTCACGACGGTAGAATATAAGGAAAATAACAAAACGAACACTAAAATGTTAGGCGATCGGTCGATTTTAAATTTTATCTTCACGAAATGTCCGCTAAATGTCCTTAAGAAGTTTTTCAACAACGTTTTCAGCATCCTTTTAATGGATTTTGGCGAGTGAATTTATAGTCCTACGTATGGGCATGATGGTATTATTTGCTTTAATCTGGAAAAATGGTATAATTTAATACACCTACTTTACGATCGTTAATGACAGGTAAGTTTGTATAGAAAATGAAATCTTTTTACATTGAATACCAGTTTCACTTAATGCCTAGGTATAAAGAAGGTACTTAATTTATTATACAATTCAGATCGCTAGAACTTTCCCATTGACTCTATTATCTAGAGATTTGATTAATAAGTGCAATATTATAATGTTTTATTTTTTGAGATAATTCGAAAGCACATAGACAATTACCGAGAGATCGTTCATTTTTATGGCAAAAAAATCATACGCTTCCAGAATTTTTAATAACCGAAATTCGCGATGGAAAATTTGAATAAACAATGTTTATATAGCGGAAATTCGCGATTAAAACGTGTTCGTATAGATAAATACAAACAATAGGTAGGCAAACACACACGAAATTTCGTTCATTGTAATGTATAAGAGCAATTCCGTGCGCAAGGTGTATTCCGGAATACGAAAAACGGAATGGTCAACGTCCGACTGCGCGTAATACGTTTCGTTGCACTCGACGAATTTTTGCAGCGACCATGACAATCTCTGTGGAGTAGTTATTTCGTGTAATTTCGCATATACGTACTCGCATTTATATCTTTTTCATTGCTATTGTTTACTACTACTCTCTACCTTGTGTCGTGCTAATGAAACACATACAAAATTTATCTTAAAACTTTGCAAAGAAACTCATCCATTCATGCTGATGTTTCTTGTAATAACACTTTATTAAATGTTGTAAAATGCTTATATGTAGGTGTATCAGAAACTTGTTGATGCGTTTATAATTTTACTCAAAAAAAATAAAGTACCTGGAGGTTGATAATCATATTTATTCCAATTTTCGGGGCTCTAATTATCTTATAATCGCGCTTTCTTCGTGCACACGTTTGAATTTAATTGCGAGGTGATATCGATATGTCATACGATTTCCGTTAGAAAGTCTAATGCAACAATTTCGCGATGATTATTACCCATTAAATATTCATAGAATAAATGGAAATTACAAGATGTTGTTGTTTGCTTTATCGCTAATTATTATTAGTTTCACTGTGGATGATTTGTTTAGATTCGCTCCAGATTCAAGTAGGTGCTCTCGTTGATTAATTTGATTTCGTCGTGTAAAAATTTATATAGGAAGTTTTTTGTGCAGCAAAAACCAATAACTTTCACGGTAATTAAACTACTAATATGAATGTTGGGTTTTCTCTTGAAAAATTTACAGGAAGAGGATGAGTTCAATTAATAATTAAATTAATTCAAAGAATAGCGCATCAGAAAAGTAGTATTTTAGTTCCACAAGGAATCTAACTCTACTTTCTTTTACTTATACTCGTAGGTACAATAAAATATGTGTTTTGTTTACAATTTTATATTTTGTAAACTTGAAGCATTTTTCTTCATCTCATTTGGCACAAATCCGGAAACGCAAAATGTTTGTCTGTAAATTATTAGTTAATTCTTCTTAATTTTAATGTTTCCCATGATGCAATAAATATTATTTAATTAATTAACAACATTTTCGGATAAGACAACACACGCTAGTTTGTATTCGTTCTAATTAAAATTCAGCGCCTTTTTATACTACATATCTGATTAAAATAATAGAAGACACGCACTGAATATTTTAATACCCGCCGGGTATTTTTTTAAAGAAAGTAAACGAGTTAATTTCTGTCAACAATACAGAAGAATTTTCTGATTATCCAATCGAAATGCGCGTATATGTTTTCATCTGCAGCCACCGTAAACTACTCCGAACCATATCGATTCAATTTACCTCGACTGGGAAAGTTCAAAAATTAACTATTCCGCCTTATGGGCAAGTAGGCCATAAATATTTAATTAATAACAATCGGCAGTGTGGCATCGGAAATTGATTATCCGCTCTTAATAACAAGTATTCCCGTTGCAACATGAATTTACAACAAGATATAATTTCGTTGTTGTAGCGAGTAAAGTTTCAGTTCGGTTACGTAACTAAAGTGCAGCAATTTTCGCGCAGCGAGGAAACTGAAATGTATTTAAACGTTTTTCTGGTTGACCTACAGACTATAACAAAACCGGTGTCAGTCATCTAAACGCAAAGTATGAACCTAACTGACTTCAAACCGGATCGCATGTCGGCCAATTTGTAATTACATGCGAAACATTACCGACTTAGCGCAGGGCTTGATATTTTGGCAGGTTAAAAACTAAAAGCCTTCGGCTGGAAAATCTAGTTAGGCCTGCCGGAAATTTCGCTTTTGCCCGGAGAAAACGCAATCGACTACACGTTACTGCTATTCCCATTTTTACACCTTCAAGGCTTATGAAATTGTAGTTGAAAAAAAAAATCCTATCCCTAAGAAGACGAGAAACGATGCGTCCTTTTTCAACAATCTTCTAGTAAACAAAAAGTTAATTTTTTTTGAAATTTTCTTCGATCCGACGCCAATGAGATGACGAACTTCCCGTCCGAATCTAGCCCAATGTCAATGGCTCCATTTCGATGAGCAAGCTGGAATTTTTAGTTATCGTTATTGTTGGAAAGGAAGTGCCTTCCATGGGCTGTGAACGTTAATAATAACATTTTTACGTGCGGGGAGGCGTTTCCTCGGACCTTCCGAATTTAGTGATGAACTGGGGAGTTTAAAAAATTTGTTTCTCACGCGTGATTTGCATATGTGCAATAGTTTTGTTGCAATTCTTATCAATTAGGGGTATCTGTATTGGTCAATTTCAGCGAATTTTGTAAGATTATTGCCGATTTTAACGCGGATAAATCTAACTGTAAATGCCTAATTTTGTTTTGTTCGAGTTTATGGTGTGATTTTGATTCAGTTAAATTATAAAAATTTGATACGAAGTAAATCGATTATGTTGAACAAAGTAATTACACTTCAAAAATTTTTTAATTAACTTTGTGTCATTCCCATTGCGATTTCGTGCTTGCAACTAAACGGTTCTATTAAATTTTTCATTTGAATTTCTGTTCAAATACGACCTATTTGTCGTAAGAGCAATCAAGAAACTTTTTTAATTCAATAGTAAAGTCGAATACTCTTTTACTACATTTTTAATTACGATTTTATACACGAAAGGTTCTTCTTTCATGTAAACTACAATTACACAAAAGCTGAAATAGGTATAGGAAATGTAAATTAACTAATGAATCCCAAAGATGTTATGTCACTTTCTCCGGCTTTGATTGTGGTCGTGAACGTTACTTTTTTCACCGAACTTTTACTTTTTGTAATTTTTCGTAGACGTAACCACTGCAAATAAATGTTAGTGGTTACATTTGTACCCAGTAATTACTGTAATTGCGATTTTTCCGAGTCATTTCATGATTCGCTACCTCCCATAAAATTGATCATTTTCTCAATTAGACAATAAATTGGATCTCTAATGTATGATACTGCTTCCGAGGTAATAAAATGTAAATAAAATTAAATGTAGATGGTTGAAGTGATTCCTCACCTCATTGTTATTACACTTTTTAATTTATGCATACCTACATAAATGTTATAATTTGTTGTTCCACTTTTATGAAATTAAATAATATGTAATAACACTTCAGTGTTGTTAAATTCTTAAAAATAATTAGCATCAACTTAATTTCATTGGTAGTAATAAAGTCGAATTAAAGTATCACAAATGACCATTCTCGTTCTTAATTCTATTATTCGTGCGTTATAATAAGCTCGGTTTTTTTAATTTCTAACGGATTTAAAAGCATATATTAATCAAGTGTTGTTCGGTTCGTTAAGTAGGTGTTTCAAATTGTTTAATTTCCATAGAAGTTACATGAGATAATCTGGGGTACTCTACCGTTTTGCGCATATTTTTCTGAACGGTCGAGAACCGCCGTTGCCTTAATATACATACGAAAAATATTTAGTAAAGTCAATTTACATTTGGCAGGTCAGGTGCAGCTGAAGAAATAAAATGCAAAAGCTCTATAAAACCACTATAAAATGATTTTATAGAGGTTCTGCTGAAATAATATCTAATTTTCAGCTGAATGACCCTGTTTACAAAGGCCCAACATGTAATATAAAGAGCCCATTGGACCGTCAAGAAGGGGAGATAAAAATTACAAAAGAATTAGATACATTTTCTCTGTGGTATAATTTACTTTTACTACTATAATAAGTGTGTTGAAAAATAGCGAAACAAATCTATAAACTAAATAGAATTACAAATAAAAGTGTTAAGAGCATACTTAATTCGTTTCAATTAAATATCATTACACGGCTAGATGTGAAAATATCATAGTTATGGAAGTGTATGATTTCCATTAAGAGCAATTTAAATACGATCTACTTCTCTGATAAACCGTATTATTTATTGGAAACATTTAACTGTACATCTGGCGAATGCAAATCGACGATTTTCCCGCAATCATCACGATCTCACTTTCTCGCAAAAAAACCAATCGATACCTAATCAATATTTACATATTTGCGAGAGTTTCTGATACACAATCGATCAATAATAAAAGCAGTTGATTGACGATCTCGTAATTATAGTTTATCCGGTTTTATTGAAAAAATATTGTTGTAGGCATTCCAGATGGTGCTCGTTAGTGTTATTTTTATGAATTATAATATTGTGAGGAATAAATTAGTATAGAGTTAGAAGTGTGAGAGTCTCATATGTATTATTATTTATCGCTGCTACTTAATGGATTTTGTAGGTCTAATTTTTTAAGAGAGAAACCAGTAAGAATACTATGTACCTGTGATTTTAGGAAATTTTTGTGATGTTTTGCAGGGAATTTTGGTGTTAATAATCTTTTTGATGGCTATATTAGTGTGTAAATATATTGTTATGTTGTCCATTAATTTTGAATATATTTTTCTCTAAATTAATAATATTAAATATCCTTTTCCTGTGAGAAAATACTCCCTGGATACTTTATGAATAAAAATCATTTCCTATAAATTGTACATACCAAACCAAAAACGTCCAATACACTAAATACACCGTCACCAAACTCAACGAAACTATGCACAATTTTTAATTTCAAAGTACCCCAAAAAACACAAAAATAAATCAAATTCAAACTCAAATTGTCCAATTTTTTCACACAATTTAATAAACTTAGCAAATAAGCTAAGCGAATTTTCGAAACGACGTCGGCGTCGGCGTCTGAGAGCGAAACTCGCGCCGTACTCGTCGAGAACTAGGTGATATTTTACACCGGCGATGATTCCACCGGAGTGTGATGCGTTCCGGTTTTCCACGTTCTCTTTTCCCGCGACCAGACCGACTCCGGAGGGGGAAAAGGGAAGCCTTTGGAGCGTATCGGAACCGGAGGGTGTCCCTGCATAATGTACCTAAAAGGGTACCTAAAATGTACTTAAAAAGGGTCATAGCGTTCCTTGTTGTATACCATAAGGTACCTACTAAATATGAATTAATACACGCTGTATATGTATTTTTTTAATAATTGTGGGCTTAATTTGCTTGATTAATTGGTTAATGAGACTAAGAAAAATTTGTATTTTGCAACAAAATAAGTACTTCATTATTCATTCATTTATTAAATCCTCAACTAATCACTTAATCTGTAGGTGGAGGAGACAAGTGTATACAAAATATTCTAACATACTGTAAGACAATACGGAGCTTTTTAGAAATTATGCAAGAGAGGGCTTCATTACTTTAACAATTCTAACATCTTTGCAGGTATCTAACAAGCAATAGCATTTAATGTTGGGTCACAGATGCCGCTGAGGAAGCGATGTTGTTTTATACTGATTGTTAATTACATTAAATAATTATTAAAATGATAAGCAAATAAGAAGTATGATCAAACGTTATCCTGTATATTGAATCCTGGTAAATCCTGGAGAATTTTTTATGATTAAGCGGATTATATTTACACAAAGATTAATAATTTTCCATTAGGAATAACCTACTGAATTATGATTATTATTTACAATTAATATTAAATCAAAAAATCCAATTAGAATATGGATTAGTGCAGATTATTATTGCATAATATTTATCAATTATTCATTTTCTCTCACTGTACGTTTCGAATTAATTAAAAAATCCTATCCGAAATTATGATATTTTTGACCTTTGGGGAATGGTTTGTTAACCTTTGTAGATGATAGCGTTATCAATCCAACAATTGATCGATACCGGCATTTTTATCGCTTTAGTTCAGTGGAAGACTTGGGCAAAGAAGTTATCCTAAGTAGAATCCTAAAAATACGAATGCCAAGAATTAATTAGAAAATCGCTTCAAAACGAAATAAATTTATTGTTTAAGGGTGAGTTAAATGCACCTACAACTGCAAGTTTCCATTTACTATCCAAAATTTTACATAACTTATTAATTTATAAATAACTTTCAGGTGACAATGAAGAAATTTTGTTATTTACTAATATGTTTCGTCCACATATTCCGATCGGTAACTTCGAATGTGTCCGGTAAGATTAAATGCAATTAAAATCCACCTTAAAACTTATCCATTTAAACATTTAGATGAAGAGTACAGTCAAATGCCCAATGTATTCGAAGTCGACAATTACGATACGTGCATGTTAATGAAGGAAAGAGCTTTCTTCTGCGAAATCGTTTACCAACTGACTCCTATCAATCCAGAATCGCCTCCCAAAGTATGGAAAACCATACAAGTAAGACTTGTACCGCCCATAAGAAAAATACTTAAACATTTAATACCATCTGATTTCCGCAGGAATCCAGCGCTTCGAATCTTCATTACAGACACGACAAGCTCCGCCGTTTCATCTGTGTACCAAAAACCTGTCCCAACGTGAAAACTTACAACAAAACCCATCCAGATCTCCAGAAAGAACTTACCCAATGCTACAATGATCGTTACAAACACGAAGGTTTGAAAGGCTCCATCGAAGTTGTAGATTGCAGGACATCTCAACCCATTTATCAAACGGATACAATCGATTGGATTGCTGCGTAAGAATATTATAAATTATAAATAACGCAATTAACTATATTCGTTTGTAGAACTGCGTTTTTATCGTACATTGCTCTAGTACTGGCTTTCAGTGCAATTGACTACTCGAAGAGCTACGATGAGGAAAATTACAAGTCTTTCAAAGACAGTAGCGGTGAGTTGAATCGTTATAAGCTCATAAATAAAGGGAAAATAAGTGAATTGAATTTCAGTGGGGAAATTTGTGGTTGCGTTTTCTCTACCGAGCAACTGGAAGAAGCTGAAGAGCGTTCCATCGGGGTACGATTTCGACCGGTTGAAACCCGTCCAAGGTCTGAGAGTCTACATGTCCATAATGGTAGTTGCGGTCCATGCAGCAGTAGCTCAAGTCGGCGTGCCCATTATCAACACTAAATTTATAGAAGACGTAAGTCTATTAACTATGAGAGTAAATTTGAATAAAAGAGAGGTTTTGCAGATGAACGATTCGCCGGACTTCATAAGCAATTTCCCGAAACGAGCCGTGTTCATGCTATCGTTCCATTTTATGATGTCCTCTTGGATGCTGATGATGTCTTTACTATCGAAACTGGACAGGAACGAACCGGTCGATTTGAAATTCGTGATTAAATCAATCGTAAAAAGATACGTAAGGTAACTCTTTAGTGCCACTCGAACGATATATGAGGATTAATTCCGTTATTGTAGGTTCATTTTAACGATAGTTGTAGTTATTGGATTTTATGCGACTTGGTTCAGACATATTCCCTACGGACCCTTTTTCACCGGGCTGTGCAGCGAAAGCGAAAGGTGCAGGAAGAATTGGTGGACGAATTTTCTGTTCATCCAGAACCACTATGATAGATATTACATGGTAATAATCTCCTAAACAATTTTGGTATATTTTCTAATTTTTAATATTCTAGTGTCACATTATTACATGGTATTTGGCGGTGGATATGCAGTATTACATAATTGGTTTGTTTTTATTGATGGTGGTGTTTAAGAAGAAAGTCAGCATACCAGTTACTGTTTGTTCTTTATTGGTGATCAATTTTATATTCGCTTTTTGGGATCACTACAGGCACGGATATTCTTCGCTTTTAAGTGGACAACCAGAGTAAGTAGGTATTCAATTATAAATTTTATTAAATATTGTATTAGGTATAAATAAGCGTTACTAAGGACATTATTTTTAGAGAAATATACAAAGTGTTGTTTAACACGAAACCTCAATGGCACGATTATTTCGCCAGTTACCACGGCAACGCCGCAGGATACATAGCAGGAATCGGATTCGGTTATATATTCCACAAAATCAGAAATCACAGGATATTCAATAATTTCGTAAGTCGCACACCAGCACAGGTGAACGATGTAGCGTTCAATAAAAGTAATTTCAGTGGAAGAAAATGACCTGGGCATTTTCATCGGCGATTTTCTTGGCATCGACGCTATTTATACCGCAGATAATCGACGTGGACGCCGCCCCGGAGTACTCGGCCCTTTGGGTGGCCACGACGCGACCGCTTTTTTCAATCGGAATGGGAATTTATATTCTAGGACTGTCCGAAGGATTAGGAGGTGGGAAATTAATTTTCAGAAGCGACTGTGTTTGCAGCGCATTTAAATATCCCCGAAACGTTTGTTTGCAGGCTGGGCTAAAGATTTGTTGAGCTGGACTCCTCTGTATGTGCTCGGTAAATTGTCCTATTGCGTTTATCTCGGTCATGCGATTTTCCAACAAATCAGGATCGGTTTGTTGAGGTCCCCTACGCACGTCGGTTTTTACAATATGGTGAAGAATTATTAATTAATTTGTACGTGATTTAATTAGTATTTTTTTAGTTTGATACGACTGCTGCGGATGTAGTCCTGTCGTTTTTGGGAGCTCTATTTTTGTCTCTATTTTTCGAAATGCCTTCGAATGAATTAGCTAATCGAATGTTTGCAAGCAAGAAGAAGATCGAAAAGAAAACAAGCTAAATGCGTATTTAAATAAAACCGTTTTTGTGCATTTTATTGTTAATTTTTACATGTATCTAAATAAACAATTCCAATTTAAAACCACTGGTTATAAATTAAACAGCAGATTACCTCTACTAAGCGTTATCCTTATATGTATCTGACACAATTACATAAGAATAAGAGAATCTAGAAAAAAAAATAAACGAGTACTGTGTCATTGATTTCATAGAAAAATAGTAGGGGGTAATAATCTTGCATTTTGTTCTAGTCCTAGTTAAATAACTACGCTTTTATTGTAATGTAGCAGTTGAACTAGTTCGTAAGTGCAATAAAAATGTTACGTTTATTTATCGTTGCGCTTAATATTTTCGTGTGCTTCGGAGTCTCAGGTAAAACTCGCCAAGTTTTACGGAGAAAAATAGCGCACGTATGCAAATTTCTGTGTGTGTGTTTCAGAAAAGGAGTACTCCCTCATGCCGAAGTTATTTCATTTAGACGATTTCGATGATTGCATGCGCTTGGATGAGAGGGCTTTATACTGCAAGTTTACATTCGAATTGCGACCACTTTCCGGGGATAATTTAATTTGGCCTATAATTCAGGTGAACGGTTCCGCTTTATAAGTAAACTTTCCAGAAAAGTGCCCTGCATTTTCAGAACGCTAGCTCGGATCCCAGGAATTACAGACACGACTGGCTGAGGCACGGAATTTGCGTACCGACCTTCTGCCGTTCGGATTATCATCAAGAAAGAAACTCTTCGGTTAAAGATATTATCGAGACTTGTTACAATCGAATCTACAAGTCGATTGGACTCGAGGGAAATGTTACACAAGTGAAATGTCAGAGAAATATACCAAATTATAACATCGATGTTTATGATATTATTATAGGGTTTGTAGATACTTAAAGTAAGAGATTTTATTTAATTAATGTTGAATTTTAGGGTGCTATTCTTATCATATTTCCTTGTGGTTCTTTTGGCTTCGATTTACGAAGGAATGGCCAGGTATCAAAAAAAGGAAGTGTACAACAGAATTGTTAATACACAAGGTACCTAATAAATTTAATACCTCTAATACAATACAATCATAGCAAATTCGTTTTTAGCGGGTAAAATAATATCTAGTTTCTCGATACCGCGCAACTGGCATCGATTGACATCGATCAACTCAAACAGCGATGCTGAGAAATTGCAATCGATTCAAGGCATCCGATTCTACAACATGGTGTGCGTTATTTTGAGTCACACGATTATGATGGCTTTCGCGGGACCAGTTTCGAATCCCCAATACGCCGAGAAGGTAAATTGTAGTCAATCGGCGAGTCGGCGAGTCGCGCTTGTCAGGTTATATTCGTTTGATTGCTCGTTTTAGATGACTGGTAAACCGCTGAATATGTACTTAGCCAACGGTAATTACGCGGTGCAAACGTTCTTTTTAATATCGGGGTGGTTGCTGAGTTTCCATTTCTTCGAAATGCTGGAGAACAGGAAAACTTTGAACTTGAAATATGTCGGTTTAGCGTTGATTAACAGATACATAAGGTACTAATGTAAATAATTTAATATAACATAACAACAGTAGTATTTTTTGCAGATTAACTCCAACTTTAGCTGCTATGGTAGCATTTGAAAGCACTTGGTTGACGCATCTTGGAACAGGACCGTATTGGAATGAGTTTGTCGTGACGGAAAAGACAAATTGCAGGAGTAATTGGTGGACGAATCTCTTGTACATTAATAATTACATCGATAAAAATAATATGGTACAGTGTTTTATTGGAATTATAGCTTAAAAATTAGACAAATTTTCAGTGTCTCCATCAAAGCTGGTACATCGCCGCAGATACGCAATTATACGTATTTTCTTTAATACTGTTAACGATTATTTGGAAGTATGAGAAATACGCTAAGCTGGTCTTCGGATCTACGATTGCAGTAGGCATTTTAATACCCGGAGTAATTGCTTATTTCAAGAATTACGACATTATTATTCGTCAGTATCCAGAGTACAAGTATACAAGTATTTTAATTTACCGTTTAATTAACTGCTTACTTTCAGGGTACTATACGAGATGAAAGGATTAAAAGTACCAGCATGGCATGACTTGTACAGTTCCGGGTACTCAAATATAGCAGGATACGCGATAGGCTTGACCTTTGGTTATATATTTTATAAAACCAGGAACAAAAATTTGAAAATCACCACGGTAAGTGAATAGGTTTCGAGAGTTTGGAATGTTTTTAACACATTCTCTTCAAGTTTCATCAAATTTTATGGTGGATTTTAACATTCGGAATGTGCGATTTCATTATTCTCATAGCATCGAAAATGTACGCCCCCGATTACCAAAGTTCCCGCATCGAATCCGCTTTGTACTGGGCGTTCGGTAAAAACATTTTCGCCTTGGGCCTCGCCATTGGAATATTCGGATTTTCCAACAAAATCGGCTGTAAGCAAACCGCATAATTTTCCACTAATTTAAATAAAATTCATGAGTTTTTCTGTACACAAATTGCCTCTTACTACAGCTACAAATTGTTAATTCAGGGTTCGCCAGGTGGTTTTGCGAGTGGAAATCTGTCAGTGTTATTGGAAGATTAACTTACAGCACGTACATTGTACACAGCGCTGTTGTCAGAATTCGCGGAGGTTTAATTAGATCTCCGATATTCGTTCATGATTATTTATTAGTAAGTAACCCTATTACATAAACAAAAGTTCTATTAATTATTATTTTAGTTGACAACTACATTAGGAGATATAGCTCTATCTTACCTAATTGGCACATTGGTTTGTTTATTATTCGAAATGCCAGTATCTGCGTTGCAAAAATTAATGGTTCCACAAATGAAATTCGAATTGAAAGAAGATTCGCCGGAAAAATTGCTAAACCAAGACGGAAGTAATGGAAATCTCAAAGAAAAACCCCTGCTTTAAGTTTAATATAAAAACAAATTTTTAAATGTAATCTGCATACGTTGTAAAAATATAATTTCCATCTACTCGACATCCTTTTTGCATGAAATTAAGATTTTCTTCCGTGCATCCAACGATGTTGCGATGTAACGTATTAAAAGCAGGTATTTCCTTCGAGAGCATGATTAAAAGAGCTTCCATCAAGACGAAAATAATCAAAATTATTTATAGTCCAAAAAATTTCATTTGCGCCCTTCGTCCCGTCGAGAAGGAGCCTCTCCTAATTGAGGAACATGACTTACTGTTCGCTGTCGTTATCAGCGAGGATTTTAATCTTCTACTGTGTCGCATCGCTGCTAGTCCGTGGTCAGAGATTGAATCGGGGCGGAAAAAGAAGCGATGAGAAATCGTTCAGGGTACATTTATCCCGAGACACCGCCGGAATTAACTTACAATACGATCGATCCGACTGACTCGCTGATTGGTTTGTCAGAAAAAAATTGTTGTTGCGAATTCAAAGGTAACGTGGAAATCGAGTTTTCGAATTATCAAACTGATACGAAAGGATAAGGCTGGCGCGCAAAAGTAAACGTTCGTTGATTGGTTCTAAAGCTTTATAAAGCGCCGCTCTAAATCGCCTCGGTTAATTGAATTTCGACGTCGTCGCTCGCGATTATATATGCGAACGACAGGTGAAAAGACATACGTCTGTTTAATTAAATTTCACCTGAATACGTAGCGAATATATTATTTAGCTGGTCTTTTGAACACCGCCCGGCTATCGGGAAATATCCTCGAATTTGCGCCGTCAATGTTCGAAAATTTTAATTTATTCTAGTTACTCGTACGGTATATTTAAGAGGAATAATTCGTTTGTTAGGAAATTGTTTTGCCTCTAAACTTCAAATATATTTAGGTTACGTTAGTGTCAAAAAGATGATTGTAGTGTTAAGAATATTCCAAAAAATTTATTAATACGATAATGCTTCCGCTGTAGAGTAATTTAAGATATAAAAACAAAGGTAAGGTAAAGCGAACTGCAAATATTCCGCCTCTTAACCAATCTCATTGCTATTTTCTTTCAGTAGTTAATTCCAAACGTATCTCTACTTTCTTTAAAAACATCCAATTTCATTTACTGCTTTCTCCATTGCGAAGTGCATGATGGGAGAACGTCGCTGCCTAATTGGAGCGTCTCCCGTCCCATTCGAGGCTTATTCTTCCTGAATTATTGTTTCGAAATTAAAACTCATTAATTTCCGGGGATTATATTGCTACAACAATTCGACTGTCGCGCTCTGGTCGAATTTTGACTAGAAAATCGGTCGTGACGAATTAGACAAAAACACGGAATAATTGAATAATTTTAGCGGGAAGATTGATAACGATATTGCGAACGAAATTAAATTCCTCTTCCGACGTCTAATTAATAACGATTGTATTCGAGATGAGTAATCGATTCGGATGTTTAAAATGTTTGCTGTAGCTAACTAATTTTTAATGTTGCGAAGAACCTGTTAATTTAAGGAGTATTTCAGAATCTAACTTTGCAATGGACGACACGAGCAGGGAGCCACATGCGCGGGAATCCCATCCTATAGACAAGAATTTTATATCCAAGCTTTTTTTCTGGTAAATGCCTTTCATAAAAAAACACGAAAGTAAAACGCGCTGCACTTTTGTAGTTGGTTCGTTCCTTTCATCATCAGAGGTCTGAAAAAGGAAATAAGCGAGGATAACATATACAAGACGGGTAATAAATTTAGTTCCCTTTTCTTGTCGACCAAATTGCAGGAAGCCTGGGACAAAGAACTCAGCGAAAACAAACCCTCTCTAATGCGCGCTCTATTGAAGGTCTTCAAATACGATTTAATTACATCAGCTCTATTACGATTATCACTCGATTTACTAAAGTAAGTAAAAATCCCCGTATTACTTTATTTTAGTATTATTATAACTTTTAGACTGATCCAACCGATTCTAATAACTCTACTAATAACCTGCTTTCAAACCAACAAATTGAAACACAACCCAACGAAGATTTACATGTTCTCGCTCGCGCTGATCGCAGTCACTTTCCTGCAAGTGATGTTCATTCACCACAACATGCTGCTGGTGCTGACGGTCGGGATGAAGATCAGAATAGCCACGTGTGCGCTGGTTTACAGGAAAGCGCTGAGACTGAGCAAATCGGCCATAGCCAGCACCACCATCGGTCAATTGGTCAATTTGATATCGAACGATGTGGCTAGATTCGACGTGTGCTGCCAGTTCATCCACCTGCTGTGGCTGGCGCCCTGCGAAATCGTCATCGTGATGGTCCTGCTGAATTGGTACGTCGGCTGGATGGGTCTGGTCGGATGCGTTTTCCTGCTGGGATTCATTCCGTTTCAACGTGAGTGATTGAAAAATTGTAGAGTGTAGGTTAATAAATTGAATGTTGTAGCTTATATGGCGGGATTAGCGTCGCGGTATAGATTGAAAACGGCGATTTGTACAGATGAAAGGGTGAGATTGATGAACGATATAATATCTGGTATTCATGTAATCAAAATGTACACCTGGGAGAAACCGTTCGAGTTGCTGGTGGAAAGAATTCGAAAGTACGCGCTTAAAAATACATTCTCCTCTTCGTCCATACACATTCAACCATTTTTTCTAGACTAGAAATGAACCAGATACGGCACATTTCGATGATCAGAGCCGTAATGCTATCGTTCACAACAGTTCTAAGTAGATTAGCAGTGTACATATGCATTGTAGTGTTGATTTTAGGCGGGTATCCTTTAAACGCGTACTTCGTGTTTACCGTGATATCATTCTATTCGTTCCTGAGGAACTCCGTCATACTTCTGTTTCCTCAAGCCGTCATTCAAGTGGCCGAGGCGAGAATATCCATTTTGCGCCTGCAAAAGTTCCTAATGATCGAGGAAATCGACGCGGACAATCGGCAAGTGACCATGACCAGCAGCTTATCGGATTTGCTGGTCACTCATCCGAACATCATCGAAGACTCCGAGATCGGTATTAACATCAAAAACGCCGCCGTCAAGTGGATAGTATCGTCTCCGGATCATCTACTGAAAGACGTGAATTTCGAGGCCAGCTCGAATCAATTGGTGGCCCTTATCGGACCGGTGGGCGGAGGAAAATCCACTCTTCTCCACCTCATTCTCAAGGAAGTGATTCCTTTACGCGGCGAAGTGGAAGTCAACGGTAGCGTATCGTACGCTTCGCAGGAACCGTGGATTTTCGGCGGTAGCATCAGACAAAACATCATCTTCGGCCAATCGTTCGAACCCGAAAAGTACCGGAAAGTCATCAGGGCGTGCGCTCTCGAAAGAGATTTCAACATTTTTCCTTACGGCGATAAAACCATCGTGGGAGAAAGGGGAGCCACGTTGAGCGGAGGCCAAAAGGCCAGAGTAAACCTAGCCAGGGCTGTCTACAAAGATGCCGATATTTACCTATTAGATGATCCTCTAGCAGCGGTCGACGTGCTCGTAGGTAAACAGCTATTCAACAATTGCATTTGCGGTTATCTCAGGAGTAAATGCGTGGTGCTGGTGACGCACCAAGTTCACTACCTCAACGCAGCCAATTTGATATATTTGCTGGAGGACGGAACGATCAGAACGTCCAGTACGTTTCAAACGTTGCAGTCGTACAACAAGACTTTCATGGAGTTGTTGGAGACGGCCAAAGAAGAGGAGCAGAAGCGAAAGGAGAAATTGAAGAGCTCCAGTATGGATTTACATCCAGGTTTGACCAGTCATCAGGAATTGGTTAAAGAGCATATTGCGAAAGGGGCCATTCGCAAAACGGTGTACAGGGATTATTTCTTGTCTGGTGGGCATTGGATCAAATCGATCGGAGTGCTAATGGCTTTCTTTTTGTCCCAATTCTTCGCCAGTTTAATCGATGTGTTCTTAACTTCATGGTAGGTACATATCATCGTAGAGGATTTATATTTTTAATAGTTAACTTTTTAGGGTAAACTCCGAACAAAAAGGGAACAAATCGAGCGTTTTCCGCGAGCACGGTTTGCTAATTTACACTATTCTGATGTTAATTTTGTTATTTCTCGCCGTCGTCAGGGCGATATCTTTCTTCAAACATTCATTAAAGGCGTCGGAACGTTTGCATAGCGACATGCTCAAAAAAGTCCTCTACTCGCCCATGTCGTTCTACAACTCGAATACTTCGGGTAGAATCCTGAACAGATTCTCCAAAGATATCGGATCATTAGACGAGACAATACCGTTGTGCATGGTCGACACAATAACAGTGAGTTTGAAATCAATACGCTAATGAAATTTTCATGTTATAACATTAATAAAATAATCTGTTCGACCTTGCTCGTAGCATAAATAAGGCCTTGCCTGCTTTTAGGTTAATTTAATTTTTGAGCTTTCAATGAAATTGCCCCGAGCTCTTTCCAAACTTCGCCCCCCTTTCCGAAAACATAACCCATTCGCTTTAATAACTTTCACCGTTGTTGTTGCCACATCTAGCTCACTAAACAATTCCAACCATTTTCAGTTTCTTTTAATCCCTTCGTTTCCACAGATCGGCCTGACGGTCCTGGCGGTTACCATAGTCATCGCAATAGTAAATCCTTGGATAATGATACCCACGCTGGTAATATTCATCATAATGTTATTCTTCAAAATGGCCTTCCTGAAGACCAGCAGGAACATAAAGAGAATCGAGGCGATCAGTAAGTGTTCTATGCATGGTTTCCGTTGATGTGGAAATTTTTAATTTCAGCGCGAAGTCCCATTTACACGCACTTGACGGCCTCTTTGCAAGGTATTACAACAATCCGAGCTTTCGGAGCTGAAGAGATTTTATGCAAGAAATTCGACGATTTGCAGGACAATTACACTGCAGCGTCGTATTTGTTTTTATCGGCCAGCAGAGGATTCGGGTTTTGGCTCGACATGCATTGCTTGTTCTACATAGCTTTAGTGGTTATTAGTTTGTTATTCGTACAAAAAGGTTTGTAGATGTTTCTTTTGTAAGCATATTGCGCATTAATTCGATTAAATTAATAGAATCGTTCAGTGGAAACGTCGGTTTGTCGTTAACACAAGCAGTAACTCTAGCTGGTATGTTCCAATGGGGCATCAGGCAATGGTCGGAATTGGAGAATCAAATGACATCGGTGGAAAGAGTTAAGGAATACTCCGAATTACCGATGGAAGTGGACGATTACAAGACGACTATACAAAATTGGCCTAAATCGGGGAAGGTGGTGTTCCGGAACGTGTATCTCAAATACACGCCTGGCGGTTCGTACGTTTTGAACAATCTTAATTTCGAAGTGAAATCCGGGGAGAAAGTGGGTATCGTGGGAAGGACGGGAGCCGGCAAATCGTCGATCATTCAAGTGCTGTTTCGTTTGTTGGATTTCGAAGGGGCCATTCACATTGACGATGTAGATAGTAAAACTATTAAATTGAAGCAGCTGAGATCCAAAATCTCGATAATTCCGCAAGAGCCGCTCCTATTCTCCGGCACGTTGAGAAGGAACGTCGATCCGTTCAACGAGCACAACGATGAGGTATCGATGAATTGTTTGCGATACGAATTTATACCAGCTTCATATATTTTTTAGAGTCTATGGAAGGTTTTGCAAGAGGTCGATCTCAAGAACGCGGTGGCCGAATTGCCTTCCGGTCTGGATACAACCATGAGTGAAGGAGGATTAAATTTCAGCCTGGGTCAAAGGCAATTACTGTGCCTTGCTAGAGCTATAATTAGGAATAATAAAATCTTGAGTGAGCAGATTGAGTTACACGCGGTAACTTTTTTTTTAAATGTAATCCAGTTTTAGATGAAGCGACCGCCAACGTCGATCCCACCACAGACGATATTATACAAACCACTATAAGGGAAAAATTCTCCGATTGCACGGTGTTCACCATAGCCCACAGATTGCAGTCCATCATGGATTCCGACAAGATTTTGGTAATGGACGGCGGAAGGGCCATCGAATTCGACCACCCCTACGAACTGCTGGTCAAAAAACCCAATGGCATTTTCTATAAATTAGTTAAGGAAACCGACAGCGTTACTTTCTTGAATCTACTCTCCATCGCCGAGGAGCACTATTTTAATACAACAAACGATGATTCCTTTGATTTGTAATGTTTAGTTTTTAGCAATTAAATGTACGATTTATTCACTACTTAGAGGACTAGTTACAATTTTGAAAGGACTAGTCAATAGATACTACAGTTAGAGAGCCAATGAGGGCGCTAACTAGAAGACTACTTAAACAGCTAAGGATTACTAAGGGGGCTAATCAAAGATTTCAAGACATAACTAGTGAGAGAGCTTGTGAGGAGGCTAGTGAGAGAGCTAGTAAGAGAGCTAGTGAGAGAGCTAGTGAGAGAGCTAGTGAGAGAGATAGTGGGAGAGCTAGTAAGAGAATTATTAAGAACACTACCAAGGGGACTAGTAAGAGGACTAGTAAGAGGAATAGTGATAAGGCTAGTCTGAAGAATACAAACGACACTAATAGATATTTATGTGTTGTTATATACTATTTCAGCTATCTCATTTCTTGTTAGAGGAACGGAAAATAGAACAGGGCCCGGTAACAACGACGGTAGCGCTTTGAAAATATAAGTTATGCTATTTATGCTAATTGAAATGTAGGGCCAAAATGATTTGCCGGCATTGGAAACCGTCGACGCGAACTACAAACTAATAAGTTACGAATATCTGGAACGGATGCCGGGGATCGGCGACGCTCCGAATTCGGCGACGTCGCAAGAACGACTCCACTTGGAAAGCGGCGCGTAAATCAAGCGCCCTGGAAAACCAATTACACAATATATTGTTGACTTCAGTGGAGTAGCGTTGGATGTTTCGAGACGTCGGACGTTTACGACTTATTTTCCGTTTCCTTTCCTGTCGACCTCGCGTCTCGTACGCGATGTTATCTCCTTCTCATTATCTCTCGGCTTTTGACGCGAATACCGTCAGCGCTGAGTTAATTTACCAATTAGTTTTTTGGCCCCCGTCCGTTGTACGGCCCTGCTCGTTCCGGGCTTTCTGCGGAACGAATTCGTTTCAAATAAATATAATACCTATTACATTCGGCCTGGAAAAGGCACGTCGTTAGATTTATATGCAGGAGTTATTAAAAGTCGCTTTCACATTGTGCATAGTACGCCGACCATTATTCGTCCCGAAAACGTTTGTGTTCTCCCGAGGGAGACGTGCTGGCACCTGCGTGAGAGCTAATTTCTTGAGTGCCATAAACTCGAGATAATTGTTTTCGTTGCCCCGGCGCTTTTTTGCTCGATATTCGTTTCGTACCTTCGCTGGAATTTGTCATATTTAACCCTTTGCAGCGCTCGAAACGGCCCCGGCGATTTCTCTTTCCTTCTGTTCAAAATGAAACCACCGTTGGTCTTCAATTTCAATACAACTCATTCGATACATTCTATCTGTCGTGTTTAAAGATAGTGCAATATCCGGTCCTACCTAAACAAATTCTCCCGGTCTACAGACAGCGTAAATTGTCGCTTTTATCACCGGCGAAACGGAGAAAAAGACTCCGACAGTTCGGAAATTTTCTGCGAAGCTCCAACAAAGCTTGTCGAAACTAAAGCCCGCAGCTTACACTCTGGAGTACATATATAAGTCTCTTATACCGCAGGAGCGTTGTTGTGTGACGGCGAATCCTGCGGCAGGTTATTACCTGCATACATCAGGGCAGCGCGGAAAAAGCAAGGCACCAGTCTTATAACGATATATCACTGGAAAAGTAGGCTCTTCGTTTTCTATAGGTGCTAAAACAGCGTGACGTTGTTTATAACGCTCTTGTTTGTTTTTTTATTTCCGGAATGTAAATTTATTTGAAGTTTATTTTTTATCTTTCGAGTAAATTTGGGGTTCGGAGCGATTATGGAAATGCCGGATCGAGCAAAAACCGGAGTAAATCGAGAGTTAATGGGAGTCGAAGTTTCACAATCTGTCCAAGAACTTCCACTGAAGATTTTGCGCGCCATTAACGACAGGCTAAAAAATTTTTTACGCACGTGACTCGCATAGTATTTTAATTAAAAGGATTTCCCCAAGATGAAGGTGGGAGCTTCTATCAAAGCAATCACAAAGAAATACTTAATGAAGCTTTAGGCACTTTGGGAATATTCAAACGTGAAAATACTTTGGTATAATTAAAAATATTGATTTTATAAATATTGTTTGTATACTCATTGGAATCTGGTCTATATGTAATAACGTCAGAGTACATTAAAGTTGCCTATATTCAGGCATTCCGTTAACGTAACATTCATTTAAAGTTAAGTACTCATTTAATTATTTAAATTCATAAACGAGGAAACGTTGCAAATTAATAATAATAACGGCGCAAAATCCAATAGGATTATCGCCCCGTAACATGATTCATTATCGACACAAATTACTTCAATTCCGATAATAGCTGCAAATAGTTTTCGATTGGTTAATCAATATCCCCCAACTATTAATTAGACAATAAATTCACTTCCATTGCGCGGCCATCTCATCGGTGCTGGTGTACTTTCACGCTGCCTGATACCCCTATTACAATTGTTCAACGCCGGCCTGACCGGATGCCTAACATTGCGAGCGAAGAACCCGCGGAATGCTCGGGGAATTCCCCGATTTACATAAAGGGCCGAAGGTATTTAACACGCCGCTAAACAAAGGGACGTTGTCTTGTAGCGAACAATCGATTGATTTATTTATCGGCGGGAATTTTTCGGTTATCAATTCGCGCTAGATCAACTAGAGATATTTTCATCACGTAGAAGCGATCGAGTTTAATCTCGAACTACCAGGAAAACTTTTATGAAGGAGATTAATAAAACAAATGGCACTTAAAGTTTGCCGCTGATGATCTCGGAAGTTCGGAAAGTTCGGATCGCGTTAAATTCTCTTATTTTTGAAGATTATTTGTAATATTTTTACGTAATAAGTTTTCGTAAAAATCATACTGGCAGGTCGATGAAACAGAGTTTCGGCCATTACGGTATTTAAGCAGGATAAAAGGTTAACCCCGCCATTTAAACTCGAGTTATACGTGCATTTTATGGCCGGAGCGGAACAAAGCTCGAGTGTTCATAAATCCTCGCGAATGTGTGTATGCTTATGACAGCCCCGCCGTTTTTGGCGACCGGAATAATGATAGCGAGCTGGTAAAAAGTTCTCCCGAAACTTCTTCAATAGGTACGAGTCGAGGTTCAGACAATAAGAGAACGCGTGCGAACGGTTAATTTGCGTTCGAGAAATTTTCTTCCACACTTTTTCCCGTTCGCTTTGATAAATGCTCCTTCAACTTCACGACGTTTCAATTCGCCACAGCCGCCGTGATTAATGACCGCTAACGTCCGGGAGTTGCGCGGAATAATTAAAAACTTTGTTCTGTCCTTGCGATTTTCTTGCGGTCTGGCTTAAGTAGATAAATGGTAAGTAAACGTGTCAAAGTATTTAATCCTCTACAGACCCAATCGGCAGCTGCGCCTCTGCCTCGACTCCGAAAAGAAACCCAACGAGCCGCGTTGAAACAATTCCAGAAATTATTAACGTTTTCGGGGAGGTAATAGGATCCTTATTATTCGATTGGTTCGCGTGATATATCATCGAAATAATACAATAAAATAAAATTTATCGCTACAGATTCGATGAGGATCGAATATTCTGGCGAACTGTAATTTTCAATGGGTATAATTAGCGGTGGAACAAATACCGCCGTGATTTGTGACTGGAATTTAAGTTTTAATTGACTACGCTTTCGTGTTATTGATTCTTTAAATCCCGTCGTTGAATTTAATTCGTTTTACACAACGGTTAAATTGTCAATAATGCAGAGAAAAAATATATTTTATGACCTTACGTTATAATATCGCTATTTTGGCGGAAGTTAAACGTTATCTGACACAAAATTGATTTCTTTTCCAATACATAGTTTTGTCTTTCGACGTTTATGTAAAGTTAGAATGTACTTCAACTATTTGAAATCACAATTATTGTTATTCAAATAGCCTAAATGAGGTGTATAAACGTCGATTTCTTGGCCGCACGGAGTAAATCGTCGGAGCGGAAGGGGATGACATCCCCTCGGTGACATCTCCACTGACTTACCACTTACCACGCCACGGAGGTAATTTAATCTAACAGAGGGCGTTGTAGCCTGATGACCAATCCGTCGAAAGGGCCATTGTGCGGTTGTAAAACGTATGTGAGACCGCACTTTTTTTCCGAACCGGGCGAATTTAGTTGATTAAACTTTTTTCATTCGACCTTTCGAGATGAATTCTGCCAATCAAAAATAGATTGAGGCTTCTTGTTACTTTTTTGCAGGCGTAATTCCTCGCGCTTTGGATGGAGAAACGCATTTTAGTTTCCGAATTTATCATTTTCTAACGGAATATGTAACAAAGGAGTTAAAATAGATAGAGTTTTCCGCTCCTCGCAGGGATGTAATTACATTGTTTAAATACGTTTGATGTTTTACAAGTTCCCGTGTAAATTCTTGATAGATTATCGCTTTTAATTCGCAACTCTCCCCGACCCACCGGCAATTCAAATTAAACAGTTTACGACCCGACCGAGCGAAAACTAGTTCTCATATAAACTTAAATAATTAAGCAAGAGTTATGTACGGTGAGGTTTCGCCTGTACACGTTTAAATGAAGTACGAAAATTAGCAAAGTTAATCGTTGCTTATGCAGCTCTTTAAACCCGAATGTTATGCATCCTGCGAATGAAAATCCGGCAATTTTCCTCGGCGGAAAACCAGCCGTCGAACCGTTAAAGAAAAATTCCGCCTGTCACGAGCAGCCACTAGACAACTGCACGACATCCACGGAAAACTCTTTCACTGATACTGTTTTTATATTTTCATGTTTACGTATCGTTAGTCATTTATTGCGGGAGTGTATACGCAACCGTTATACATCCTCGATTTTGCACCAATTCTTATTTAAAGTTTATCCGCTTGAAGATATGCAATTGAATACCTGTCAATACGTCCGGCGGGCTGCGAGAAAACTACAAAAACTTATTTCAAAATGCGAGCGATCCCTCTTGTCGAGCTTTGACGAGATTTCCATTTATCACTCGACGTACAGGAGACATTTTCCGGCTTTTTTCCGGTCGAAAGGTGAAATAGACACTTCCATAGGA